TAAGATAAGATGATGAAGATTCGGAAAGTTTAAACCACTCGGCCAAGCATGAAATGATAAATAAATTGTATTAATACGATCGAATTGAACAACATGAGGCATTGAAACAATTGATGGTAATGAATCCTTTTGTGCCATAGAAAGTGTACGAAGTTGAGATGAGTAAAAGATTGATGAAATGCATTGTGATGGGACAAGTGTTTCTACTTTGGTTATATATACAAATGGTTCACTCAATGCAAAAAATCGATCAAATGCCCATGGCAAAGTGTACCTTATATGAAAGATCGACGGAGAACGATCGAACTAAAGCGAAGGAAGAACATTATTAAACGCTATTGAATATTTAAAAAATTTTGATTTTTCGTCTTCTCTTGGTCTAAGATGACGTTATCAAAGTAGAATTGCACAAAGTTACATATATAATTACTTACATAGCAATCGAGGTCTGTTAAATGTTGCCATTCACGTGTTAGCACACGTTTCGTACATGTGATACCAACTGTCTGTCGACGATGAAAACGACTTCCATTTGGTACATTTTCATTTAGTTGACTAGCAAAAGAATTCTCATCCATAATGAATGCAAATTGAATATCAATTTGACGATCATCAGTAAAGAGTGTTGATCTATTAATAGAGTCTAAATCGGCAGCAGTGATGAAAAGAATGAATTTCATTTGTCGAAGTACAGGCATTACATTTTGAGATGTTAAATATTCAATATCTGACCATTTAATTCCGTTGTCGGTGTATATCGATTGAATAAAACTGAATGAATGTAAATTAATCATTTTACATAATACCGGCCTATATCGTACATTATCATGGCCTGGGTCATGGAAACTACGCATTGCAACATGTAACTCCTGCAGTGTGGTTGAAAGTTTTTTTAGAGACATAAGTTGACATAAATGCTTTACGTGTTGTAAAGGTATACAGAGATAATTCAATGCATTTTCAATTGTTGGATGCCATAATGGCAGACCCATGCCAATGTTTAGTCCTAAATCCAGTGAACGTAGTGCATTTAATTGTGGTAGAACATTTTCCATGAATGCTTCGAGACGTAGAGTCGGGTGGAAAACACGACCAGAGAAACTAAACTACAAAAAAATGGCATAATTAAATCAACCTCATCCAAGGGAACTATTTCTTGTAGGAAAATACTTCTGAGAAAACGAACGAAAACATAATCAACTTTTAAGTTAAATATCGCTTGCACACCCTAAACTCGAATCATACTTACAGGTTGAAATATACCGTTTGTTTGTAGCGTAAGACGTTCAAGTGAATGTGAATGTCTGAGGATAAAAGTGTTGGCATGTTTTAGTTCACGTAACCCATATATCCTTAACGTAGTCAAATGAGGTAAGTAAGGAAAGTGGGAAAGTTGAAGAGGCGACGCTTCAACATTAATGACGAGTGTTTGAATTTCAGGTAATGGAAGACGTGTAAGAATCTTATCGAACTTGTATAAAGACGCTGACGATAAATCAATATGACGAAAGAAACCTCGCTCATAAATTAATTGTTGAATACGATTATTTAAATTGATCAATGACCAAAGAATATCAAATGAAGTCAAGTAATGAAACAATTCGATGAAGCAAAGATCGGATAAATCGTCGAAACGCGTGATCCATGCCATCAAATAACGAGAATAATGTGTTTGTATGATTTGAACGTTAATACGCAATACAAGAAGATATCTTCATTTCAATATATATCCACGTCGAAACAATGAGAAAAGATTATCTGTGCAATGTGTTCTTTGTCGTGAGTCACTTCGAAAGTTTATTGAAAAATTGACAATTTGACCGAAGAAGTTATATGAATCGACAAATGAATGAAGTTTAGCTTGTTATATGACAGCATCTGTATATGCTAATAAAATCATCGATGAAAGCGATATCTGTAACGTCTATGATGCACAAATGTTAGAAGTTGAATAGTTTAAAACTCGAATAAAAAGTTTAATACTGGAAACGTCTTTTCGACTTTTACATGTATGAGATATCATGGAACACCATTGACCTTTCCACCAATTTCGAAGCATTAATAATGAACAGTTAATTGGAAGAAATAAGAAACAGAAGAATCTTTGTTATTCTCAACTAGAATTCCATTTCTTCATTCGAATGTCAATGCTATTTACTTCATTTCTTGTTCATTTAGTTCAGAATCGCCTATGGTTCGAAAACATCGCGTGTTCCGCCATCATCAATACTAAAAACAGCTCTATGGACAGTCGTTTTTGTTCGATATCGCATTGAAAATGAAATTGAAGAAGTGCGAGTAATGATCATGAAATGCAAATTCAATTCAATGGAATAATGATTAAAAAACAACAATAATCAACAGAAGACGACTTTCCAAGTGAAATAGAAAATAAAGATCTTGGCGATCACAATGAAAGTTTGCTTTTAATTCTTCGCCTCTTTCAAATCAATAAAATTCATTGTTTGGAAATCACCTCTCATTCAACAATAATGATAAGAATAACAACAGGAAATCAAATCAAATCAGCTGCACGATTTAATAGTTTCACGAAAAAGGAAAAACTATGTTGTTAAGGTGGTATTGGACAAAAAAAGAAGCTGTTCTTCTTGTTCGTTTGTGGACATATTCAAAGAGAAAAATCAACTATTGCTGGATAACTGATGTCAGCTTCATCACACGTAAAAAAGAACCATCAATGAGTTTTGTCTTTTATTTCCATTTAGATTTTGAACAGGAGGAGTTCGTCAACGAACATGAGAAAAAGATTCAAATGAAGCTCATGAATAATCGTGTAAATCTTCTTTGAAAATGATGATCATTACGTGTGTTTGATTAATTCCAAGAAATCGTCTTTTGATCGATTTCTTTTACCCTCTTTGTTCTAACCATCTCCTCCAGTTTTTCACTGGTCTTACTTGTGTTATCAAACTCAACTGCTAGAACCTCACTCTCAGTGAAAATTTTCGCATGACATAGATACAGTTGACTGTCGTGATAATGGTCATTTCTTATGGAATTGCTCATATTCTCGCTTGAATAAGAAATGTCTGAAGAAGGATATTCCTCAAGCTGAAGTGATACGAAATCTGAGAAGATATCAAAAACTTCTAGAAAGCATCGCTCGGTGAACAATAGTAAAAAATGTCTTTAAAAAAAGAATAAACATCAGCGCTCGATTTGACAAAGCTTTACTCCACATGACACAGAATGTTCGACAGAGAAAAATAACGATAACTGTCTTCATTCCTATCTCAGAAGAAATCGATCGATGTTTCGTTCCTTTGATAGAAATACATGTGGGACGTCATCTATTTGTTTTCTCCTTCGAGATCAAATCAATAGAACGAAAAAATTTTGCACGCTTATCAGAAAATACTTACCACAATCGAATATAGAATGGCGAGCCTAATTCACTTTGAATGTAACAACCGTAGTGACTGATACGATTAACATAGCAAACAATGCTGAGTGACAGTCAGATTCTCTTTCAAATAAATAAATATCAATTCTTCATTACAAACAATTGAGAAATTGCTATGCGAACTAGTTTAAATAACGTTTATTCATTTAGATATGTCGGACTTTCTTACGCTTCAACAAAAAGTGGATTTAGCTCGTGGTGATTTTATTCGTATCGCTGGAAGTATAAACGGTGAAATTAGTTGGGATCAGTGTGGTATGTACAGAACATCATTGTATACAAAGAATATTCAAATCTTCCTTTTTTTTTCTAGAACTGCTGATCAAACAATATTGTCCGAATGCATCGAAAACTCAAATTGATGGTTTATTGTACGATGCTGATCAAGATGGTAACTTTGAACCATGTTTGTATTTGTATTCATATCATCAAAAGAAATATCATTTAGGAACTTCAACGATACATTTCGACGGTTTCCTCACTGCGATCCTTTATTTCTTCGAAACAAAGGTTGATCAACATGGCTCAACATTGCCAGTGAGTATGATATTAAAGCGTTTAAATCAAAGTCTGAAATATTGTGTAATCGAGCATTTTCTTCTGACATTTTCTCTCATTTGACCTCGATCGATATCTAAATGAAACGAATTTAGCAAGCAGACATATGCAACTAATTCCAAGTGAACAGAGAAATAGTTGTCATTTCGACGTAAGAACAGGAATTGGATTGGTTAATTCATTTTCAATGAAATCAATGTGCTTGACCTCGCAGAAAAAGAGAGAAAAACTCATTGACATTTTCTCGTCCGTTACTGATGTTTCAGTCCGAAACGACATATATATACGTGTATATCTACTCTATGCATTCTCATCTTGTATTCTGATCAATCACATCAATGGCTGAAAAACTCGACGTAGGCTTTTTCTGTTTCATCAGTTTTCTAATTGTTTTTTTCGTTATCTTTTGAAAATTCTCTGTTCTTTAAAATATTTCTTTGCAGGATGTTGAGCAACAGCAACAACGACTAAACGACTTTGTTCAGAAGCTGTTCGAAATGAAAACGGCTGGCATTATTATCAATGATAAGATAGAAGAACTTGCTGATCAATATAACATCCCACATCAGTGATTGGGCGTCTTTATCAGGTGTTCTTTTTTAAAATAAAAAATTCCATGAAAGAAAGAATGAATCAAACAGAAATGTAATGTAAATACGAAAAGAGAGAGAGAAGATGTAATGTCAAGACAGTGAAGTTCGCCAACACTTCGTTTGTCACTATTTGATCAAACGAAGGAGAAGGAATGAAATGTCGGAGATACTTCATAAGCGAGATTGATTGAAGAGGACGAACTTTGAATATTGCACTTCGTTTCTTTCGAACTGAATTGATTTCTTCTCGATTTTGTTAAGACTGATGTCCAAGAAATTTCATTGACTGACAATTGAATTGGTCTTTTGAACGTTTTTGATGATGCCATTATGGTATGATTCAAATTGGAGGTGAACTATCTTCTATTCCCTATTGAACAAAACAAAGGATTTTCTCCTTGGTTCACGTTTTACATTGTTAAATCCTCGAGAAATCGTCAAAGCAAAGGAAAATTCTTCTGAAAAAATTATGCTAAAAAGATTGACTTCTGTCCCTTGGGATTAATTCGTCATAACTGCAGAAAGAAAAACAAATTATCGTTCAAAATCTGATCCGATTGAGATTGACTAGTCTGAGCGATGATCCGAGAAATCGACTGATAAAGAAGAAGGAGATTGACTCACTCTTTGAAAGCAATCGAATTTTCTTCTTTCAAATCATTTGGATTTTCATCAAAATCATTGAAATGAGAGACAAAAAGAAGATGAAGAAGACGAGGATGAAGATTTTTCATTTCTAATCCATTGTCTTATTGATCTTATACCAATCAAATTCGCTTTGGATTGTTTATGTTACCTTATGTGTCATTCTTAGGACAATTTCATTCATTCGTTCGACCAAATAGATAAATCAGTTAAAAACCAATTTCTTTCTCTTTCATTTCGAGAAAAAGTTTTTGGATGTTTGATTCTTTAATCAATGGCATTTGCTAGCTCTGAAAGATGAACTCGGTAAATGATCGTTACCTGTCAAATATTTCCAGCATTTTCACAAGGAAACATCAGAAAAAATGCCATATTTATCCACTCTTCTACTGTTCATGCCATGCGACCAGGATTGCCCTCCGGTAAAGTTCGAAAAGTGGAAAATCATATTTTCACGAGCTTATCCAATTTTGTACGAGTTTTAGCCATTCTTTTTCTATCGATGTGACGTTTCTTTATTTTTGCAAGTTCTACGACATGGAAGATAACATCAGAAATAGGAGTCTTATTCAACAACATTATTTTCTGCATGTACACTTCTTTTTAGAACTAACTATTGTCAGGATGTTCTTGGAGGCAACAGATGTTTGTGTACGTCCATGTATCCACGGATTAGACAAAAGATTGTGGAAATTTTCCGATATGATCTCTTTTCTGTTAAAGAAAACACGCCCAAGTAATCAATCAGTAGAGTTAACTAGAAGTTCAAAGTATAAGAATGACATTTTGACTTTACCAGTATTAACTGAGAGCCGAGTCTCTCTTCATAAAAGTTTTTTTAATGTTCTTTCAAGAAGTTTAACACATCGATTAGTAGCGATGATGACAGATGAGATTTGTGCCAACGGCGAGTGCTTATTGAATAATATCAGCTTTTCGTCTGTGCCGAGTTTTCATAATGATAATCAAGTTTTTGATAGAAAAGAACAGAGAAAACGGAGCAGCAAAAATAAGGAGAAAAAGTGGAAGAGGTGACAAGCCATGCTGGATTTGATGTGATCAATGAATAGGAGAATTTGAATTTGTAGGACATTTCCTTTTGCCAGTTAGTTCTTTTACTCTTTGACTGTGCAGATTACGTTTGCTTGACGTATTACGAGCTTTAATTGATTGCTTCTGGTTGCTTGAATATTTCCATCGTGTCTCTGTTAGAGAAAAGATAACTTCTTTTTCTCTTCCTCATTTTTTCCCAGAAAGCACACAACTTCGATGAACGGTTTTCTTCTATCCTTCACCGATTGTCATCTCTTTCTTTATTTCCATTGAAGAATGGTTTAGATATTTACTTTTCTTTTGATCGATGATATTCAATGAAAAGAACTATTCAAAAAAAAATTATTAAAGAAAACTTTAATTTGTTTTGGGAAGATAATCTTGCAATGTATACGAAAAGAAATTCAACAGAAATGCCGAAGAGAGATCTATTCAACGTTGATGGAAATCCAGTGAAATGATTTCTTTTCTCTGAAGAATTCAATTGCAAAGATTTTCTCTATTACATTTATCAACGTTGTCAACTCAATCGAAATTTCTCCAAAGTTTGTCAGTTGGATGGAAGGAGTACTTTCAATTCACTTCGTTTCTTTGAAAATGATATTTGATTTTCGTGTCTTTGAAATAAACATTCGTTTAAATAAAGAAAAGAGAATGATTTTTCTATGTGTTTGCGAAGAGATAAAAGTTTCTTTCGATTATTTGTTTGTAAGATAAAAGAACGAAAGATATCAGTGAGTGTCGCTGTTTGATGATAGTGAACGATTGTTCGAAAAGGAGAATTTCTTTTTCTATATTCGAATGAAAAGATGATTGGAGAGAATGAAATCTGATGGAATAATTACTGGATGTGATCCAGCTGGTATTGGCGCTGGAATGGAATTTGAAAAATTCCAATCGAAGATCAAATATGTGATATTAGAAGCATGAGATAGAATTGGCGGTCGAGCATTTACTGACCCGAAAACATTTGGAGAATCAATTCCGGTTGATCTTGGTGCTCATTACTTTTGTCACCGTCAAGAAAAAGATTTCTTCTCCAACTATTATATTTCATCAGAGAAGGCTTTATTCAATCGGATTGTTATGATCCAAGTACAATGAAAACCTTTAATGCAGATGGATCTTTGATCCCTGATCAATTGATTGATCAAGCAACGAAAATTATTGATCGTTTATTTTTATTAGTCAAAGAATATTCCAATGAACATGGTGATATATCGCTCTTCGATTTCATTGAACCAAGACTAGAAGAAATATCCGATTTGAATGTGAAAAATCTTGTTCAATTATTTTTGAGTTATGCTGAACTTCATGAAGGATCAGATTTAAAGGAACTTTCTGTGAAATGTTATTCGAAAGGAGAAGCGCGATTGGAACCATCAGATTTATCACTTTCCAATGGCTTTGGTACATTATAGTTGAACACATTGCTTCGAAATACAATTTTCCAATTGAACTGAATTCTATTGTCACTGAGATTGATGCATCGAATGAAGTAGTTCTTCTTTCAATGAAAGATCATCGCTCATATCTCTGCAAATATGGCCTCTTAACAAGTCCATTGGATTGTTTAAAACGCCACTCCATTGAATTTCATCCATCATCACCACCTTGGAAGAATTTGAGCGATTGAAAAGATGGGTTTGGCTCTACCAAGCTAACTCATTCAGATAATAGGTCAATCACTATTTGAATAGACTTTGTGGAGTAGACATGCTGATTCCATGTACTTTCAGCGATGTCAAGTGACGACCATGAGCTTCAGTGATTTCATATCTTAAAATCAGTCGAAATAACTGAGTGTCTGCGAGATCATATGCATTTGATACAACGATTTTGATTGCTTTCGTGATTTCAGATGATTTCATACTTGAAATCAGAGTCTGCCATCTTGAAGTTTGGTCTGTGAAGGGTCGATAGAATAAATACAAGTTTTAACTATCTAATACTATTTCTTCTATAAAATGAATTCTAATTGTTATACTGATTTGATTTAGATGTCTTCCCGATTAATTCCGACAGGTAACCAAGACCGATAACGATCGGATTCTTGGTATCGGATAGCAGAAAAACCGATCGCTGGAACTTGATAAATCCGACCTGTTCCGACAGCCGAAAGGCATCGGTCTTATCATAGAATTCTGTGTCGTATGAAACGATCGGAAGAAGTCAGATCCTACATCAAGATCTGATCGGTTCCGAATCTATGAATCGTGTCGGAATTCAACGGATCCGATGGACGGATATCAAAGAAAAATAGCAGATTGCGTCAGAATTCGGTGAAAAGTAACCGACCGAATCCGATCACCCATGAGACAAAGGGTTTGATGTCCGTCCGACAGGATCCGATGTACCTGTTTTGACCTGGGACATTCCAAAAGGTAATAGGATGGTTGCACTAATCAAATGAAATAGTGCAGGTGAAAATATTACACAACGATAAAAATAAATGCCCACAATTTTTGATAAGAATATAATTTCTGAATGAAAAAAACAACGTCAAATGAAGATATATGAAATGTAAAGACAAAGGCTAAATCAACAAAATAACGATTGTTGCTGTTAGACGTTAAAGAATAAGTACCGTGAAATTGTGGTATCCATCTATCATACTTTTAAAACATTTTGTCAACCTGCTTGTGGTTCACGATAATGTCATCGATTCAATGTCGGATTTCTCAAATTCTCGTTCTATGCAAATAGTAACATGAAATTTGAAACGATCGTTTTTGTGAAAAGAAAATGTTGACGAGGAAAGGACCAGTCTAGGGCTAATATGGATTATGACTTGAAAAAAACTTCATTGATTTGATTTGACAATGACACTATTCTTTAAATTCTATTGATAACATTTTATTGTTTCGACGAAATGTATTAGACCCATCGTGAATATTTTAGTTGTCAATCAGCGAAAAAATCTCACTTTATTAAGAGTAGACTGTTAGTCAAACATCTTGATCTTCTCAGAGGTTTAAAGACACCATATTGGACTATTTTCCGTATTAAAACTTCTTTGTTTGACCGCTCGCTTTATCATTGGCCGGATTACGAAATGTGATGTATACGATGCGATGGACTTTTCTTTCTATGTATAGAGCTTATTTTAGTTCTTATCAACGTATACAAGAAGATGGATGGAAATTCAAAAATAATCAATGTACCAGTTGACGAATGTGCCATAGTCACCGATGTCTTAGCGACGACGGGTGTTGATTCGTGCTTGGTTGTGGCAGCTATTTTCGATTCAACAAGCAGTATTTTTATTGGTCATTATTCCACGGCGGAGATCGAGGGTTTCGGCGAATTGATCACATTAGACAATGTTCAGCAGTTTATGGAGACAATCGTCGAACAAATATGCGAAAACGTTTCGCTCGATTCACTGAAAACAGTTTTTCTTATTGGTGGTTGGAATACCAAGCCTTACTTAGAATTACAAGAACTTGTTGAGAATATTCGAAATGATGAAAAACATCGTTGTTCGGAAAGTATTTCATCCACTTTATCTAAATTGATTTCTTATAATTATTAAATACGTGCATCTACATTTTAATCTTGAACATCGTGGTTTTAATAATGAAAAGGTAATTCGATGATGATCTACCGAATACCGCCTTTCTCTAGTGATAGTGATACTTTTCATATGCATTTGCATTTGACTTCATTTCTAGATCGATGTAGATGATGATGATATAAAGGATAATTGGATATGTCAATTTGATCTTATTGTTGATCGTGTTGCAATACCACCGATCTTTCTCATTCTACAATACGCAAATCTTGAAATGAACGATCACGAGAAGAAATTGGTGATAATATTTCACTTCGATGGTAACAAGGGTGAACTGAAGAATGTACTTTATGCATCATCCGAATCTAACCAACCTGCATTCATCAATGACGTCATCGCGATGTCTCATAGTCGAGCCAAAGTAGCAAACATCCAGCCAGAGCCTATCCAGAATGATATGCTGAAATGTATGGAAGAGTTAAAATTACGCATACATTAATAAACTGATATTCATTCGAAAAACTTTTCACCGATTCAGATAGAAAAAACTTTGAATAAAAATCGGACTAATCAAAAAGAAAAAGAGAGTAAGATCAATAACACTCGTTTGAACATTTTCCATAAGCATTTCCTATGAACAATTCGATTTTTTTAAAGGAAATAAATTCGTATAGAAATTTCACGCGCGCATTGTAAAATCAGAGCGCAAATTTTGATCGAAAATGAAATATTGATGATCTGCACAATCGATTTTTTATCGGATAGCGGAACCAGCACAAACAGATACACAAATCACATGGAATGAACTGCTTTTTGTTCGTCACCGGTACAACATCTATCCAATGAATGAACGTTCTAATTGACAAAAAGGAAACAAAGAAGTGAAGAACCGTTTGTCCGTCAATCGATGACTGAGTTCATTCGTGAAGAAAATGTCATCACTGACCAATTTATTTTCGTTGCCTAACGAATTATTTCTGTCGGATATCTTTACTCATGTTGATTCGGTTGATTTAATCAAACTGTTCAACTCAATAGAAAACCGACGATTGAAATGTTTAGTTTGGGCGTCATTGCAGACAAGAATGTCCATCGATCTGGCCCGAGTGGAACTAAGTAATCAATGGCTCACANTGAGTTCATTCGTGAAGAAAATGTCATCACTGACCAATTTATTTTCGTTGCCTAACGAATTATTTCTGTCGGATATCTTTACTCATGTTGATTCGGTTGATTTAATCAAACTGTTCAACTCAATAGAAAACCGACGATTGAAATGTTTAGTTTGGGCGTCATTGCAGACAAGAATGTCCATCGATCTGGCCCGAGTGGAACTAAGTAATCAATGGCTCACATCCAATCTGTCGTTTCTTCCATCTGGTAATCAAACTATTGCTGTTCGAATCGACAATGCTCAGTTGAATGAAACATTAGCGGCTGTCTTAGTCAAAGTATTCCCAAAACTGACTCGTGTGGAAGTGATTATGTTACAGGAGCGACCACAAAAGGAATTCTTTTCAATTTTATCGCGAATGAATCTTGACTCTTTGACATTGTCATCAATCTCAAATGATCAGAATGAAATGTTGATCTACGTGTGTAATTCACAGTGCACGCTTCGCTGTTTAACTATCACCGAAGACAACAACCCTATTCATACACCATTGGAAGAGTTATTTTATCATTACAATTATCGTTTGACATGTTTATCAGTAGCTGTGATTGATCTAGGTGTAGCTGCGTCACTGTTGTGTCATGTTCCTGTTCTTGAAAAGCTTGTACTACGATTACCTCAGCGTCGTCGATGTACAGCAGGACATCCTCGTGAATATCGTGACGAGGATCATCGTTCATCTCAATGGTCCAATCGTCTTCAATTGTTAAGTATTATTGCGTCTCGAGCATACACACGCATCACCTCATCGTTCTATGATTTTGTACGTCGTTTTGCGTCATCACTTGAGCGACTCTCGTTCTATCTGACTCCACTCTTCAGGAAAATGACTCCACAAGCACTCGAACGTGAACTTCTTGAACAATTACCTCGTCTGACACGATTAGATTTTTGTATCCATACAGGACCCACTTATCCTCATGAGAGCGATGCAAGACGTTTGTTTGATCAGTGGTCAGTCAACCAACGGCACGTTATATCTATCTACCATAGTCCAGGTATGCAATATAGATGATCGAAATTTGTTGAATTTTCTTTATTTAAATGTAGGTCGTTTTCATACTCGATTCACCCTTCCATTCGTCTTTGATCGACTAGAGATGATTGACGCATCATTTTTAGATTTTCATTCNCTTATCCTCATGAGAGCGATGCAAGACGTTTGTTTGATCAGTGGTCAGTCAACCAACGGCACGTTATATCTATCTACCATAGTCCAGGTATGCAATATAGATGATCGAAATTTGTTGAATTTTCTTTATTTAAATGTAGGTCGTTTTCATACTCGATTCACCCTTCCATTCGTCTTTGATCGACTAGAGATGATTGACGCATCATTTTTAGATTTTCATTCGAATCTGCCGATGGCTGATGATTCTCTTCGATTGCCAACTGTACGTCACATTTCTTTTCTGTGTTCCGCAAGAAAAATTTTGACTAACACGTTGCTCGAGAAAATTCATCATACTTGTCCGCGAGTTCATTCAATCCATTTGATCAATGCTGGACCACCACTCTGCCTGAGTATTACACTTGCAAAGATTGATGTATTACCTTCATTTACTTTCCAAATGGTTACTCAACTCAAGATTGATCATAGTTCAACATCTTTGCCGACTCTTCGTCGAATGTTCGAATTATTTCCTCGTGTCGAATATCTTGTCGTATCCCACAAGTTTGTTGAATCCTGGCGCATTGTGCAGCCACTATGTGAGTTACCAAAGAGTGTTCGTCGCTTTACTGTTCAACTGAAATATGACAAAGACCGAACAAACATTGATCAATGGCAAACATGGTTGCCCTTCTCTGTCGAACTTCACTCGTATATCTCGAAGAATTAATAGACAATATTCTTTATTGTTTAAATACAATTTCAGTTCAGTTCCTATAGATAAAAATTAATCGTTTGTATTACTTTTTTAAATATATCTATGAGCTAATTAACAAGACTACAGCGCGAACAGACTAGAAACATCAAGATACGGAACGAACGTTCTTTCTTTTCTTCATGAAAAGTTCTCACGGAGAACTTTTTCATAGAAACCAGTCGCGTTCCTTCATGTTTTTGAACGGTGCACGATTCTATCCAATCATGAACGAGAAAAGGATTTATTAGGAATGCAAAATTGAAAAATTGATAGATATCGACATCGAACTTAGAAAGTCTTTTATGCCAAGGAAAATATCTCGATCATCGTCATTCTTTTCTTTTTTTTTCTTAGCTCCATACATGTATAACTCGAAAAGACATTTCGAGTATTAAAGTTTTCATTCGAGTTTTCGAGTTTTAAACTTCTAAAATTTAGAGGGTGTGGGTGAGGGTGGTAGAAATTGAAAACTCGAAGCTTCGAGTTCTAAATTTTAGAAGTTTAAAACTCGAAAAAGATGTTTAATACTCGAATCGAGTTAACGATTTCTACACTACTCTCAGCTCTTGCTCGATCTGGTCTCAAAATCGGAAGAATCGGTTCGTTATTCACATCCATTTTTTTCTCTCTTTATCTCTCGGTTTTGACTTTTTCAGAGGATGTTACACCAGTTCCATCAGACAGTACAAGACGAAAAGGTGGTCGACGTGGTCGTCGTTTATAAAACATCAACCAATCGTTTTCAATATTCAACACATTCTTCTTCTTCTTCTTCTTCTTTATCATCGTCAAGAAAGATTTCATTTGTATGTGTTGATAACATTGTTTCAAAATACCGCTTGTTTATTCATTTATCATCTTTATGAATAACACAATAAATGAGAACACACTCTTTCATTATACAAACAAACAAAATGAAAAGATGCGTTGTTTGATTATGTATTTGTTGATGGATTGCTATCTGCTTTTCGATCAGTATGAGCATGATCGAGACTTCCGGTGTCAGGCANTCAAGAAAGATTTCATTTGTATGTGTTGATAACATTGTTTCAAAATACCGCTTGTTTATTCATTTATCATCTTTATGAATAACACAATAAATGAGAACACACTCTTTCATTATACAAACAAACAAAATGAAAAGATGCGTTGTTTGATTATGTATTTGTTGATGGATTGCTATCTGCTTTTCGATCAGTATGAGCATGATCGAGACTTCCGGTGTCAGGCATTGCCGGGGCAACACCAATTCGCTCGAATTTGCCAGTCGAAACATCACTTGTTCCAACTGTTCGTTCTAAACCAGCATTACCTGACACTTCTGTTTCTCTATGTTCAGCTGGCGTCTCTTTCTTTTCGTCATTTTTCGACATTTTCCTTCTTCCAAAATATCTGAAAGTTGATCAATCGAGATCGAGAAGAAATGTTACCATTAAGAGAATGATTTCGATCGCTATGGAACTCTATGAAAAAGTGCAGAAAAAGAAAAATGACAGCGTGTTGATTTGTCTGATTTATTTCAATGAGGAATGGCTGTTTAAAGATTGTATTTCGCAATTAATAGAGTGTATTTACGAAGAGAAATTGATGCGCTTCTAGATTATGAGTTGGATGCTTTTGCCCGATGAAGTTTTGATCAGTAATAAACTAAACGAAATGTACTCTTCGGTATTTATTTGTTACAACAAAATCAGCACCAAACAGTCAATCCACACTTTCCTTCTTCAACAACGATCTCAGGTTCTACATGAGATGATAAACTCAAGATACGACGACGTATTTCTTCGATCGATTTTTGATAGCCGTCGATGACTGATCTGAGAAATTGAGCAAAACGATGATCAAGATTACCGTTCCCGTCGGCAATAAGATTAGGATCTACATTGAACATATACCAAGCCTCAGGTTCTATTATATTAATCGGATTATCATAATCAGGTTCGAATGCAAGTGCATTGCTTCTTCGTCGAAAACGAATACCAAAATGAGCGAGCATTGATGCCGTTTCGGCGATAATTTGACAACTATCTTCATCAAGATTGGTGTTCATATCATGGAAAGCGATATGAAATGAAGTGAGTTTTGGTAAAGACGAAAGTGAACGAAGAACAGACCAATCATCACACACAGAGTGTGGCATACGAGCATGAAATATCAGTTGAATTGAACGAATAGTTGGTGGAAATGAAGAAAAGCTTTTCAATCGATTAAGATTATTTGTTAAGATAAGATGATGAAGATTCGGAAAGTTTAAACCACTCGGCCAAGCATGAAATGATAAATAAATTGTATTAATACGATCGAATTGAACAACATGAGGCATTGAAACAATTGATGGTAATGAATCCTTTTGTGCCATAGAAAGTGTACGAAGTTGAGATGAGTAAAAGATTGATGAAATGCATTGTGATGGGACAAGTGTTTCTACTTTGGTTATATATANAAATTATTTGTGCAATGCGTTCGTTGTCATAGGTCACTTCAAAAGATGATTGGAGAATTGATGATTTGACCGAAGAAGTTATATAAATCGACAAATGAATGAAATTTAGCTTGTTATATGAAACCATCTGTATAGGCTAAGACAATCATCAATGAAAGCGATATCTATAGCATCTATGATGTGCCTAATGAGAATAGCAGCACGATCTGTGTGCGTGTCGTTTCAGACTCTTTTGTTATCTTTCTCTCCTCTGCTCTGCTTATAAACTAAAACACGTTTTTCTAGGACTTCTTTGGCTAGTCTTGTCAGATCGTGTTTTGCATAGTGAAGGCATTCGACTTGACATGTAATAACTTTTATTTATTCCAAAAAGTTGTTTCAAACAGCCCGCTTTTTACAGCCGGGATGGTAATACTAAAAGCAAAAGGAGAAAATAAAATGATATTCCCGTAGAGTCAAGTTATACTTACGTTAAAACCCGATGCAGGTCGATCATTCCAGTGACTGGATTCGGAAAATTCCTTGTCGTCGGATTCCGGTCGGAATCGACCGAGCCACGATAATCTGGGAATCAGTTTTTTTAACGGTACTGGGCATCTTGCATAGCTGTCATAATATCATTACGCTGGGTATCCAGAGCTGAACGTCTCGATACCAACGAGGATAACCAAATTGACTTCATTTGCTGACCTGGTTACCCGTTACTCGTTACCGGATAACCAAAGTATATCTTTCGAGATGTGAGGAATTTAGTCGGACTATCTCGCGACCACAAATCAAAACTACATACTTTTGAACCAGCTTGATGGTATCGGTATGAGGAAAAACCCCGATCTGTAGGCATAGCACAACATGAGGGTGCTGGGAAAAGCTTGGAACTTGGACGAAAGCCTTTTTAGGGTTTTAACTCCAACAATTGATACCTCGACGAGGGCTTCGTATGCTCATCAACTCTAGCTCAGCAACTTAGGCGTACAGTACCGAATTACATTCTCTTCTGGATTCTCATAGCTCTTACTGTCTCTTATATCATTGATTGTTTCCATTAGACTCCGGTATTGAACAGCAACTTCTTCAGAGGCCATTCGTCGATATCCATCTCGTTACCCGTTGGGTATCGACCAAATTCACTCAAATTCCTCCGGATTCTGAATATACTGTTGTCGATTTTTAAACGGATACCCGGGGAAATGCTATTATGACATCACTCTTTGGTTGTCTCGTTTAGAACTTATAACGTAACGAATGTTTAAAACGGATGCATTTGCTATTGACGTTGGAATATCCAGAAGTTGGACTGACAGAGCAGTAGCGTAATAAAATAAACGATTTGTGGGTGATGTAGATTTTCACGGTCAGTTCCATTTATATATTCATTTTCAATTCTGTCACGGTCTGTGTTTAGATGTACAACATGTTGCTCGATGGATAACTTCGGTTTCCGGTGGGGTTGGACCAGTAACAATTGTTTGTCTGATATCAAATTTACTCCGACTAGCACGATACCGAGGACAATGATATATCTTGTGATTGTTTTGTTCAAATAAACATCCAAAGAGACTTATACATGATATTAAAAAGAATAAGGTTCTCAGAGACAGAAGAGTCGTTAGCGAAAGACTTAACTTTTCGTCTGTGTTGTGCTTTCCATGCGACTGGAACCTGTCGTATGCATAAATCTTCTGTACGTTAAAATTAATAACAAACGGGGAAAATATGTCATCCGTGAAAACTTCATCAGGGAATAAAAATAAACTCATTATGGAATTTAGTTCAGTTCACACGATGGCTTTATTCATTTCATGCATTACATTATTTTTATTCTGAAGAATTAGAAGGTGCCATGATGTTTCCATTTCAGAATTCTCTCTATAATTTGACACTGAATTTGTTTCAAAACTAGATACAATATTTCTATTAGTAGCAAACTCTGCACAGTTACCAGAAGACGTATATATTCTATCGTGTGCTGTACTGTTCTTGTCATTTTCTTTATTTACTGAAAGACAACACACACCAACTAAAACATCCGTTCCGAACCTCTTGCTTAACATCACATCAAAGTATCACTCTATCAAAGAATGTTCCAAGTTCAACGGCTAGTTCGCTTCTCTTATTTTCTCGTCTTCGACATCACATCTCTCATCTCCACAATGCTCGTCCTAGCTTTTCTTCTTTTCGATCGGGCCAATCGACAGGCACTTTACAATCATATCATCATTGTTCTCCTCATTCTTGGATTTGTCTACGAGTTAACAAACATTTTGTTTCATCTGTACAATGATTACAATGGTGTACCTCTTTCAACATCACCTGATTTCTACATTTTCTGGGTATTTCTCGACTATTCGTTGTACTCACTGCAAATCGCTCTCTTCGCTTGGGCGAGCATCGAAAGACACATTCTCATCTTCCATGATCAATGGTTATCGACAGCAAAGAAGCGGCTACTTATTCACTACCTGCCACCAACAATCATCATTGTCTACTATCTCATTTACTACTGTATGGTGTACTTTGACACACCTTGTGATTACTCATTTGATGGATATTTACATGGCGGTATTTATATTCCTTGTGCATTTGATCGCACGTTTCTGGCAACTTGGGATCTTTTTGTTCACCAGGTCTTTCCCACATTGCTCATTGTGGTGTTTTGTGTTGCTCTGCTAGCCCGTGTTATCAGACAAAAGGCGCGAATGCATCGTGCTAATCGATGGCGAGAGAGTCGTCGTATGACAGTTCAGTTGCTATCGATCTCATTAATCTACCTATTATTCAATCTACCGTGGGTGGCTATCATATTCGCCTATCAATGTGGTTTGCCAGCTTCTGTTGCAATTGATGGTATACTGTTCAGCAAATTTGTGCTTTATAATGTGATATTTTTTTCCCGTACGTTACTTGTCTGGCAATGAAGCAGTTTCGTGTAAAAGTGATGGAGTTGACTTGTTATCGAGGAAGAGGAAGACAAGTGGTACCTCGCACTATAACAGGAAATGCTACGCAGGGTGGAACACAGTTGCGGTGAACAACGAATTATCACGTGCACAATAAGATCGAGTTAATCACCCTGATTTATGACTTGCATTTTGAATCTAAAAAACAAAAATTGTCTCTCCGCTCCTTATTGTTGTTGTGTATATGCATTGGAATGGTTTTACTATCTATTTAATGTCGTACCAGTTCGTTTTACCAATTCAACGAAATAAACACTTTTATCAAAGACATTCTTTGAAACGTTTTATGTAAGATACTATGAGAGAACTGGTATTTTTTTCCGGTAGTGTGACACGTATCGTGGTGTAGAGATGATCAATCTCTGGCAGGATATTCATCTGCAGCATCTCGAACCTGCGAAATATGTGAGTTCACTAAAATACGGGAACTTTTCGGCTGTACTTGTTCGAGGTTAGCAATTTTCATGATCTTCTACTGAGTTCCTGGAGAAAATGGACCGTTGTTCACTTTCCATTGTGAAAAAATACTAAAAGGATCAAAACAAGCTTTCTGATGCATAAATAAGACGTTTTATTTCCATTCTCCGCTCTTCATCGATTCTGAATGTCAATATACTGTCACTTGTTGAAAAGATCTCAATATAAAATGATGAAAGCATTCAAGTTCATTCATCGGAAAGATCCCGATGTGAACTTTTCTCTCATATGTATCAAGTAACTTACGTAATAAGATTGGTAGTCAGCATTTGCTATGGAAATCGAAAGTTAGTTCTTATACAGGAAGACACCTTTGAATTGTCTACGATTCATCCAACATTAAGAGTACTAACTTGATCTTGAGCAACCTTCCTCAGATTCCTGTTTAAAGCTTGGTATCCTGATAATGTTGTTTTAAACGTATATTTTGTGGTTAATCTATACGATCTTAACACATAGTTGTTCGTCAACCACTCACTGCTAGCCGTTGCCATGAATGTTCCGCTATGTCTATCACTTTTGATTAACTATCGGAGTGAACAGCTACGTTTCTGTTCTTTGTTGCTTCCAAAGTGGCGATCCTCTATTCATTTAATTTCCGAAATATAAACCATATGGACAAAGTACTCATCATAGTGCTTCCCATGTTTTGAATACTATTTGTATAGACGATGTTTCTATGGCTAATAAGATGGGATTGTATTGATGAACACACTTTTTCTGCGATGTATAATCGCTAAAGTTCTATCGAAAGGTCTGACGCATCCCAGCGGACCACGCACACATCACATCCAGGAATAGCCTTCTACCTTCTATCAACGATTTCTAAAAGACGCATAAAATATCACTTTTGGAAAAAGAAAGGAAGAGGTCTAATCTTGATGGATAAGAAAAAACTAACAATAGATTTGAATTCTTTGGCATCGATTACCTCATTAGTACTCAATCTCTGGTTGCTATCCGTAGATTTCATTGATTTAAGAAATGCTGATTTCTGATTGGATAGGACAGACAAACAAACTTTAAGTTTTTTCAGCCCAGGGTTCACCCGCTGTATAATCCTTTCTTTCAGAAAAGAGAATAAGATAAGAATACAAATCTAATATTATCTTTCTCTTTTAAAGATAATTGACTGGTTTTTGTATCTAATGATACAGAAGAATGAATATTTTATTCTTTTTTAAATTAAACAAAATAAAGTTCACACGAATTTAGTGGAACACTTGTTGGTGAGTAACCACCACAAACTAAAACTGTACTTTGATCATTATTTGGTAATAATGTTGCAGTATGTTTATATCTTGCAAAACTAAGATTAGCTACTGGTGTTGTTAGATAATTATTCGATGGATCAATAACATCACAAGTAGGTGTTATCACTGAACCAGTACTTCCACCAACAATTAATACTTTTCCATTTGGTAATAATGTTGCTGTATGCCATGATCGGAATGTTGACATTGTACTCGTTAAAGTTGAAAAAGAATAAGTAAGAACATCAAAAAGAATCATTGTATTTTGAGTATTCCAATTATCACGATGTCCACCTGTTATTAATACTTTATTAACAGTTGGTAAATAAGATGCGGTATGATAAGCACGTGCTGTTGGCATTGCACCACCGGATCCTAATGAAAAGAACATATTTGATGCACCATAATATAATTCTGTAGAAGAATAATATGTTGAACCCTGATAACCACCAGCAACTAAAATAATTCCAGAATTATTTCCAAGTCTTGTTACTGTATGCGAAAGACGAGGTACAATCATTGTATTTAAACTCATAGAAAATGTTGTTATTGATCCACTTGAGATAGCATCACCTGTATCTAATTGAACAGCGCCTTGTCCGCCAATAACAACTAATTGTGTTGAACCAAATATTGCTGANGAAGAATAATATGTTGAACCCTGATAACCACCAGCAACTAAAATAATTCCAGAATTATTTCCAAGTCTTGTTACTGTATGCGAAAGACGAGGTACAATCATTGTATTTAAACTCATAGAAAATGTTGTTATTGATCCACTTGAGATAGCATCACCTGTATCTAATTGAACAGCGCCTTGTCCGCCAATAACAACTAATTGTGTTGAACCAAATATTGCTGATCCATGTGCATAACGCATTGTTGACATAGCGATTGTTAATGTATTACCTGTTTTTGGATCAAATAAATCACTAACATTCAATGTTCCACTTGACCCTACACCACCAGCTAAAAGAATATAATTAGGAAATGCAGGTAATATATCAGCTGTATGATAATAACGTGCTCGTGGCATATCAGTTCCATTTATAAAGCAACCTGTTGATTGATTATAGATTTCTGTTGATTTTAATGATATTCCATTTAAACCACCAGCAATTAAAACTGAATTATCTTGTGCAAGATAAGTACTTGTATAGTATTGTCGAGTAATTGACATATTACCTACAGAATACCAAGCATTTGATGGACGAGATGTGGGAATTGTAAAACAAACTAAGAAAAACATAGTTTAAGTCAAACAAGAGATAGGAATAATGATTTACTTAAGGGTGCAATTGTCGTCGTTGTAGTTGGTGCTAAAATTAATAAGGGAATATAGTAATAATGATAAAGAGTTCTTTACTTGTTGTTTGACGAAGAAGAATAATTTCAACAGTTGTAACACCAATTACGATAGTAATCATTGCAATAGCATATAAAATAAGTACAATTATTAGCCAAGGTCGTTGTTTTAGATAATTAAAACATGAAATTTTCACTGGTATTTCTTTTAAAGTTACGTCTGAATTGATATTTGATGAAATTTGATCATTAATATCACATAATTTATCATGTTGAGTCTTCGTCATTGATTATTTCGATTCAAATATAATTTGTCCTTAATTCTCTAGAAGAATCGTCTCAATAAACCGCAGACAAGTTTTTATTTCTTATTCAAATAAATAATAGGCGTCTACGAAATTCGTAAAACAAGAAAATAAGTTTTTTTTTAATAAGAGGAGTCCTTTTCAAAACAAAACCGAATTTTTTATAATCCAATTATTTTTCAGTCATCTATATACTCAATGAATAGTTTATTATCATTCTATCAGTAGTTTTTGTTTTCACGAACAACGCCCCATTCGATTCTTTATCTCACAGGGAAGAAACTTTACTTGTTTATGTCCAAGGACAATAAGGATAATTGAAGAAAGCCAATCTACATTCGTTTCTTTTGATTTTAAATTATGAATTCTACGAGAAAGAGTAGTAGAATCAATCTATGCTTGCACTTCTGGTTTGGAGTATCTGATGCATCCATTCCACATCGTCAGATATTTCTTACATTGTCTCATTAGAAATACATTCCAAATACAATTGAAATAAAAACAACAAAATTGAATTCATTTTTTTTAAATGAAATAGAACACATATTTAAGTTTATTTATTTGGTCAATAATGTTTTATTTAAAACCCAATAAATGAAATGATTGATTAATAATAACAAATACGAGATATATTTAAACAACCAGAAACAGTCATACCGTATCACTCTACGGAAAACATCCGATATGGTATAGCTAAAAGTAAAATGACATTTTCGTAAAACAAAATTATACTTACGTTAAAACCTGAGTCGTTGTTCACCTTCACTACAAATTCGTTTTTGTTAACGGTATTATGCATCTTGAACAAACTATTCCATTCCACTGTATTTTGGCTATGATAGCCTGAAAGATATGTGGTTAAAATATTTCCCTTTGATTGTTATGCACTTAGTTGTACTAGTACATCTGCTCAGGTGATAATCATTCAGGTTCTTAGATTCGTTCAAAGACTTTTGTTTCCCATTCCCACTGATTCTCAGTGCTTTCTTTCCAGATTCAGCCCGCTTTTCAACATGATTGCTGATGGCTTCATTTATTGTTTACGTCTATAAAGAAAACAGAATGTGCGTCGAACTATATAGAATACAAACAGAGGGAGAGTGAAAGTATCCAACTGATCTGATAAATTCTTCGAGGAATAGAATTGAATATATCTTAACAAAGAAATAGACGAAGATATAGATAAATCTTTAGACAGTCGAATTTCATATAAGTATACTTCAGACTAACCTTGAAGAAAAAGAAAATAGGACAAACGTATTCGATAGATCATGTTCAAACAATGATCAACGATGAACATGGATTTATTTGCTATTAAATATATCGCTATAAATATCGACAAATTCTTGATTACTTCAATCAACTATCGTAAATAAAAAACAATCAGTTATTTTTGATTTGGAAACCAGAAAATATTTTCCTCTTTCTTTTTAAACATTATTTAGAATTAATTATTAAATAAGTAAATGAAAGATGTGCTTCGATGGAAAAAATATCAACAATCAACGTCTGCATTTAAATGATTCCAGTTCAATTAGGAATGCTCATATTTAACAAACAAAAAATATATATTAAACTGGATTAAAAAAATGACGACATGTTGATTTATCCGATCTGTTTCAATGAGGAATAGGTGTTCACACAAGAGGATAACTTGCAGAAGTTGCAATTCCACATTGATTGTGTTTATTTCTGCTCATTAGAATATAACCTTGTTGACCCCATTGAGTTCCCCAAGAATTTTTGACAAGATAATAATCTTTTGAATTCAAACTTCCATAACCAACAGCTAAAACACCATGATCAAGTAAATATGATGAACAATGTGGTTCATCGTAAACACCAGATGAATAGAATTGAAATGATTTAAGTGATGCATCAATTGCAACTGATATGGGACCAATTGTGGCGATGGCTGCTTGAAGATCTGTTTCATTTCCTAATTTGATTTGAACAAAACCCTAAAGAGAAACTTTTCAAATTTTGATAATTAAATTTGAATTTCTTTTAACTGTATCTGTTGCACCAATATTATTCGGATCAAATCGACAATGATGTCGTTCAGCTTCATAAGGATAACTCGACTCCGTATCAATGCCACCATTTGATTTGATGTAAAGATAAGCAATTTCCATAATTCCTCCATGACAACCTAAATTGACTGAACAATCAACAAGATTTTGTTCAGAAAGTGAAACAAGTTTGGATGTTTTTGCAAAATGTTGTCCTTCTAAAACTCCTGTTGTTGAAAATGCCCAACATGAACCACATTGTCCTTGATCTTTGACTGATGTAACATAACCTTTTGAACGCCAATCAACTGAATCCGGTAGAACAAAATCCGATGGAGTTTCAAATATTTGATGATCCATTGAAGATTTGAGTTTCATCTGAAATCCATTCATTTGTTTTCGAAATTCTCCGTTTGTCTACAAAGTAAAACGATCAAAATGAATATGTGATCCTTGTTTATTACCATATCGCCAAATCGATTCATTCCAAGTGTATAACTATGCATTCCCATATCAGCTTCCAAATTGTGTTTGCGAATCATTGATAAATTTTCTTCCCAAATTTGTCGACTAAAAATTTTCTCAATCGAAAATACGAAAACCTATGTTTCTATCAAACAAACCGATTGATTTCATCTTGATTGGATGAATATTCTTTGTCAAAGACACGTTTAAACAAAGACCAAGACTCATCTAATTGATTATTCAAAATTGTAAAACAATTTCCCTTGAGAAAAACAACACACAAAATAATCAATAGCAACTTCATTATTTTTTTTAACCGATCTTACAATGAAGATTCACATTTACATTTATATATTTGACTTACGTCAATAGTCATCGAGAAANTGATTTCATCTTGATTGGATGAATATTCTTTGTCAAAGACACGTTTAAACAAAGACCAAGACTCATCTAATTGATTATTCAAAATTGTAAAACAATTTCCCTTGAGAAAAACAACACACAAAATAATCAATAGCAACTTCATTATTTTTTTTAACCGATCTTACAATGAAGATTCACATTTACATTTATATATTTGACTTACGTCAATAGTCATCGAGAAAGAAAAACAGATTTTTCTTCTTATCTTTCACTATGATATTGCAAAGATTAAATTTATCTCGAAATTCACATGAAGATTTTAATTCGAATCGACAAATAAGAAATTCATTTCTTTGTCATTATAAACATCGTTATTCCCTATGTACATATTGATTCCAACATTGTTTTTTTTTCTTAATGAGTATATCGAAACACTTGTCATATAACTAAGCACAATGAAAGGTGAAGGAAAAGTGATCCTTCAATATAGGTGACGCCCATTTCACTCATAAATCAGATAAATTCTTGTGTATCATAAGTAAAAACAAATCGAATAAACAAAAAAAAACCCTAATTTGAAAAAAAGAACATTCGAATTGTCCTGAAACAAAGCAAGAGACATATCAAAAATAGTTTTCTTACGCCAAAGACTGTCGAAAGTCAATATTTGGAAAAGTGCGTAATAAACAAAAATGATTGATTATTAATGACAAATTCAAAACGAGATAAATGTTATGAATAAGACAAACCATGTGATCACTGACGCATAACTTTGATCAGAGAACAATTATATTGCATTTATATTGAAAGAAAAGGTGAGGATTTATTCATTTTTGAGAGACAAAAATAAAGATGAGTGTAAATGATGATCAACGTCCTAATGGACATTCAGTTCGATTCGATGAAACTGTTTATACGGATGGTGATCAGTCAACAGAAAAAATTCCAGACGATAATAATGAATTAAATGCAAGAAATCGATTAAATCAACAAAGATTTAGTCGTAGATCAAGTATTTTAAAACGTCGAATAAATACAATAACAACATCGGAAGCACCACGAGTTATTTTATCCGATGAAGGACTCAAAGGTGGACGAGTTTCACCTTTTACAAATTTTCCATTTTTTTTAAAAATGACTGTTCGATCAATTGGAATTGTTTTCGGTGATATGTAAGTGAATTTATCAATGAATTTTTTTTTCTCTAAAAAGAAACTTTCTCTAAGTGGAACATCTCCATTATATGTCGTGAAAACTATTTTCGATTCTCCTCCAACTGAACATGATGTTATTGGTGCAATCGCCTTAATAGTTTGGAGTTTAATTGTCGTCGTATCGTTAAAATATGCAATATTTATCTTAATGGCAGATAATCGTGGTGAAGGTGGACCATTCGCTTTATGTAGTTTATTAACTGGTCAAACAAGTTTTCTTCGAAATCGAACAAAACAATTTGTTAGTATTATTTCAATTTTATCAGCTTGTTTATTAATTGGTGATGGTGCGTTAACACCAGCTGTATCAATTTTATCTGCATTTGAAGGAATGGTTGTGGCTGAACCATCACTTTCACCTTGGACTGTTCGAATATCGGTGATTATGATTATAATTTTGTTTTTAATTCAAAGATGGGGTTCGTCAAGACTTGGTATTTTCTTTGGACCAATTATGATTTTATGGTTTATTCTATTAGCCACAATTGGAATATGGAGAATTACGTTTAAACCATCGATTTTGAAAGCGTTTAATCCCTGGGAAGCATTACATTATCTAATACGAACAAAAAAAACTGGATTTTATCAGATTGGATCGATATTTCTGTCTGTAACTGGTTTGGAAGCGTTATATGCTGATTTAGGACATTTTGGAAGATGGCCTGTAAGATTTTCATGGTTTGCTTTGGTATTTCCTGCAGTTTTATTGAATTATTTGGGACAAGGTGCAGTTATTATCGTTGATTCTACACTTATTGATAATCCGTAAGTTTTTTTTTTCAAGATTTCCTAATAGAACTCATGTTGATTTATTTTTCTTTTAAAAGTTTTTATCATGCAGTACCTGATTGGGGTTTATGGCCATTACTTGTCTTTTCTGTTATTGCATCTACAATTGCTTCACAAGCAGTAATAACAGGATCATTTTCTTTAGTTTCTCAAGCAGTTGCTATGGGTTATTGTGTTCCATTTACCGTTGTTCATACATCACAATCAATCATTAGTCATATTTATATTCCAGCTGTAAATTATTTTCTTTTAGCATTAACTCTTGCTGTAACAATTGGTTTTCAAACAAGTGATAATATAACAGATGCATATGGTGTTACTGTATGTAGTGTTATGGTTATTACAACAATTCTTTATATGATGGTTATGCGTTATAGTTGGTCAAATCCAATTTGGATTGTCATTTTGTTTGGAATCTTTTTAGTAATTGATTTATATACATTTGCAGCAATTTGTACGACAAAGATTGATTCAGGTGGTTGGGTAGCAATTGTTATTGCAGTTGGTTTATTTATTTTTTCATTTAGTTGGTATTATGGAAATAATTGTTTAAGACTTTATTTATCAGAGAATTGTACAACAAATTTAATTGAAGATTTACCAAGAAGATTTGGAATTCAAGAATTTCATCAAACTGATGAAGAAAATAATGATGAAGAAGATCATCAAAGTTCAACAGATGATGAAAATGATGAAAGAAGATTTCCAAATCGAACTAATTCAAATGAAACTTCAATTTCAATTATTGAAAATCATTTTGATTCAAATATACAAGAAGATTCTCCAATTGAACGAACAGAAATTTGTTTTACAAAAGGAATTGGTTGTTTTCTCAGTACTTCAAAGAAATATACTCCATATGTTTTTGAAAATTTTCTTCGTCGAATGAAAGCATCACAAGAAATTCTAATCTTTCTTAAACTTGATTATGCACGAATTCCATTAATTGATGATGATCAAAGATTAATTGTTAGAAAATTTGGTCAAAATATTTATCATATCACAACTATATTTGGTTATGCAGAAACAAATGTAAATCTTTTTAATATTCTTCATTTAGCAAGACAATTTTATGATCTTCCAATAACTGAAGATCAATCAACAATTACTTTTTATCTTCCTAATGAAACTATTCATGTGAATACAAAGGGATGTAAAACATATTTAACACGATGGCCTTTGTATATTTATTCGGTTTTAAAGAATTTATATCCTGGTATGCCTTTAAATTTTACATCAATACCAGAAAATACCATTAAAATTGGAATTCTTGTTGATTTATAAAACACANTTCTTTCCCGCGAGATTTTTCTTAATTAATTTCATCTTAGAAGTGTTTCTTTCGTACAAAAAGATCTCTCCGTGTTCGATTTAACTTTAGGAAGGACGAGCAAACGACTACTGCTCAACAATTTCATCAATCCTTTTGATTAGTTAAAGTTTGCACTGTTTAAAAAATATTTATTTTCATTACGCTAGTAAAGTAAAATGTACAGATAACTTGACAAAACGTATAGCAACAACTGTAAAGGAGAAAAAAAAACCTTAATTACATTATTCTACGAATAATTTGAAACTCTTTGGTAAATCATAGCTTACAGTCTTTGCAGTAATATTACTTCAGGCGTTATCATCCTAGGTGGTCCAGAAATTTGTTGAAGACTTTCAAATTCGATGTATGACATTAACTCTAGAAAGAATAAATGATCAACAAGGCAACAAAACGTTTACATCATCCACAGTATGCTATTTTGATCGTTCTCTTTTTCGGCTTCGATCTGGATGGATGTGTTCATATTCGAGAGACATAGATATTACAGGAGAAGAATATATATCAAAAGAAGGAAAAGATCAATTGATATCTTCGCCAAGCACAGTATACAAACATTGTATTCTTTGCATTTAGATATTAAAATGTCAATTGAAGTGTTCTTGCGTAGGTGGACGGTCGACAATATCCAAGTAAGAAAACAAAATATCTCTCAACACAATAGAATGTCTTTATTTATTTAGATGGAGAATTTGAATAAATATGAATCAGAGGCTCAAATACGCATCGAAATGCATCATGCTATGATGAACGATACAACAATCGGTACGGATATGCGCAATCAACCGAGACTCTACATGGAACAAGCGAAGGCAGAGTTGCAATTCATTCACCCGTCTTTCTAAGAAACAAGAAATCGAATGATATCTCGATCACTGTCTTCTTTTCTCTTTACATTACAAAAAAAGACAAAAAATAAACTATCCGATAATCGTATTCTGCTTCTTGAATATGATTTAAACATAATTCCAAAGGAGCGAGAAGATGTTTTCATCGATTGGTTCATTCTCAATTAGTCTAGTCTATTTCTTCAGGTCATTATTGAATCAGATGATGGGATCACTATAAATGTGTCATTATTCCTCCAGTCGATAAAGAGGAAATGGATACATTCGAAGAGACAAACATGAAGAAATTCAATAGCAATCTACTTGATTTACCCGATGAAATCTTCCTCATCATTTTCAAGGACCTCATGATGCTTGATGTGTTTTCTTCACTTGTGAATGTTGATCGACGTTTTCATCGATTAGCAATAGATCCTCATTATGTTCGTCATTTTGATCTAACTGACACGATGTTCATCCGATCACTGTGCAATCGACCTTCTTCGATTGATACCCAGTTCCTTCCGCGATTCAGTGAACAAATCTTACCTCGAATTCATCACCACATCCATCAACTTACTGTCGAACAGTCGTCGATTAAGTCATTTCTTACCGTCAATTATCCTCAACTCAATTTATTGTCGTTGGTCAATTTTGAAGAGGAAATACTTTATCAATNATACTGAACTATTCCTCTCGCAAACAAAGATGCATCTACCATGTTTATTGAATCTCTCGTTGGAGTTGAATCAACTCACAAGTATAACGAACCATTTCACTGAAGATCCGACGCATTTCAATATGAAGACATTGAAAAGTATCGATGTATGTGAATCCTTTGTTCGTCCAGAAAACTTTCATCAATATTGTCCTTTGTTATAAAAGTTGTCAATAAAAGGTCTGATTTAGGCCCATCGACTATGAATGACATTCTATTTCTTCGATTTACTGAAAATAAGGTATATGTCAGGCATCTTTCTATTATTATTTGTTTCCTATCTTAATTTTTGGAAATGTATCATAGAATGAGTCATATATCCTCAATCAACCTAATTAAACCGCTGTTGTAGCGAGAAGAATTTGTGTCGGAACAGAGAGGAAAAGTGACTTCCCGTTTTGCCCTTCAATGATTACTCTGGATATCATTTTGATCAAGAACGTTCTTAGAAAAAGGAGCAAAGTGTCTGTGCGGCAAGAATATTCAGAAGCTTCGAAAAAAACTTCCTATATAAGAGTCTATCGATTTCCTCCTGGCTTTAGCTTCTCTAGCAGTTCATTGGGTGGAAGTTTATGCACGACACAAGTATCACTCTTCAATTCTACATGACAGTGAGGAGTGACTCGAGACATATATCGAAACTCTTATCTAAATCAACCACAAGTTTCACTTCCGGATGGGGCTTGAGGGTGAGGGCAAAAATGCGGAGAGAGATATCTCGAAGTGAGGGTGCACGCAGGGTGTTACCTCGTAAAGTAACGGTGGGAGTGCTGCCTCGTATAGCATAAATGACAATGCCATGATCGTTGAAGGGTGTGTGAAAATGAATAATCGATAAAATGAAAATTTGCTGATTTTGAGATCTTATAGAGGAATAGCTGGATAACTGGAGTAAGAGTTGATTTAATGATTTCAACTTTCGACTTAGACAGTACTGATCGAGTACTGAGGAAAGTATTAACAAAGGCTTTTGAAGACCTTCTGAGCGCTCACAGAAAAGTAATCGGTTTTTGCACATGACGTTCTTGCAAATACAGGAATAATTGAAAACTTTAACTATTCAAGTATAATAGTTCAATACTTGAATTCAAGTTTTGAGTTCGACACTACTGTTCTTCATTCAAACTCATCTCCCCAAATCATCAAGCGTATGAAATGACCGATAGACATGTTTTCATTTCCTCAACGTTTACAATGTCTTCATGAAAAAGAAAAAAAAAAGATATAAAAAAACGAGCAAACGTATTTCGATTTGTTAAAATGTCTATTGTTTAACAATTCCATCGATCCATTTAAGATAATCAGGATTCCCACTGTTAATTGGAAGTTCAATTAGTTCTGGAACTTCATATGAATGATTCGCTTTAACGAATTCGATTAATTTCGGAACAANTCGTTGGTTTCATGAGAAAACTACAAAATCAACATGTTTCTTGTTGGAAAACTGTTTTTTTTTCAATGGGTTTTTACTTGAGATGGTTGATAATAAACGTGATCATTTCTGAAAAATATCAAAAAAATTGAAAATAAAATGTGTTTAAGAACGAGAAATTGTTACTCTGAAAAGGATTGAGCAAAATGACAATCATCTTGTAGAAGTTTAGCGATTTTTGAAAAGATTTGATAACTCTTCGAATTCGTATTGTTAAAATGACCAACAATATAAGAATATTTGTTTTCTATTTGATTTAAATTCACAATTGGCGATTGAATTTGTTTTTGAATAAAATTTAATAAAGATTCAAGTGTTCTTTCAAAGAAAAAGATTAATTTATTACATTTTTATTCATTGAATTTCATTTACCTCGATCCACGATATTCTTTTTTGATCAAAATTCCATGACGAAAATATTTTATAGTTGGATATTTGTCAATATGATATTTTTCACCGATTGAACCTCAAAATTAAAAAAATTCAATATCTTTTTACATTCTTTTTTCACTTTACTTTGTTGATCACAGTCGACTTTTCCGATGAGAATCGAATTATTCTTCTAAATTCAATGAAAATCTCGTGAAATTCAAGAACAAGAAAGATTAATACGAACGGAATATAGTTCATTGACTTTGTCAGCTAATTGATCATAAATTGGATTGAGAATTTGACTAAATCGACACCAATTGGCATAGAAATTGATTAAAACAAATTCATTTGAAGCTATAGAAAAAAATTTCAAGAAATAATTCGGAAAAAGAAAGGAAAACGTTTGTTACACAATGTCGATTCGATATTATTTGTTGTAATTTGTATTGCACGAGGTGAAATGGAAGAAATATTCAGGTAAATCTAAGAAAATCAATTGAAAATTACGATGAAAACATTGATTTAGACTTACAAGAAACAAAATAAAGATCATTTCTGTTTTTCAAACAAATCGAATTTAATAAAACCACGTGAGAAAATTCATCTGATCTAATTCTTCTTTTTCAAATAAACAAAAGATTTTTCTTTTTTTATTTTCTCTTCTCTTTTTCCATTTTCATCAAAAAAATTTCGTTTTTCATTGAAATTTTTCGAAAAAAAAACTTCAAATTTTCTCCATTAAATCAAAGTGCATAGATGTGCTAAAGACAATTTTTAGAGGAGAAATAGATTTTGTTAATGACATATCAAAAGAAATCTTCGTCAAACAAAAAGATGAGTAGTGAAAAGTAAATGAAAAAAAAGTTTCTTAAAAAAAAAACAAACTTTCATTTTTCAATTTCTTTTCAGTCAAGTGCATTCAATGCAGACGGATAGTGAATGTGAATCGGATGTTTCATCCATAGCTGATTCATCAACATTGAATCGAGAACATTTAATTAAACGAATCGATTCATTACAACAAGAAAATCGTGTTCTCAAAGTTGAACTTGAAACGTTTAAATTACGTTTAAAAGCTTCGCAACAAGAAATCAAACAACTAAAACAGTTCGTTTCTTTTCTTACATTGATGTTCTCAGGTATATTTTTCGTTGAATTTTTAGTGCAAGTGTTCATATGCAAGCGAAAGCTGAACAAGAAGAAGAATTCATTTCGAATACTTTGTTAAAGAAAATTCAAGAATTGAAAAAAGAAAAAGAAACTTTAGCAAATAATTATGAACGAGAAGAAGAATTTTTAACAAATGATTTATCAAGAAAATTACAACAATTAAGAGAAGAAAAACAATCGTTAGAACATTCTTTGGAACAAGAACAAGCTTCACAAATTAACAAATTAATGAAAAGAATCAAACGGTTAGAAGCAGAAACAATTAATAAACAAAGTATTCTCGTACGAAATATTTCTTTCGTATTCAATTCAATTAATTCTATTATTTATTTTAGGAACAATTGAAACGAGAAAAAATCGAATTAGAAAATACATTAGAAAAAGAACAAGAATCTTTAGTTAATCGTTTATGGAAACGAATGGAAAAATTAGAAACAGATAAACGATTACTTCAACAAAAACTCGAACAACCTGATCAAAGTCATTTGGTAATTTTTATATATTTTTCGTATGAAATGAATTCTTTATATATTTTTAAAAGGAATGTCATCCATCATCATCTATTGATTCATCATCAAATGTAAATAATAGTTCAACAATAATCTCAACCGATGAAATGACTTCAAATCGTGCAAATCCTCATTTAACTACTCGTCTTTCATTACCAAATGTTGATCATATTCAACAATTAAAACGTGAAGTAGAAAAATTGAAAAGAGAATTGAATTCAACACAAGAATCACATCGAGAAAAAATGGAACAACTTGTTCGAGAAGAACAAGATATTAGAAATGAAAATTTACGTTTACAAAGAAAATTACAACTTGAAGTTTGTCGTTTCTTTTCCTCATTTTTCACCTTGTAATATCATTTTTTTTTCATTATAGGTTGATCGTCGTGAACAACTCTGTCGTCAATTAAGTGAAAGTGAATCATCACTTGAAATGGATGAAGAACGTGCGTTAAATGAACGAATGAAAGCTTTTCCGAAACAACAAAGAACAAGTTCGTCACAACAACATTTATCACGTTCAAGAACTGTTTCAAGTCCTTCATCAAATCAAAATGTAACTAATGAACATAGTTCATCAACAACAAATGATTTTCAAAGACCACGACCACCATCAACTAGTACTGATATTAACAATCTAATGGAATAAAACAAAAACAATTCTCTTTTATCTAAGCAAAATCAAAAACACATTACTTTTTCTATTGTACATAGATTTCATAACACAACTTTTTTCTTTTCTTTTCTTCTTACGGTGATATCGATGATAAAAACAAACAGAAGAAGACAATAAAATCCAGAATTTCAACTATTTTAATTGTTTTGGAAACACCAAGTCAATGATTTCTAACGTTTATGAATTCTCATGTTTCAATCAAAAGAAAATCATTTTCGGATCTTTCATTCTGATATCAATCTAGGTCACGATCGAACGTCCTTCTTCGTAGATTGATCAGTAACGACGTATAAGTACGCAGAATTCTGTATATTCTTCATACATGTGAAGCAAAATCCTAGTCATTCAAGCAGAATTCTAGCGAAATCATATTTCATGCAGTTTTCCATGTATGCTTGTTCATGAATAGTAAAGACAAATGTGCATAATTCTAAATTCTATTTTGTCAGCATTCTATAACTACTACACATGCATTATATATCAGTTAGTATAGATCAGAGTGTGTCTTGAAGTTTTATTTTGTCTACTTCTAATCTTTGTATGCATAATCATCTCACTTTCTGGTCATGTATTTATTCTGTATAATGCAGATAATTAAATAAAAATAAAGAATGTGTTTTGGACAAAATAGAAATAAATATATTGTTTTGATCTGTTAACTTTCATTCAAAATCTTACTGTGAATTCGACATTAATCGAATTGGTAAATAGAATGTCTTCATCTGCAGTCTAACGATAAAAGTGAAATTCTAGTTCCTTTTACTTCGAATAGTTCCAGTACAATAAGTGAAAATATATTGCACATTATCTGTTGTGAACCTAATCTCCTTTTTCCACTTTACTTAGAAAATGAGCACTCGATTAGAACTGTTTCATTTATCTAACTATCCGAATAAAAGACAACTCTAGAAAAAAAAAGAGTTGTAGTTACTTACATATTTTGATCTCATCAATATCTCGATCGGATTTCAAGATCAATCTAACTGGAGAAATCATTCTCGAGTTGTTTTAGACACAAAAAGACTTTTCTATGTCTTTTGATAAGGCTTCTACCCACATAGAACTCTTGGATAAGATTCCCAATGATTCTATTTTTTATCTGTCTATTGTTGTGACAGATAGACTCAGTGTTCAGACTGGAAGATACAAAGATCATTCTTATGCGAAGAGTTTTATATCTATCTGAGTAAGCCATCTTTCGGCCCATCTCCGATATCAAATATGAAAAAATACAAAAATATTATAGAAATGCAAAGAGTACAAAGTAAGATGCAGTTTTCGTCTTTCCTCATATCACAAAGATTTGGTATTGCTTTCTTGATTCCGTGTGACCTATGAAATCATTTCATTCTGTAAAAACTCTTCTACTATTGTTTTCTCAGTTCGATGGGTTTTAACTATTATTCGTTACTATTACTAATATTTGTGAAACGACACTGTCAGCTTTTGCTCATTGTAATTTTTACTTTTAATTTTTTTCCTTTTCTTCATACACCAGTGCAATTTTTTTGTATTCATTTCTTCCGTGTAATAGGCTATCTCTTTTACTTCATAAGAACTCCGGAAAATGCGTAATAACTTCGTTGTGGAACACTGAAATGCTGCAAAAATAAACTAAAGCAAAATAACATGCTCTCGAAAGTCGCTTTTTCTGGTACTGTTGTTCATGAAACTGACTCTGACACCAGGGCACCGAAAAGTTTATAAGAGATCGGATGTTGCATTATTATATCAAAACATACTAAGATACAGAATTCGGATGCATGGTCGTAACTGAGTAGCTGTCTAATTCGACTTATAATATAAGTGACCAATTCCTAGCACCCTTAGGAATAAAAATAGATTCAGTTTTCCCTATACATATATACACCCACACCCCTGTGAGGTTAGGAATAGAAACAGATTTAGTTTCACTTATACATAGATACCCTCACCCTCATATCGAAAGCAGAGATCAATATAATAAAGTCAACCTTTCTTCTCGATCTTTCGTGGCAAAAAGATGAAATAGAAAGCAATTATTATTTTCCCGGTAAAGATCTTGAATAGGAAGTCCTTCGTAATAGGGAATTGGAGGAATATCTGAATTCAATTTTCAAGTTTGACACTACTGATATATTATTGATAGGAAAACTACACACACAGATAAAAAAAATGTATTAATTGAAAAATATAGCTTGGAAAAATGTTAATCGTATATAATAAATTGTGATCACAATTAGTATTTTAGTAAACAAAAAGTTCAATTTTTAATGAGAACGTTTTATCATCTTATTGATATAAATTGCGCCAAATAAAATGGTAAGGAATTTAATCGATAAAAAAAAGTTAATCGAAGATATCATGATTTGATAGATAAAGATAAGAACAGAACGATACTCAATATGTTTCAGAACAATCCAATGTACTCCGTACTCATTTGTTACATAAATATTATGAAGAAATCCAAAATGTTTTGATAAATAATAACCAATACGCATTGGTGTGTAAATACGATGTTTCATATGATGCGATCCAAATCCATTATTAATATATGTAGAAGCAGCAATATAATTAACAAGTGCTGTTCCATCGAGTGTAAACAAATTATAAACACCAGTTTTGTATTCCTGATTTATTGTACGAATACGTGATGAATGAATAGAACCATCCTTCATCACAGCAAAAAGAGAATGATTNAGAATTATCCACTGACAAAGGACTAATCGGTCTGATTCCTAAAAAGACTTTTGCATCCTATTCATTCTAGTGTGTGACATAGTGCCATGATTCAGTTGAGCACTAGTAGCAATCGCAGTGCTTTTTTTCTCTTTCGAAGTCTCTGAATGTGTTGAGCATTCGGAAAAAGTGTTTCAGAAAAGGGCCAGCGAATCCAAAGGATGAGCGTTACTTGTTATATATTCTGTCATTTTTGTTTTGAATATTGTATGAAGATTATATGAATGGCAATTGTTGATTAATGTTGCAAAAATGTAGGTTGTTTTCCCTCGATTTGAAATGTTGATATATTGTTTTTGACAAACTTGTTTTCTCATTATTTTTCTTCCTCGTGAATTCTTCTAGGAAAGTTCTTGTAATGCATACGTCTGAATAATTTGCTAGTTTTCAATTCAACAACACATGAAATTAGTATTTGCATATGTTTTTCAGATAAATTAAATGTTTTGTTTTACAAACTGGGAATTTATTTCTCTTTCGATTTTATTCACATAAAATATTAGATCTGCGCAAATTATGATGGAATCAAATAAACAACAATTACTCTCACGTTCTATCATTGAGAAATGTTAACAGGATGAGTTTGAATATATTTCAAATCTTGACCTCGACACTGGTAGAAAGTGCAGCGATTAGCTGTGTGAATACTATGATGCAATCTCTGACTTCGAACAATGTATTAGTCAGCAGTTCGATTATATTTAATCGAAGTAAATGCAATGTGAAAGAAGAAAAATACAATAGTAACAAAGACAAAGTACCGTAAACAAAATATTCAGGGTTTTACATGTTTTTTATTTATAAAACAAAACATAAATAGAAATTAATATAAATGTTTAATAAGGCGTGTTTTCATAATATTTTCTGTTTTACAATAATGTTATGTCTGACTCTTGTAAATAGTACTTGTCAAGGGATCTTTCTTATAGAAGTATTAAATACTCAAAATAACATATAAACAATTCTTCATTTCTATTTCTCCATCACAACATTTTCTAATGAACAAATAAAACTTTCGGTTAATTTTTCTTTTGTTAATAATTATATTTCAGCTGAGTATTGACTGGTAAGTCTTATATCATCTTATCATATTTCTATGTATCTAAATCGAATTTGTATGGCATATAGCTTTTGAATTATGAGAGAAAATGCGGAATCTTGATATTCTCTTATTTATAATTTGTTCAGAGGAGTTGATCATTTCACCAACAATCGATACAAGTCTTCATGATGAATAGAAATGTTTTCAAAGTGATCAACACCAACTCTGAATCACATCAATTACTTTTTATAAAAAAAATTTCTATATGCGTATGTAACATTTGAAAGTTTTACTTCGGACAAATATTCGATGTATTAATCTTGAAGAAAACATATGTGTCGGGCGAGCATTAGTAATACTAGACCGAATATCAATATAACCAACGAAGGAAATGACGTGTTGTATACCACTTTGTTTTCCCGAACTCTGTGACCAAAGTTTTTTTTGAAAATTTCGCCATGGAGTTCGTAATCGAGGAGTTGAAGTAAATAAGCAGCGTTTTCGAAAAGCTGTACACGCCGTCAGATGTTCGAAATGAATGTTACGAAATGTAGTTTACCCAACCAACTCATCTTGGCCATTTGAAAAGTCGTTTAATTAAGTGCCGAGCATGTTCTCGTTCATATCCATGCCCATTCTAATGAAATAGTCTGAACTTAAACTTTTTTTTATTTTGAATTTAATAGATAATTGATTTCATATTATTTTGTTTGACAAAGAAATCAACTGTTCAAATGATGAAATACTGTTTTCGATGGATTGTTGGCCAATTGGTCAAATTAAATACCTTTGATAAAGGAACAACTGATGAACATTCAAAACGCAATGAAATTTTATCGACAAGAGTTTATATTATCAGTTCAATTATAATTCTTTCCGTTTTAACCTTAATAACATCATTGCAATCGAATTTGAACACAATTACAATGAAAAATCCGACGGAAGATGAATATAACAAATTACAATTGAAAAATTTCGATCATTTTCAATGTCCTTGTGCACAAATCTCGAATACATATAATGAATTTGTCACTATAATTCCTGAATATCATGAAATATGTTCATCTGATTTTCTAAGTGAAAATTGGATTAATTATTTATTTTATGAAAACACGAGTTATTATTTTCAATTAGATTTCCGTCATAGTGCATCATCAAGATTTCAACTTCTTCGTACATTATGTCAACTAGCCCAACAATCGATAACAGATTATTTAAACGAATATTATTCATATGAATTCATTACCAATGAACTTTTATCATCAAATGTATTTCATCTTCAAATAGATTCATTTCTTGATTTATTTCAACAAACTTTCCCATCATCATTTCAAAATTTGTTAAAATTAATTCGACAGACAACAATATCAAATGGAATATTCTCAGCAATCGATACAAGTCTTGCTTATGCAATTCATCCATCAAATATCACACGAATTTATATGGATAGTATTTATTATTATGAAATAGATTTACAAGGCAAATTTTTTGATTGTTATTGTAATAATAAGACAACATGCGAAATGCCTGAAGGAATTTATAGTAATTTAGATCGATATGATTATCCAGGATCTGCTTGGATTAATGATGTTAATGTTAAAGCACAAACTACAGCAATTAATGCAACATTTTTTATCGATGGAATGATTGTGGGTTGTAAACCAATTGAATCTTTAATGCGTTCAACTCTCGAATGTTTATATGATCGAATTTGTTTAAATCGAATTGGAAAATTTATTAATTATACTTCAATATCAATTGAATCATTTCAAACTTTAAATCAATCGAAAGTAATTCGAAATGAAACTATTGAAACATTGACCAATAAATTATTTGTTGAAAATTGGATTATTGATAAATCATATTCGAAGTATTTTCATTCGTGTCAACCTTCATTTTGTCAATATACAGTTGAACAAAAACAAAGTTTTGTACGAATTCTCGCAACTCTTATTAGTTTATATGGAGGTTTAAGAATTGCTCTTTCATTAATTATTCCTGCAATTGTTAAGTTTTTTCGACGAAAAAAAGCACCGCAATATCGACCATCAAACGGTATTGTATTGTTTTTCAACATTTAGCCACTTCATAGTAAATCTATAACGATATTTTCTCTTCCGTGAAAGATTTTCAGTACAAATAGAAATACGAGTGTGATGATTTTTGATGAAAGAGATGTATATCCTAATGGAATCATGTCTTTCTATCAGTGTGAAGCTAGAGTACGAAGTAGTCAGCACGAAGAATGAAGATTTAGCTTAAAACTCTTTTCAAGAATAAGGCCGGGCCATGAAAACTAGCTTATTCGATTCAGAATTTAATTCTATGTCGAATGATGACACTTTTCTTCGCCGGTCAAGCTTCGGAAGAATCTTATTTAAATTGTTTCGGTTACATCTTGAGGGAAATGAAGGTTTATGCAAAAAATTCTTCTGAAGCTTGACCGGCGAAGAAGTGTCATCATTCGACATAGAATTAAATTCTGAATCGAACAAGCTAGTTTTCATGGTCCGGCCTTATTCTTGTAAAGACAAATAGGAGGCGCATAACACATGACAATTGAGCGTCACAACGAGATTCTCGATCATTGATCTTTGTAAAGAAAGAAAATGTTTTTGCATAATTTAGTGTCAAAAATGGTTCATTTATATAAATTAATTCGTTTATTACTAAAATCTTTAGTAGAATTGAATATATTTAATAAATATTCACGAGATGAACGTACACAAAAGAATGGAAGATTATCAACAAAACTTTATTTTCTCATTTTAATTCTTTGTTTATTTATTTTTGGAATATATTTATCATTAGAAAAACAAACACGTACAAAATTAATTTTAAATCCAACAAAAATTCAATATGAAACTTTACAAAATGAATCCTTTGATGAATTTCAATGTCCATGTAATCATATCTCAGTAAAATATGGAGATTTTCTTCAATTTCATCCGACATATCATCAATTATGTTCAAGTGTATTTGCCTCAAATCTTTGGTATAATGCCTATGAAGTTTGGAATATCACAAATTCATGTTATTATCCATCATTTCAAAATTTAGCTTCTTTTTATTTTTTCACTTTTATTAACATTTTGGCAATCGGCGAATGAAACTGTTTCGAACAGTTTAACACAATTTTATGCATTGGAATATATCACATCTAATGTTATTCAAGAAATTCAATTTAATTATGAAATTATGTCATTGATCGAATCATTTCAAGTTCAATTACAAAATTCATTTCGACAACAATGGAATTTATTACAAAGTGTCTTAGCAAATAATCAAATCATCAGTGTACGAAAAACAAATTTTGTTTTAAATGGAAAAATTGTGAATGGAACACTTGTTCCTCATTCATATATAAAACAACATGAAAATTGTACTTGTGGAACAAATTTAATTTGTTATGAAACAGTTGGATTTTGTACTCCAAGTCGACGTGATTATATCAAAGGAATGCGTATTGGTTGTTATATGGTTGAATCTTTATTTTTATCAACAACTGAATGTTTTTATGATGAATTATGTATTGATATTATCAAATCATATATGCGAATTTCAGCTCCAATCTATTCGAAATTAAATATTTTAAATAAAACTTTGCCAAGTCAATATAAAACAAATGAATCAATTGAAAAAATCATTAATAATCTTTTTATTGAACAATGGAATGAATTTTATTCGTATGAAATGTATTTCAATCAATGTCAACCATCTGCTTGTTCATATTTCATTTCTCAATCACCAAGTTTTATTTCTATTTTTACAAAATTAATTGGAATTTATGGTGGTTTGAATATTCTTTTGAAATTTTTTCTTCCAAATCTCATTTATTTCATTCGACGAAAGAAGAAACAACAAACAGGTATTTCTTTTCTATTATTTTTTCACCATGACAATCAGTACATTTTGAACGATGTAATAATACCGATGTCCATACTATTGCTATTGGATTAGTATTGACATTAATATTGATATACTGAGAAGAAGAGAAAATGACAGATTCTTCGAGTGTCATGTTGAATGTGAGTCTTTTCGCATCTGGGATGACACGTTACTTGAAGATCTCGACTTTTCTCTTGTTAAACAGAAACACTACTGAGAATAAATGGAGATTCATCTCAGTTATCCGTCTTACATAATTATTAACATAAAATGAGGTTTGAGAATCTACGAAGCTCTCTCAATGAGGAAATCAGGGAAGATCAGCTATAACTCAGTTTCATTCGCAAACTTTGGAGTTTCTCTTAAAGAAATTTTCCAATGTAATTTTTCTTTTCTTAATAATGGCAGCGTATTTCGTATAATATGGAGTTTTAATTGACTATACGAAGTCTTTTAGTTCTCTTACACCAAAATCTACACTCGATCGAAACATTTTTACTTGACAGAAGATGATAATCTTAATCTTGAATTTCAACGAATATACACCCTCCAGCAAAACTCCACGATACTTCAAATTCTTTTTGGAGTATTGGAGTATCGCTGTTTCCCCCTTGGACATCCCAAATAAAATTTTCTGCTGAAGTTTTCTAAATCTAATTATCTATCGAAACAAATTTGATGATAATTCTTAAAATCATCGAATGTATAAAAGTGAATTCTTTTCTTTTCATTTGAGTTTCATCATTATGGGATCGAATATGTCAAACTCTTAGTTCAATTCAAAGGAAAATAATTCATTTAAATTTGTTTCGTGATTATTCAACAAATGAAGAAAATATTCGAAAACAGATTTTCACAACGCGATGCTATTTGATTAGTTTTGTTATTGTTTTGATTCTATTGGTTTTATACACGTCATTTACTGAACGATCTATTTCGGTTAATTTCTCTTTATTGAATATGGAACATTATAAACAATTACAAATGAAATATTCGACTAGTTCAACTTGTCCATGTGAACAAATTTCAATAAAATATGGTGAATTTGTTCGTGTTGAGATGATTTATCATGAAATTTGTTCCTCGGATTTTCAAAGTCAACAATGGTTTGATTATTTGTATGATGAGGATCAAATCAATGAACGAAATTTTCGTTCAACAGCATCAGCACAATTTCAATCACTTGGATCTTTATGTAAATTAACTAAAAAAACAATCGATACAAGTTTAACCCAATTTTATTCAACTAAATTAATCGCTTCTCAATTATTATCAAATGAAACATTTCAAAATCGAATTCATTCATTAATAACTCTTCTTCAAAAGACAACTTCTCAATCATTTAAAAGAACATTAAAAATGATTGAAGAAATTCTACATGGAAATTTCTATATGTCTGTTTATCAAACCAATTGGAAATTTACTGTTCTAGAAAGAGCAAATTTTTCTCAAATATACACAAATCCAATGAAATATCAATCATGTAGTTGTGGTACATCATCATTGTGTAGTGAACCAGTTATAATTGATAATTCAATAATTGATGGTTTGTTTATTGGTTGTTATCCAATGAAAACTATTTTACAATCATCACTTCAATGTTTTTATAATGAAACATGTTTACAAATCATTTTATCATATTTTCAGAAATCTTCTTCGAACAATATTTCATTTCAAATACTTTCATTAAATAATTCATATGGCATTGATGAAAAAGTTGAACAAATGGTTGATCGATTATTTGTCGATCAATGGAATATTAATTGTTCTTATGAAAATTATTATGAAAAATGTCGTCCAACATTTTGTACATATTCTTATATTGAATATTTTAATATATTTTATATTGTGACAACTATTTTAAGTTTGTATAGTGGATTAACAATTGTATTAAGACTTCTTATTCCATATCTTATGCATTTTATATTTCGATTATTGTGCAAAAGAAGAATAGATGTTGCTCAATCTTCTCAAACGTCTGTTGAAAGCGCAAATTAATCAAAATTATTTTCAATACGAACATCTGAATATTTTTCTCGTCGAAAACAATCTTTCAAATATCAATTCTTTGCTTTCTTCTTTGCTTATATCTTTTCAATTCTCTAAATGATCAAAAATAAAATCAAATTAAACGAATATTCTTTCGTATAAAATGTAACTCAAATGAGCCATTGGTGATATCGACAAAGATAACAAAGTTGATATTTTTCTCGCTAATTATGATAGTAATACCATAGGTATCTTCTATGGTTATGGTAATAACAGTTTTTAAATTAAACATCATTATGTCGACTGGCAGTTCTAGTGGACCGTTCAGAATTCGTGTAGCTGATATTAATAATGACAAATTACCAGATATTCTGGTTACCAATTATCTTTCCAATAATATTGGAATTTTTTTTGCGATCAAGTCAACAATAGTTTTTCCACTCAAATGATCTATTCGACGGGAAGTAATTCGAATCCATAATCTATCGCTGTTGGCGACATCAATCAAGATGGGTATTTTGACATTGCTCTAGCAAATTATGGTACTAGTTCTGTAGGACTTTTCTTTGGATATGGCAATAATGATTTCTCTTCACAAATAACTTATCCAACTAGAGGGTGATGTTAGCCCAAACTATGTTGTAGTTGGAGATCTCAATAAAGATCATTGTGTGGACATTACTCTTGTCAATTATTGGTCTAGTTATATGAATATCTTTCTTGGTAATGGTGATGGTACTTTTTCTAGTTGGGCTACATATTCAACTGGCACTGATTCGAAACCATATGCTGTCGCACTTGGCGATTTGAATAGCGATGACAAATTAGATGTTGTCGTTACAAACTATGGCGGTGATACGACCGGAATTTTTCAAGACTTCGACAATGGTTCATTCGTCAATCAAACAGCTGTTGTCATTGAAGAATATTAAGTGCACCGCGTTCGGTTGTTCTCAACGATCTGAACAATGATGGACATCTAGATATTGTGATAGGTTGCTAATTATGATACTGAAAGTGTCGCCATATTTCTTGGATATGGGAATAGTAACTTAGAAATAACGTTTGATACTGACTTTTCATCCGAAAAAGACGATTTGAAAATCGACTGCAGGGTTAGAGAAAAATTTCCTTTTAAAAACTTATACGTTGCTGCATACAATTTTCAAAGGAGTGTGGGAGTGAATATCTTAATCTTGTGTTTAATCAGTATTATGTATATTTAATTTAGATAAAACTCATATTTCAAGTGGATCTATGTGTAAAATATCTTGAGACAAAAAGCAAAGTCGAATTAGAGATCTCAAATGTCCTTATGCACAATCATTTTTAGTTGTTTTTGATAAGCTTTTTTTCTTTGGTGAAATATGCCATCTGCAAAACACATAGTTGCAGATACCAGTGCAATACCTTGCTTATCAGTATTATTCATGAGACCAGCGCTTTTGTTTGATATGCGTCATAGTATTTACGTCAATAAAACATATTAAAAGGATCGCTACTCCTACAATCTCTCACATTCCTTAGTTTTTCATTTGGAAACTTAGTTAAAAAAGACACTTACTATTATTCGTGATCATGAATTGGTTATTTACTATTGTTGTGATTCTTTCTGCTATTTCTATCGGTAAGATTGCTGGACAAATTTTTTTAACGCCTAATATCATATCTCAAAGGTTTTCTTGGGTCAACTTCAACAGCGCAGACAACTAGAAAGTCCAGTGCAGTGACTACCACAGTTCGTACCACAGCTCGACCCACAACCACTACAACTCGTCTAACAACTCGTCTAACAACTACCACAGCTCGGCCAACGACTACCACGACTCGGCCAACAACTCGACCAACAACTCGACCCACAACCACTACAACTCGGCTAACAACTCGTCTAACAACTACCACAGCTCGGCCAACAACTACCACGACTCGGCCAACAACTCGACCAACAACTTCTATAACCCGTCCGACGACCAGCACGACTCTCGTTACAAGTAGTACTACTCGCCTTACTGGCTCGACAACTCGCATAACCAGTACGACTCGTCCAACAAGTACAACAGTTCGATCTACAACTTCATTTTCAATCATCACAACACGCCCGACAACAACTCGACCTACAACTCCATTTACGATCACCACGACCCGTCCTTGGGTGAGCACAAGTCGTAGCACTTCATTTCCCGTTTCTACTCGTACAACGTCCAGAAGTTCTACGAAGTTGACTAGTACTCGTTCCACAACGTATCATCCTTGGTCAATCGATTGTTATTATTGTAGTACACTAAATTGTCCAACACCTTTTAATTCTATGAGTGCAAGCGTTGAATTGGAACACTCAAGAAATGGATGGTGTGTGGTATGTATTTAAATGTCTAAATTAATCTATTTATAATAAGAAATTTAATTTTTAGAAATCAAGTTCAATTAAATCTCAAGAAAGTTTTTACAGTCGTGGTGCTGATTTATATAATGTTTGCTCGGCAACTGGATGTTCATGGAAAACGGTTGGAGGATTACGAACGTGGGTTTGTTGTTGTAATAAATCATTATGTAATGGAGGTATTTCATTATTACAATCGAATTCAATAATTATCCTTCTGAGTTTATCAATTATTTTTACATTAGAAAAATTTCTTTAAAATTCTTGTTTTTTTTAATGTTCAGATAATAGAAATTGAAATTTGATCAAAGAAAAAGTAATTCTATTATGAATTGTGTTAAAATTGTCTTCATTTGATACTTCATTTTTCTAATCTCAAAGGTGTATTGTATTTTGATTGTTTGGTTTATCTTTCTTCGAGATTTCTCATAAATGTATTTGATTTGTCTCTTAAAAAAATCGCGTCAACAAATGGAAAATTCCACGAATGATTTCCAGTTGATAGAGTATTACCAAAGAAGATATTTTAATTTAAACGCTTGTCATATTTCAATAGAAATGGACAAATTCACATTATTAAGCCAAGAAATAACATAATGGTATCTTAATGAGTTCCGTAAAGATTCATTTGCTCTCATAAATGTTATCTGATATTTTTTCGACAAAGTTGTTCAATGAAGTTAAACGACATGGAAGAAAAGAAGTTGATAACAGTATGGCAATTTTTTGTATTCTTTTCTAATTGTTATCAAGTATTTTTCATTTGGAAAAAAGTAAATCTTTTTTTTCCTGGTAAAATATAAAACAAGTTGATTTTCTCTATTTCGAATCATTCATGATCGATCTGATGAGTCATTGAAAGAAATACAAAGGAAGTGCGTTCGAATATCATCTACCTTTATCAATGACGTAAACCAAATCATGTGAGAAAATAGTTATTCATTCGACGAAAGTAATGGGAACAAAAACATCGAAACGAATAAACGACGAAGATTCGATAAATACAAGGCGAAATTCTTCTTCTTTGTCTTCTCGAACTGTTCGACGTTCTTATCCTCAATGGATTTGTCATCCACCTTTGATAAGTTGTGATATTAATCGTTCAACAAATGAAGAAATAAATCATTTTCTAAAACATCAACAAAGAACAAAGAATTTTCCAAATTCTCCAACAAAACACCAAAATTCTCCTTCAAAAACTCTTCTTACAATTGAACAATTAGTTGAATCTCCATCAAACAAAGAAAATCCTCTTTCAACAATTGATTTCAATCAATTGAATTCTCTTGAAAATTTCCGAATTACTTTCATTGATCAATCAGATTTACAAGTAAACATTATTTTCTTCAAAATTCACAAATTTTCTCTTTTTTTCTCTTCAAATAGAACGCTCATGAAATCGGGAAGGGCAATTTCGGAACAGTTTATCACGCATTATACAAAAATAAACGTGCCGTTGCTTTAAAAACTTTACATTCTTCCCAAGAGAACTATTCTAATGAAAATCTTCTCAAACTTCTATTTGAAGCTCATATAATGACAAAATTAGAACATGAGAATCTATTAAATATTCTCGGAGTGACATTTTATGGAGAAAATCAACAATTAAGTTTAGTAACAGATTATATGAAAAATGGCTGTTTATTAACTTATCTTCGAAAACATCGAAATCGGTTTCATCAATCTCCTAGAAAAGAAATTAATCAGAAATTGAATCATTTTTCTCAACAAATTTTCCAAGCGATGCTTTATTTAGAACAAAGAAAAATTATTCATCGAGATTTAGCTGCGAGAAATTGTTTAATTGATCATCACGATGATTTAAAAGTCGCGGATTTTGGTTTGACAAAGTAATTTGTTGAAATTAGAAAGAAAAACGAAGAAAAATTTGAACATTTTTAGATTAACTGATTGTGGTTTGTATAAAGGAAATCCAAAGACAATCTTTGCAATTCGTTGGTCATCACCAGAAGTGATTTTAAATATGAAATATTCATCACGATCTGATGTTTGGAGTTTCGTAAGAGTTTCATTGTGCATTTCTTTTCTTGAATTCACGATATTTTTCTCTTTCAGGGCATAACTCTTTGGGAAATTTATTCATTAGGAGAACGTCCATATGGACATTTGGATAATCGAACGGTTAAAAATCTCTTAAAAACTTCGTCAAGCAATTTCTCTCAATATTTTCCTCAATCTCAACAATTTGGTTCAAATGAAGTTTATACTCATCTGATTTTACCTTGTTTAACATATAATGTCGCTTTAAGACCATCTTTTAAAGATTTAAATGAAAGAATTTGCCGAATTCTTAATGAAAATAAATAATTTGGAAAAAGAGAACAAAAAAAAGGAAAAGTTGTTTTTCTCTATTCTTCCAGATTGTTCCTATGAATCATTATTAAGATGGGACAAAAATTATCTAAAACCACGAATAAGATCTTTCAACAAAATGTCTCATATCTTTCATCAAATAATCTTAATATTATCTAAGATAACTTAATAATATTTGTTAAATTCAATTAAAAAACATTCGAGTCCTTTTAAAAGAAATCTTCGTTAATTTTCTTTTCTCAAAATAAACAAAGACAAGGCAATCAATTATCTCTGAAATGTCCTTGTTAATGTCTTTATTTCTATTTATAACTAAAGAGTTACTGACAGATGATTCTTTTTTTTCCTTCCTGACGAACAAAAAGAATTCCCAAAGAAATTGTACGGATATATTTTGGGAAAATAACCTTGGAGAGAAAAACATAGAAATATCTCTTCTTTTCCCCTTCAAATGATTAATAACACACAGATTTTCTTTTGAGATTGTATATTTACCCGATCCAGAAGAGACGAATATATATCATTTTCTTTAAACTAAACCAACAAAGTTATCATCGAGAAAAATGTTTTATAAAATTGTCTTTTTATTCATTATTAGTGGATATGTATTTGGAGCACCAATTTTTAATGAATCTCTTCAATTTCGTATTGTTGAATGTATTCCAGGTGATAATGAAACATTAGCAAAACATATCATTGAAATAACAAATATTAATGAAACATGTATTCGAGTTAATGAATCAACAATTACAAATAATCAAATTTATTTATATGTTGTTCCCGAAACTGAATATGGAGTCAAAGTTCAAATCAAAACGGAAAATTGTTCATCACCACTTCCTGAATTACATTTTAGTTTATGTGATGAACCAAATAATCTAAATCAAACAGAAAATATGGCCACATTTCATTATGAAAAGATCACTGTTTCAGATTTATCTAATGAAGAAAATAATTCAACAACAACAACGATTTCTCCAATGTTTTATACAGGTCCAACTGTTTATGAAACATTACATCAGTTAAATGACGATGATGATGATGACCATGAAGTTACAACAAAAATAAATGATTCAAGTGAAGAATAAAAATTGTCTTAACAAACCTTCTTTCTTATATGCAATGAAATTGCATTTATTTTAACCTGCTTTGATATTTTATTGTAATCCTGAATGGTTTCATAAGAAAAAAAAAAGAAAAATAATATTTCGATGTTATTTCTTTTTGTCATTAACTTCATATCGATCAATTGAAACGAAAAAATGATATTGATTTAAATCAACACAAGTCTTTCTTCTTTGATCCGATTGATAACAATCATTAATGAAACATTTCGAGATTTCTTTCAAAAACAGAGTCACGTTCGTTTGATTTGTTAAAGATAAAACTCATTGGTTAAATGTTTCGAAAAGAAAATATGTCTGAATAATAAAGAGAAAATGTGTTTTTAATCGCTCGTGGGTGTCAGACTTGCATAGCTGTTGTTCAATGTATTTAAATCATCATTTATTCGTCAACTATATTCCAAGTGACGAACATGATTCGGATCATTAATCTTATTCACCAACATTTTTCTGTTTATTTTATATTCGGTTTGATCATATGAACAAAAACATGTCTTTTCAATCAGAGAGATATGTACGTGTCTTATCTCATTTTAATGATCATCAATTGATTTGATTTTTTTTCTGTTCTTCTTTTCCTTTTGTACACCAATGAAAAATGAGATACGATCGAAGAATATTGATTGGTTACAGACGTTGTATCTTTTATGAGAGAAAAATCGATTTTTTTCTTCTCTTCTCCTTTCACATATTTCTTTTATGGTATCCATTAATCGATTTAATGGCTCGTTTTCTGTGACAAGCATTGCTTGTATTGTTTTTTCTCATCAGTCGTGTGTTTTTTTTTCTTCACGAAAGAATCTTTCGCCAGTCATTAATAACATCGATCGTAGAGGATCATTTACTGTTACACACTTAGCTTCATAATCGTCTAGTTCACAATCATTAAGAAGAGAACAGAAAAGAAACGAAGAAAAAAAAAAGAAATGAGTTCTCTATCTCCATATTCTTCTCTTCATACAATGAACAATCCTCCCCCTCCTCCTCCTCCTTCTCATTATAATTATGGAAATGATGAAACAAATCGAAATTATTCTCTTACACATCAATTATCTGAAAATAATTCAAATGTTTCACAAGATGTATCTTCAACTTCATCATGTCTTCTTCAATCACCAGTTATTGATTATTATGGTCAACATTCATATCATCAGCCAACATCTCGTACAATTCCACAATATTCTCATCATCTTTATCATGACAATACTAATCATTTGTATCGATATAACAATCTTCCACAAAGGTAAATATTCTTCTTCTTAAAAAATTTCATTTTCATTTCATTTTCTTTTAGTTCATGTGTTTATCCATGTCAAAATAATTCAAATGGATCTTATAATCCCGAAAGTAATATATCGAACTCGTCAAATGGTGTTTCTCAAACGGAAATGATCAATTCAAATCTTGATCTGTATGGTTTATCAATGAGTCCATCAATTCCCCCTCCATCTTCGTCTCCTCCATCTTCAATTGATCGAAAATCTTCCGATTTAATTCCATTATCTGTATCAAATGATCCTTTGTCTAAACAACAAACTCCACCAGTTATTTATCCATGGATGCGCAAAGTTCATATAAATAATCCAGGTAAAATCAAATTTCTTCTTTTTTTTTCTGAAATTCGTCACACATTGAATCGAATGGATTTTTAACGACGTTTGTAAATATCATTGATTTTGAAAATGTCAAAAGTGTTGTCTTCTTCTTCTTCTTCTCTCTCTCAGCTTGATTCAGTTGAAAATGTGTGACTTTTTTTTCAAACCAAATTTAACCTTTTGCGTTGATTTAAACACAACGAGATGATTGATAGTAAAAGTGAATGAGAAAAACACACATTGTTCTTATCATTGGAAGAGTACGTGACCTAAATTTAGTGAAAATAACNTTCCAGGTGATAATGAAACATTAGCAAAACATATCATTGAAATAACAAATATTAATGAAACATGTATTCGAGTTAATGAATCAACAATTACAAATAATCAAATTTATTTATATGTTGTTCCTGAAACTGAATATGGAGTCAAAATTCAAATCAAAACTGAAAATTGTTCATCACCACTTCCTGAATTACATTTTAGTTTATGTGATGAATCAAATAATCTAAATCAAACAGAAAATATGGCTACATTTCATTATGAAAAAATCACTGTTTCAGATTTATCTATTGAAGAAAATAATTCAACAACAACAACAACAACAATTTCTCCAATATTTTATACAGGTCCAACTGTTTATGAAACATTACATCATTTAAATGATGATGATGATGATGATGATGAAGTTACAACTAAAATAAATGATTCAAGTGAAGAATAAAAATTTTCTTAACAAACCTTCTTTTTCTTATATGCAATGAAATTGCATTTATTTTAACCTGCTTTGATATTTTATTGTAATCCTGAATGTTTTCGTGAGAAAAAAAAACAAAGAAAAAATAATATTTCGATGTTATTTTTTTTTTGTCATTAACTTCATATCGATCAATTGAAATGAAAAAAATGATATTGATTTAAATCTACACAAGTTTTTCTTCTTCTTTCATCTGATTGATAACAATCATCAATAAAACATTTTCAGATTTCTTTTCAAAAAAAAAAAGAGTCACGTTCGTTTGATTTGTTGAAGATAAAATTCATTGGTTAAATGTTTCGAAAAGAAAATATGTCTGAATAATAAAGAGAAAATGTGTTTTTAATCGTTCGTGGGTGTCAGACTTGCATAGCTGTTGTTCAATGTATTTAAATCATCATTTATTTGTTAACTAAATTCCAAGTGACGAACATGATTCGGATCATTAATCTTATTCAGCAACATTTTTTTTTGTTTATTTTATATTCGGTTTGATCATATGAACAAAAACATGTCTTTTTAATCAGAGAGATATGTACGTGTCTTATCTCATTTTAATGATCATCAATCGATTTTATTCTTTTTTCTTTTTGTACACCAATGAAAAATGAGATACGATTGAAGAATATTGATTGGTTACAGACGTTGTATCTTTTATGAGAGAAAAATCGATTTTTTTTTTTCTTTTCCTTTCACATATTTCTTTTATGGTATCCATTAATCGATTTAATGGCTCGTTTTCTGTGACAAGCATTGCTTGTATTGTTTTTTCTCATCAGTTGTGTAGGTTTTTTTTTCTTCACGAAAGAATCTTTCGCCAGTCATTAATAACATCGATCGTAGAGGATCATTTACTGTTACACTTAGCTTCATAATCGTCTAGTTCACAATCATTAAGAAGAGAACAGAAAAGAAAAGAGAAAAAAAAAGAAATGAGTTCTCTATCTCCATACTCTTCTCTTCATACAATGAACAATCCTCCTCCTCCTCCTTCTTCTTCTCATTATAATTATGGAAATGATGAAACAAATCGAAATTATTCTCTTACACATCAATTATCTGAAAATAATGTAAATGTTTCACAAGATGTATCTTCAACTTCATCATGTCTTCTTCAATCACCAGTTATTGATTATTATGGTCAACATTCATATCATCAACCAACATCTCGTACAATTCCACAATATTCTCATCATCTTTATCATGACAATACTAATCATTTGTATCGATATAACAATCTTCCACAAAGGTAAATCTTCTTATTTTCAAAAAATTTTATTTTTATTTCATTTTCTTTTAGTTCATGTGTTTATCCATGTCAAAATAATTCGAATGGAACTTATAATCCGGAAAATAATATATCGAATTCGTCAAATGGTGTTTCTCAAACAGAAATGATCAATTCAAATCTTGATCTGTATGGTTTATCAATGAGTCCATCAATTCCCGCTCCATCTTCATCTCCTCCATCTTCAATGGATCGAAAATCTTCTGATTTAATTCCATTATCTGTATCAAATGATCCTTTGTCTAAACAACAAACTCCACCAGTTATTTATCCATGGATGCGTAAAGTTCATATAAATAATCCAGGTAAAATCAAATTTCCCTTTTTTTTTCCTCTGAAACTCGTCACACATTGAATCGAATCGATTTTTAACGACGTTTGTAAATATCATTGATTTTGAAAATGTCAAAAGTGTTGTCTTCTTCTTCTTCTTCGCTCAGCTTGATTCAGTTGAAAATGTGTGACTTTTTTTTTCAAACCAAATTTAACCTTTTGCGTTGATTTAAACACAACGAGATGATTGATAGTAAAAGTGAATGAGAAAAACACACATTGTTCTTATCATTGGAAGAGTACGTGACCTAAATTTAGTGAAAATAACAGAAACAGATCATGATGATTTGACTAATGACAAAATCTTTTCATCTGTTTTTCTCAGACAACTGAACTCATTGATGGATAGAAGAAATTTTATCGAATTTCTTTTTTAGTTATCAATTATACAAGTGGAGAAACAAAACGAGCACGAACTGCGTACACACGGCATCAAGTTTTAGGTAAAAAGAACTCATTTCTGATTTTTCATTTAAAATGAATATCGTTTTCGAATAGAATTGGAAAAAGAGTTTCATTTTAATAAATATTTAACACGACGACGGAGAATTGAAATCGCACATTCGCTGGTTTTAACTGAAAGGTATACACATCAACAAATCTCTTCTTCGTCTAAAAAATGACTTCTTTCTATTTTAGACAAATTAAAATTTGGTTTCAAAATCGGTGCGTTGGATTTGTTTTTCTTTCCAAAGAAAATCTTTGTTTAATTTTAGTCGAATGAAATGGAAAAAAGATCATAAATTACCGAACACAAAGTCGAAACTACCTGATCAATTACCAGCTGCGTCTACATCATCTGACTCTTCATCTCCGAATTTAATAAAAAAAGAACAACAAGAAATTCTTTCGCCATTTATTAAAGAAGAAACATTTTCCAATGAATCTTCCAATTCAAATTGACAAAACTATTTTTTTTCTAAATTCTTCTCTTGTATTTACATTTCATGACTCATTTTCAACGTTGATGTGAATGACTTCTGTTATGATTGTTGTTTTGTAAATGTCTTCGGAGCCAAAATAAAGAATCTCCACTTGATGATACTTTCTAAATTTAAAAATAATGTCTTCAGTTACAAAAAGAAAGACAAATGATCAATTGTTATTTTTTGTCGTCAGATGGTTATCATGTTATGAGTTGAATGAAACATGCCGTGCGACATTTTCTCTCTCACTCTCGTTCTTTCTTTCGCTTCTGTTCTTGTCCAACTGCATCGTTTGATCATTGAGACAAGACAAGAGAAGAAAACGAATCATTAATCTCTCGAGCGCACATGAAGGCACTCTTTGGTTGGTTAAAACATCGATAGGAAGGAACGTATTATCGGCAAAAGCTCATTTGTCTTCTTTTGCTCGAAGAGAAAAAATATCTCTAATGAGTTTTTCCTTTTCCTCAACTGACATATTCGCTCGAGACATCTTCTCTTCATTCGACTCATTTATCTAAATATTCAATGTCGATGTGTAACGACTAACCAATCGAGAGAATACAATCATCTATGATAAAGACAAACTAAATTTATACACGATCAACCGATTCAGACAACATGTTTCTCTTTCTAACACGCACATTAATCAGTAAATATATATCCACGACATGACATTCAACATGTTCTGTGTTGCTTTTTTATGTTCAACTGTGAAGATTCATTTCCAATGTCGATTTGAACCGTTTGGAAGGTTTCATTTGAAATGCGAAAACATTTCGATTTGGTGGATTTGTCGTTGGACAAGCGATCATTTTCACTTTTTGTTTTTTATCGATTAAAGTGATTTTCCATGACGAATTCATCGTTGAAGTTAATGTTATTGAATCAAAAAGTAATGTCCATACTTGATCACATGATCTGTAAGAGAGCAGATGACCTTTGAATAGGAGGCAACCATCTTTTTTGTCTTGATTCGATGAAAAACTTAATTTTTCATTGATTATGTAATCAAATACATTAAGAATATAATCAACTATCCGAGGAGTAAAGATTTGTCGACGACCAAATTCGTGAAGAGTTTCATCAAGAGCTAAGCCGACCGTTGTCGAACGATAGATTTGATAAACCGATGACATTTCACGAATTTAATTAAAGTATACATGCGCCACACATTTTTAAACACCCTCAATTAGTTCTATTTCATAAGAATATCTTTTCTATTATGAATCATAAAGGAAAAAAACACAATTTTTCCAATCTGAATAAGAATATGTTCGTTTTCAAAAAAATTGTTGATTAGCGCCATCTTCAAAAGTGTGCATTTTAAATAAAACGATAAATTATTATTACGATTATTCCTTTGATTCTGAATGGCTATTAGCTTTGCCAATTAACAGCGAAGTGTTGTGTGCAAATGCAAACGTAGCTTTTCAATGAATATTTATTGTTGACTTAAATTGATCCAGTCTGCTGAACATGTAAACAGATCGGCAGGTTTTTCGTATCTGTACACTTTGTATCGTCAATTCGAGGCAATTTACAAGAATTTCAGCCTTAAAATCTCGTATTTCATTTTAGATGGTGTCGTTTGACTTGAAATCTTGCCTGTTTCTTTGTTTGTTGGTAACCATCAATGCTGATGAAAAGAAATATTCCGCGAACGATAAAGTGAACATTCTATTTTTGAATAAAACTTTCCATGTAGATCTTGTCTTTTAGGTAATAGTGTATGTGAATAAGGTTGGTCCATATTCTAATCCACAAGAAACGTATCATTATTATTCATTGCCTGTATGCCGTCCAACAAAAGTAGGACTAGAAAAAAAAAGATGAGTTTGATTTAATAAACATCTCAATAGATTGTATCGAAAGAATTAACATTGGGCGAAGTACTTTCAGGTGATCGTATGGCTCACTCTACATATGAAATTCAGTTCAATGGTTTGTACATTTCATCATCTTCTTCTTGTTGTTTTTAATGACTTCTTTTTGCAGAGGGTATATCTAATAAACAGTTATGTACATTAACATTGAATAATGATGAATTGAATGCACTAAGATTAGCGATCGAAGAGTTTTATTATTTTGAATTTGTTGTTGATGATATTCCCATTCGAGGTTTTGTTGGACAAGTTGAAGAAACGAATCTATTCCCACACAAACACCATATTTATGTTTATACGCATCATCATTTTGATTTTCATGTGAATAACAACCAAGTAATGGAACAAACGAGTTTACCGGAAAGACGATCAATTTTCCTCCTTATTTAGATTGTTTATGTGAATATCAGTACAAAGGAGCATCCACCAACAGCATTAGATGAGGATTCAGCAACACCTTTGAAAATTCAGTACACATATTCAGTTAAATGGCATCAAACGGAGTAAATACAAGCTTTTGTTTATTTGGTTTTTCTCTAAAAAGTATTTTAAACATAGAACATCGTATAAAGATCGTGCGAAATATATTACGAATACTGGTTTCTTTCCGGAAACACTTGAAGTTTGTCTATTTATGAAGACTTTCTTTTCTTTATCTTGAAACTATTCCACTTAAAGATTCATTGGCTATCTGTGATTAATTCTATGGTACTCGTCTTTCTTCTTATTGGTTTTATCGTTATTATTCTGGTAAGTTGAGAAAAGAAGTGATGTCGAAAGACTAGTTTTTGTTTCACTGCTTCGTTTATATGAATCGTATACAAATAAAACGTTTATTTTAGTCTCGTATATTGAAACATGATCTCAATCGAAACACTGATGAAGATGATGATGGATCACCAGAAGAAGAAAATGGTTGGAAAATAGTTCATACGGATGTTTTTCGTTTTCCAGCTCACCGTGAATTATTTTGCTCTATACTCGGTGTTGGTAGTCAATTCATATCGATCTTTACTGGTATTCTTATCTTTGCCGTATGTGGCATGTTTACTGTACATCGTCATGGTTCATTAATGGCGTCAGGAGTTATGTTGTACGCATTTACATCATGTGTAGCTGGTTATATGAGCGGAAGAATGTATCGTCAATTGCAAGGTGAACATTGGACATGGAATATTATTCTAACGGCAAATCTTTTTACGATACCGTTTTTTGTCGTCTGGTGTATTATAAACTCATTTGCATGGGCGTATGGAACAACACAAGCATTGCCATACACAACCGTCCTTATTCTTGCTTTCATGTGGCTTTTTGGTGAGTACATATCATTTTGTGTATGATACCATTTGTTAACATGCACTTCTTTTCTTCAGTTGGTTTTCCTTTGACAGTATTGGGTGGAATTTTTGGTAAGAATTGGGCAGGAAATTTCGATGCACCATGTCGTACAAAAAATATTTCACGAGAAATTCCTCAAGTACCCTGGTATCGTTCCAGTTTTGCACGAATGTTAATTGGTGGTTTCTTGCCATTCTCGGCAATTAGTGTAGAACTGTATTACATATTTTCGACATTTTGGGGTCGTGAACATTATATGCTATATGGAATATTAACAATTGTTTTCATTATTCTTTTGTCCGTTACTGCGTGTATATCAATAGCTTTAACTTATTTTCAATTAGCCGCAGAAGACTACAGATGGTGGTGGCAATCAATTCTCACATCCGGGTATGATTTTTTATATATATACATATCTTGATTGTTGACTTTTCTTTCCATTCATTTAGATCGACTGGCATCTTTGTATTCTTGTATGCTGTATTCTTTTATTTTAATCGATCTAAAATGCGCGGCACATTACAAACATTACAATTCTTCGGTTACACATCGATTGCTTGCTATGTCTTTTTTCTGATGCTTGGCACAATTGGCTTCTTTTCTTCACTTCGTTTTATTCGTTACATTTATGTTAATATTAAAATGGATTGAACGATCACACGTGACAATCGTTGAATCTCAGCTCGATTTTCATTTGCTGAACAGTGATATCTAGTGGATGTAAAACTCGAGTCTTTTTTCTACGACAAACAGCTTTTCAACATAATAAATATTCACATTCCATTGCCTGCTTAATTCTCTTTTCGCATACATGTGTGTATTCACCCAAAAATAGCCTTTTCTCACTTTTCTTCTTCTTCTTCTCGTCGATTGTTATTATTATAGTTCATTCAACAATAAATACATAACAAGTGCGACAAATACATATTGGCTCTAATCAATTTTGTTGCCAATGGACAAGAAATGAAAAGCAATGAAAGAATACGCTTCTTTCTTTTCTCGTACTTACTTGGAATACAAATATGGATTTTACGAGACTCATTATCGCCGCGGAAGTATAATGGTAGTACATCCGGTTGTGGTCCGGATAACGCAGGTTCGATTCCTGCCCGTGGCATACGAATTTTTGTTCTTTTTCGTTGCTATTTGAAACGAAATTGAGCAAAACGATGAAATTTTAAGTTTCCGTCGTAGACGGGATAAAAATATTATCATTCGAGCCGATAGGCCTCGTCAAATTTTACTATGCATTTGCTCAAAGGTATTCTAGATATCTACTACATTATTCGATTTTGCAAAATTGATCTGTTGGTGGATGCTTTTTTATTTTATGCGTCATATATAATCACGGAAAAATCTAAGAAGATGTTAAACCAAGAATAATTGACAACATAAATTTGGTTTGAAAGGGTCATAGTATGGACGATATTTCAAGCGACATACTTGGGCATAGGGCCGAACAGTTGAGCCATCGTACCGAAACGGTGATCCGACGTTTTCAGGAACACATCGGCATGTTCCTAAAGCGTTGGACTGTAGCGCACCACTATATTGGCAGCATCGACATTGCAGCAGACCTGCTGATGTCATTATTGACGTGTAAGACATCAGTAATAGACTGAATAAAACGATTTGAAACAGCATCTTTCTACAAATACATGGAAGTGTATCGTTTTTCGAACTATACGAAGGAAGCACTTATATCAGGAAAGATAGAACAAGATGTTAATCGGATGGAGTCAAAGAAAGACATCTGAACTTCCAGAAGGCGATGGAGTCTCCACAGTCACATGTGATAGGATGACTCCTTCTAGTAACAACTTAGTTTACATACAGCATAGAATGCAGTAGAAGCAAAATTTTACTTTCGTGTAAAAGCTGTAGTTGTAATAGTGGCTCTGTCCATGGTAAAGATATCTTTTATTTTTTAAACATATTTGTCTTCCTCAATTTATCAGATATATTTATAGGCTTATTTTTGGTATAAAATCTCGAACCAAGAGAATAAACGTCTCCCTTATATCTGTAAATGCATTAGAAAACACAGTATGAGATTTATTCAATTAAGCATGGACTTCAGATATTTGAACAGAGTGAATGCTTAATATACATCTCTAAGATAATCTTCATAATCTGCTTTTGATGTCAGAATCATCTATGTGAACATCACTTAGACAATCTTATTAGATCAGTTATGTAAGGTTCGGAAAGAGCTTGTTCAACAACAAGAAAAAACGAGCACTGATCCCAGGTCAACAAATTCGGCCGGATTCTTGGAAACGGAATTGCGTTGGAATCCGACTAGAAAAATCCCGTCGGTTGTTGCAAATTTTATGAGCGATCTTTCTAGCTATATTCTATGATGGCCCTTAGAAAATCCAGGAAATCCATGTTTCGGATCCGAGTATGGGATTGTTCGACCTGGGATATTCTCATTGGTTTTTTATCAGAAAAACTTCAGCAAACTATTCATGCTGGTCAATCTTTCAGTTGACATGATTCTAATCTAATAAACATCTAGTGTTATTCAAGTAAATGAAGACAAAAACAGCAGAATAATCACTTTAATATTTTTCGGACAAGTCAATGATGCTGTATGTGTAGACATCATAATTACTCTCTCCTACGAACGTACTATTAGCTGATGAGTAGGAAAGAGTTCGGAAATATTTACAGACATAAATGAAAAACTGTTTGCGGTAAACTACCAAGAGGATAGTGTGTTAGATAATACGGCAAATGACAACTAATCTGTGTTCTTGGTAGAGTAATAGTCATAGATGACATATTAGCACAAGCTTCGTTACATGAATTTCATTTATACCTTTACTTATAACTCGTATTCAACTGCAATCTAACTAAATTAATGAAATCAGTTTTGCAAATATTTTCTCTCGATAGAGTCTCAAAACTAGTATTCCTACAGTACATACGTAATGTGCGATGGTCGAAGGGGAAGCGGCAGAAACCAGATGATGTTATGTGCATGTACCATCATTGAGAAAGAGCTATAAACTATTGTTGTTATACGTTGAAGGGTGGTGAAAACAACTTTTTAAGATAAAATCTTTTGGTTATTCGAGAAATCTAAGAGAAGTATGCATTTTAGTGTCATATTTCTTGCTAATAAACGAGTTGAAGGAAAACTAACTATAAAAGACTTAGATTATAGCTGGTACTATAGGAAAAATCTATTTATTAAGATTTATTACAAGAATCATGTCTAATGATCACGAACTACCGATCAGCAAGTGAGGAAGTAAGCAATTATACAGTACTTTCTTCATCGATGTTTGAATCTGTCTCGATACATCTAAACACTACAAAAAATCGTGTGAACACCGTTTCTGAAAACGTTTTTTATGAGACTAAATGCACAAAAATGAAACAAAGTATATTAAACATGGAAAAGACAAGAGAGAATAGAAAGGTGTTTCATGATATTGTCATTTTATAGGAAAATATAACAGTCCTAAGGGGATGTAAACATTATTTCATGATTAAGGACATTATCAAACGACAACCTTTTGCTCTAATGTGCGTGGTAAGAGAGACAGAATGTAAAATATATGCTTTTCATAGCCAGATGAGTTAATTCTAATTCATCCCTACAAACATTTGGATAAAAATGATATTTTTTCTATATCAAAACTTTATTTCTAATATATTCAAGCAGCCACTCTGGTGGAGCGACCTATGTAGCCTAAACGCTACGAGTACAGTAGCACTTTTATTCTGATTGGCAGAAGTTATAATTAAAATTAGCAATATGAAGATAGATCGTAAAACATGATACCTCGTAGATATGCAGATTGCTGTTAAGATATGTGTGTGGGAAATGGAAAGTCTTTTTTTAGAGAATCTTGTCGATGCAAGTATGTCATAAATTATTGAGCGTGTAATATATCCTGTATTGTAGAAAAATACAAAGAAACACATTGGCGATGCAGATTCTGCTCACAATTATTAGAAAGCTATAGAATTGAAGATTATGCCATTATAGGCTCGCGACTATAAAAAACATCTAGACTATTGATTAATATTATTAACAGGATACATACTTTGGACACTTATGATATTTCCTTGAAGATGATTGCCTAAACTTTACAGCTGCATATTTAATCCACATAACTCTAAAAAAATTCACTCATGAATTCATCTGTGTCGAACGCGTTGCACGGCGTAAAGTATACTATTTGTGGATGAGAGAATGGCGTTCTTATGTGGTGATTATTGATTTCCATCATTCAGGATATTCTCGTTTAGTTTTAAGATTCTATTATTTTGACATCACAATATCAGTATCTGTATTGCATAGGCAGCGCGTCTAACAGGCAAACGGAAGCAATTGCCTTCCCTAAAGAAAATCTGGGAAGGTGATAACTTTTTATTGCTTCTAGTAACACTTTCATCTTTTAGAAGTTGCTCTAAGAGTATTGAATCTCCGTTTCTCTCTTCCAAAAATTTTCTTATAGAAGAAAGAATGTCAGGAATTGAAGATTTATCGGGATGTTCATAAACAATGAATCTGGGAAGCTAAAGACTTTCTTCAATGATTTCTCCGATTGTTAAAAATTCCTTTCGAAAAATTTTCGCAGAGACTTCTCAAAAACTACCCAAATTTCTCAGAAATACTTTAAAGCTTTTCACAAAATGTTTCACACATTTCGCATGAATTTCCAGACTTATCGAAAAAGTTATTCAAAAACTATAGCTTTATCTCGCGCTATCACAATGGCCGCTGCTGTGGACTTTAAAAATTTTATTGCCTCCCCTTGAAAATAGAGCACGCGCCGCACATGCCTGTATGTATATATGCAAAAAATATGACATTTAGAGAAAAGCAGAACTACTTTTAACTCATAAATGCCATCTTAGCGACAAATCGAATCAGAAAAAAACAGATGAGAATAGAACAACTTTTCTGCGATTTCTGATCTTTAACGGGCCGAGGAAATAATTATTTCCGTTGCACCCGATTCATAGATTTAATTCTGTGTTAAATAATAACGCATATGGGAGTTTGAGACAATTTTACGGACTACATGAATTGGAATAATTGCGACGTCAGCGTTGCTTTAATAGATCACTCTGAATAGTATTGTAGCATGATTTCTGAAGATATACAGAAGAAAGTATTCGAAGCAATCAAATTATATTCTGAGCATGTAGAATCCATTAAGATTCAATTTTTCACTAGGATAATATTTGAAATCAAATACGTATACTGAAACAAAGCAGACAGCGCATTTTTTGAATCTGCATTTTAACTCATATTTTTTGTGTTGGAATGCTAGCATAAAGTCCTAGATGAACTAAAAGGCCCTTCTGAAATAAAGTTCGCGGAAGACACATTAGAAGATTCCTTTTTAATCTATCAATGGATTTTTTTGTTTCTCCTCTCTGTCAGCGTTTTAAGTTCGCACTAATTAATGCCGTTCTACTCCTCCCAACGGCGTGAAAACATCATCGGAAGAGATTGGATCGCTGTATCAGTTTTGAGAAGAATCATAAGACGTATCATACGAATATGCTATCTATTTTTATCACGAGTGCGTAGTTATTGGTGCAAAACTATTTTATAAACTCATAACGAAAACAAATCATTCGTGCAATCAGACTTATCGATATTAAAGAGCAAGAATCTGCTCAAGGATAAACATTTTTATGCGGATATTTGGTGAATTTTCTGAAAGATTTCGAAAACTTCCTTCACTTTTGCAGAATTTCTTTTGAAATTGGAGGGAAACGCAGCCTTTTATAATGAATCGGTCAAGCACCTATTGCCCTAAAAGTTTACTTGTAATAAAATTATCGATGACAGTGCGAAAATGTTTGGTGAGCGGACGCTGTCCTCTCATGCTCTCTTATGGATGCGTTACTATTATAAGTGATACTCATTAGTATACATCTACAAAAGTATGTCTTTTATAATAGGACATCCCTCTAAAAATTTGTAAATGAAATGATACATACAAGACATCGTCGAAAAGTGAGACCACGAGATGATGCATATAATTATTTTCAACTGTGTCAATCTCGACATCTTTTTCTCAACGGGAAATATTTTCGATCCTCAAAGAGCTTATGTTTAGCCGCGAAATAGAATTCATAAATGTGTAAAAAAAGGCAATCCATTTGAAAGATAAATGTCTGGAGAAAAATTTGTCACTGCCAAGCTGAGTTTTATTTTCAGAGAACAATCAAAGAGCATAGTATTAAAAACAAATACGAAAAGCCCATTTAGCAAGTTGGCGTTTTGTTTAAATGATAAGAGCCGGTATGTATTCGACCAATTTCATACAGATGTCTGTTTGCTTTTTCTTTGAAAAAAATTGTTCTACTGCCGATGCATACTATCATTAGACGTGACAGAGTCGCCATTCAGTAATGTGCTACAGAATATATAGCCAAACTACCTTTTTAAATACATATGATAATAAGTGTTCTACCATTTCATTTGCTCCAGTGTTAGACTTGATAGTTGCATTCAACCACAATTGGCTTTTCAGCACAGCCACTGTGTTTCCAAAATTCTTCATTTATTTTGTTTACTATTTAGCTAACCAATTGACTTGCGGATGCGAGCAGTTTTTTATTATAGCCGGTAACATATTTTGAGCTTAACCTTTAATCTGTTATTTTAATCAGAATTTGTTCTTAATTTACATGGATTTTGTCTGTGGTATCTTATAAAATTAATCATCGTTTACTTCAGATTCTTTTAGTGTATCTGTATATTCAGAACTAATGTGTATGTACACGGACGACAATTTAGCGAATATTTGCAAAAATTCATTAGTTTAAGACAAATAAACTTAATCTATGAGCTCTGCCCTACCACGGAGTATTTTTTATTTTCTTTTAGGTACTGCATTGTAATTTAGCGATATTCTAACATTATTGGTGTAAAGCTAGCACGAAGGAACTATAGCACGAACAAGCGATATGTTACCTAAAAACGTTTTCACTAAATATGTCCCGTGAATAAAAGTATCATCATTTGATGCAAAAGTTTTTTGTTAAAAAACATAGTTTATCTTTTTCGTTTATACAGTTCATCATACTTTCAAACTAGAAGACATGGTAACAAATGGCCTCCGTGTGAGAGGAAAAATACAAATGATTCATTTGAAATCTTCCCGAATTCGGCCTGTGGACTTCCGAATTTTTGAGTATGAAAAGTAGCATTTCTAATAACATTTTCATTCAACCATATTCGTGCCTGTTCCCATTAGTAATTAATCTTATAGTATCCGTATTAAACAACATGAAATTTCAGCTTATAAATGACAACAATCTAATCTATTAAGAGAAACGTTGATGTTAACACTCAAATGATTAACATAAGCAGTAGTTTTACCCAGTGGAAGTATTTCTCTCATGTTAAAAGTATCTGTAAATAACAACTCAGAGTCTATTATTCTAGTTAGTCAAACATGACGAATATTATAAAAAATAATTAACTTTTGAATGGAGAAACATATTTTATGATTTTCTCTACATCCTTTTTCCAACAATACTTATATTCAGGCATAAGGCATTTCTTTCGCTCGATGATGACGCAGACAGCTGATACAAAAATTTCATTATTAGTTTGTTGAAGTTTGACGTTATTAGAATGAGAAAATCTCTTGATGACTTATCATCAATAACAATAATGCAAATTCATCTTTCACAATGCATGATTTTCTCCACTACATTCTCTCTGCATATATACTTCTTTTTTTAACTTAAATATATAACACCTCTATTTCAGTTCACTTTTTAACCATATCAATCTCCGTTCCTTCGATTACCACTGCCATGTTCTCTCCCACGCTTCTTCTAATGACATTGTTTGTATTTAATCAAAACATCTGGAGTCAAGCGGTATCATCTCCTAGTATGGTTCGGAACTGCACTATAAATCATGATGGAACTCTATTGAAAGAAGGCGAAAGTGTTGAAATTCGTGGAAAACTATATAAAATGGAAGACTGTGATCTACATCGAGCTTATCATGCATGTGGTACTTATCTCTTACAAATGGTTAGTATTGCCTGCGAAGTTGTCGGATCGCAGAAGTCGAAACGACCCAGCCGAAAACGTTTCCGTAGATTTTCGCGTCGAAAGTTATTAACTGAAGCGTGCTGTGAAACTTTATGTACTGTTGGAGAAATGACTCGATATTGTCCGTGATATGAAACAATAAAAGAACATTTTGTAGTTGTCATTACCTTCGTTACTAGCTGAATTCCCATATATTTATTTCTATTCAATATAGAAAGGGATATGTGTTCTTTGTTTCTACAGTATGAAATTTTATCTTTTCTTGCGTTCGTGAATTAGTGGGAAAAGTTTTGACAAATAAAGCAAAAAAAAATTATATTTGCTATGAAGCATTGTACTGAAAACACAGTATGTAAATATATACTAGCGTTTTGTAATCATTTGACTATAGAAGGATTGAATAACGTATGATATTTTATAGCTCAGTATGATTTTCTGGTAAAGTAGAGCATTATTCAAAATAGAGAGATATTTAAAATCACAGATTGAACTTCTATTCGCAAGAGAGAAATCAAACACAATTTGATGACACTTATTCCAAACGAACTATTTTTATAGCGACTACTGTTAGAAATCATTTTTCACAAGAAGAGTATATCTATATTATAGTTGGCAAATGTTTTCTACTACTTCCATGCATGAGTTTCGTTTCAATTGTTTTACTATTTGTATTGTCTATCAACGATTTACCGGAAAACTTCAAAGATGCTTTGGAGAAAATCCGTGTAACATTCGCATCTAGGCCTGCTATTAATTGTAACATTGAGAAATAAATTTAGAATGATGACCTTTCTTAACAGATAAGAAGAGTTGTTATGCTATTAACAAATTCATAAAAGGATGAAAGCTACTCAGTCTTTACGTACATTACTTCGATTTTAATTATGTGAAGTGCCTTGAAATAGTATTTTCCCGTAGTAGAAGATTTACGACGTTTACTCTTTAACGTAAATTCTATACATTGTTTCTTAGCATTTCTTTGCTGAGCAGTATTCTATACATATTTTCTCTTTTCAATTAATGAATTAAAAAATCGAACGAGGAGTCATGTAGAAGGAAAGAAATTGTTCTGAATTGCTACAGAGACAGACAGAGTATTGATCTTTTATTCTATTTGTGTTTGTCTTACATAAAAAATCTTAGATATTTTTCGATAAAAATAAAAGATAGTTCGAAATCGAACGAAAACAATTATTGTTTGTCGGAATAGAATAATTTTCTAAGAGTTTTTGCTTCGTCAATCATTTCCTGTTCTTGTCTCCAACCTTTTTGTTTTTTATCATGATGAGCCAACTAAAATATAAATAAAAATATTATCAAGTATACAGACATTTTGTTGAAGAAAACTACCTCATGATAAATCGTATCATTATCTTCGAAGTCACCGGGTACTCGTGGAAGAATATGAACATGAACATGCTGTTAAAGAAAATTAATTTTTCTTCTAAATAAAAATTCTACTCAAATAAAAGTAATTACTTTAACTGTTTGTCCGGCGTGTTCTCCATCTTGTATTGCAATACTTAATGATTTTCCTTGGAAGAAATCTTCAATACGTTTTGCAATTAACTGTGTACTTAAAAATAAATCGTCGATTTCCTCCGAAGTCAATTGAACGAATCGCTCGACACAACGAATAGGTGATACAAGAACATCTAATCAAATAGATTAGAACATTTGACATATTCATACGATATTATAGAGACATACGTCCAGGTACAACAGGTTTTCTATTGACTAGAGCCATACTTAATCTTGAGCGAAAAAATACTTGCCCTGCTGTTATCTGCAATTGTCCCCAAGAGATTTTCTCGTCGTCTTTGCTATCAATTGGTACTGAAAAAAGAAACAGAAGATATTATTTGATTTTTATTCACAAAAATTTTTCATACTAATCATATTCGTTGGTGATGTTAACGAATATAAATCTTGTCGACGATGTTCCAGAATTGGCATTCGATCTCTCACTTCTCTGATACGTTCAAGATCAAGATCAATTGTGCGAACTGATGGATATTCTAAATCCATATCCAATAAAACTTTTCCCCAGGGATCGACCACCTATTGGAGAAAAAAAGAAGTTTTTCATTTTAGAAGAAAGAACTGTTCAGACAAACCATTGAATGTCCATACGATTCCCGTTTACTCGTATGTGAACCAACTTGAGCAGCTGCAATGACAAAACATTGATTTTCAATCGCACGCGCACGAAGTAGAATCTATGAGAAATCGAAATTCCAATCGATAGAGTAAATGAATATATCTGAAACTTACTTCCCAATGAGCTTCTCCAGTATGTTTAGTAAATGCACTCGGATAAGTTAAAATTTGAGCACCGTGTGTCGGTGACGATGTTAAAAAACGAGCAAATTCAACAAAACGAAGATCATAGCACTACAAGTAGAGAAGAGTAAATTCGAATAAATTGTTGAGCAATGGAAACGAACAATTCCAAGAGCAATTCTTCCAAATGGTGTTTCAATTGGACTTAGAATTGTTGAACCAGGTTGTGTATAATCCGATTCTCGAATATTTAAAGAACCAGCTTGAACATCAAATAGATGAATTTTCGAATAATGGCCAACAATATCACCTTGATCATTGATCATTAAATGACTATTCAATATTCGAGTTTGATCTTTCGACTGAAAAATCAAGTGATTTGAAAGAGAAAAGTGAAAAAGCAAAACACAAACTTGTTGATGAAAACCACCAAGTGAAAGCCATAATTGATTTTCTTTGGCCAAATTTCGATACCGAGTAATAAGTGGACCATCGATTGGTTCAGCTTTCTCAATCGTTGCTGCTTTCGAATCACAAATATAATCAAATGCTTCAGGAAAAAAGACGATCTAAACGAATACTTTCAATTCATTTCTTTCGTTCGTTGAAAGACAAACCTTGGCATCTTGTTGTTTCGCTTCACGGATTAATTTTTGTCCAATTTGAAAGTTTTCTTCTTTATCATCACGACTGTTCAGTTGACATAAACCAATTCGAATGGATTTATTTGACATTTTCCGAGAAAATTTTCTTATATGAACGAAGTAATTGAATTTGAGACTTAATCGCCGAAACATTTATCATACATTATTCGTTTATCTCCAAGAAAAACTCTTATTGTCACGATATCTTTCTAAGATCAATTTAACCTTTTGAAAATTTGAACAAGAGAAAAAAAACTAGGACAATCTCCACTACTTTGACTATATAAAATCTTTTCTACTTGACAATTGCGTCAAAGGTTTTTCAAAATAGAACACAATTTCAAATGAAGGAATTTTTCAAAATATAATTAAACAATTGAGATACCCACGATCTACTTTGTTCTCTAAAGTGTGTGAAAAGCTTTGTACTTAAAATTCTATTCGACAATATCTGAAATGTAGGAAAAAAAAGAAACTTTTCTCAAAAATGGATCACAAGATAAGATGAAAAGATGTTTTTATTGATTTTTAGTAGATTTGAATGAAAAATTATATGGGCTGAGTATTTTTTTCAAGCCACTCTAATAAACTTGGTTCAACATGTTGATTTTTCATTTCTTCGGAAAGAATTTCATAGACATTTTGATGATATTTATTGATATAAATGATCTGAAATAAGGAAAACTCGAATGAAACTTCAAAATATCCTTCAAATGAAACAAACTTCATCTTCGGTTAATAAATCTCGTTCAATTAATTTTCTTTGAATTGGAACCATTGTTAATTGTTCAAATGTTAACCAATCATCATTATAAAATCCATACTAAACAAGTTTCATTGAGACAAAACGAATATTGAAATTTCTTCAAATACAAACTTTCGATTTTTGTTTCACAACAAGAACACAATTTTCAATTCGAATTCCGAATTTATCTTCACAATAAAATCCCGGTTCTAAATTCCAAAGTCAAAACTATCTGTTTCCATGAAATTTTCTTTACCATCGCTGAGAATCATTCCTGGAAGTAAATAATTGTCCGACCGAATTCGTGTTCCAATTGATTGTGGACCTTTTCAATGAAATGACGAAATCAATTTCAAGAAAAATAAGTTGAAAAACCTTCGTGAACATTAAGACAACATCCAACACCATGTCCAGTTCCATGTCGATAATCTAATCCAACATCCCAAAGGGCTCGACGGGCAAATGAATCTAATCGAGCACCAATTGTATTTGGAGGAAATAAACATGCCGCTAAACCAATAAATCCTTTTAAAACGCGTGTAAAACATTCCTTTCATTTGCAAAAAGAATTCATTCATTTTTTTATTCAATTTTAAATGAAAACAAACTTTTTCGAATTGTGTTGGTTCACCCAAATGAATCGTTCGTGTGACATCAGTCGTTCCTTCTCTTGAGAACAAAAAAAATCAATTTCATTTTAATAAAATTCATTTGTTCAATTTTACTTGTATTGTCCACCGGAATCAACTAAATACAACTGATTGGAATCAATTTTTGTATCAGATTCTTCCGTTGGTCTACAAAATCACAAAAAATCGAAATTTCATTTTTGTTCAAATAGAAAACCGAGACTTGTAATGAATGATTGCTCCATTCTTTCCAATAGCTGATATTGTTTCGAAACTATCGTATAAATAATTACTTTGTTGACTAAAATAACAAAGAGTTAAAGAAGACAAAATGTGTTTTTGTCAATTAAACCTTCGAAATGATCTTAATTTATCCGCTCCTGAACATTCAGTTAGATTATCAATTTTTCCGATCTAAATTCCAAATCAAATGAAAATCTTTTCTTCCTGAAATATTTCTTTTTTCTTCATACATTTTCTTCCAGCCAATGTAAATACGAACAAAGTGCTACACCATCTTTGATCTAAAGAAATTTCAAACAAAAATTCAAAGAAAAAAAGTCGTTTGTATTTACATGTGCTAATTTCATTCCTTGGATTTCACAAAGATTTTTGACTGATTTTAAATCATAAACGATATCATCTTGAAGAATCAATTGATTCTTTTGAAAATAAGACAAATAAGAAAAGATTTTGTTAAAGAAAATGCTTTGTTTACTTTGGGAATGATTGTTTCTACTGCATGATTACATAATAACGAAGTCTAAATGAGACATTTTTACACGAAGAATTTGATTTGAAAAAGGATTTTTACACAAAATTTTTGTGATTTCTCTTGATTTTGAACATCTTGTTTTAATTGTTCATAAAATGAATCATAAGGATATAAATGAATGTTTTCATTTTGTAAATCTTCTTTTAATTCGTCAGATAATTTATTCAAATCAACAAATAATCTATTGAAAAATCTTCTTTTTTCTGTTTATTCTATTGAAAACTTACTTAACATAATCAAATGAAACGATTGCAAAAGATAAAAAGACCGGATTGTATGGAATATCTCCACCACGAAGATTAAATAACCCTTTTTAAAACAAAAACATTTCATTTTGAATATTTCGTTAAACACATGAATTTGGAAAAGAAAGATATTTACAAGCAACATCATCTGTTCGATGAACAATAAGATGATTAACTTGATATTCGTTCATTTTCGAACGAACTTTTTCTAATTTTTCAGTAATAGTTAAACCAGCAAATTGAATTTCATATTTCCAAATGGAATTATTTGGTAAATCTGGTCTTTGTTTATTCCATAAAATATCAATAAGATTTTCATGAATTGGAATCAAATGTTTATCAGTTTGTTCCAATGTTTTTTTCCATTCTTCCCATTCATTGATTGAAATTAATTGTGGATCACAACCAATAAACGAATTCTTTTCTAAATTCTAAAATCGAATAAACTATTTTTTACATCGAAAAAACAATAAATTTACTCGTGAAAGCCAATTGGAAATGGAAAGAACATCTTTTGTTCCTTCTTTCATTAATTTCCATGAATTGAAATCTAATTCTTTTTCTGCTTGGACAAAATATCTTCCATCAGTCCATAGAAGAGCTTCATTTTGCGTTATTACAGCTGTACCTACATGGAAATTAAGAAACAATTGAGTTTTTTTCATTTCTTCAAACCATTTGATCCTGTAAAGTTTGAAATAAATTCTCTTCTTTTAAATCGATCAGCAACATATTCGTTCTATTTGACAAAGATTCTTTTTTCAAAAAGTGAAACTCATTGAATTGAAATCTTTTACTCGATGAGGATCTGTTGTTGGAACAATGTACGCGTGAATAATCTCATGAAAATATTCTTTGGATTTCATCAATTGTCGAAGTTGAGTTAATCGACATGTCATTTTAGAGAGAGAAATCTAAAAAAGAAAGGAAAAAAAAAGATTGAATTTAATAATTATCATCATCATCTTCATCATCATCGTCGTCTAAAGAAAGAGAATTTGATGGAGAAGGTTTTTGTAAAAGTTTTTGTAAATGATTCAATTTGTGATGTAATTGATAAACACGTTGACGTTTATTTAGAAATCCATCATTAGTTTCATATTTGAAGAATTCTTCAACGATTTTCTTCGCTTTTTCGTGATTCTGAAATGAATTTCAAAGAAAACAACTTCTCAATAGAAACAAACAAAAACAAACTTGATCATCAGTAAATTGTTGTTGAAGAATAGAAAATTTCTGTGAAATTTCATTTAAATAATCGATTAATTGATTATATTCCGGAACAAGACGATGATATTCTTTTTCAACTTCATCCAAATCACTTTCATCGATTAAATCGAATTCATTTGTCAAACTAAAATGATTTTCATTTAAAAAAGAAAATGTTCGAAACAATTGTCACATACTTTTCATGTGATTTCTCATTATCCGATAAAGCATTTGTTAATTTATCCAACATATCCGATACTAAAATTCAAAGAAAAGATACTTTTTCTTTTGAAATCATTGTCATTGTTACATTGTTGCATTTTTTCATCACTAAGAGGATTTTGTGTGACATCATCAGTTTCCACTGATGTTTTCTCGTTGGTCACTATTGCTTTTGTTTTTATTGATGAACTTGAATTTGATATCAAAGGTTTCGAATTCGAAGTTGATGGAACCTTTTTTTGTCAAAAAGAGAAACTAAGAAAATGATTTTGTTAAATCAAATGTTATTTTACTTCATTATTTGTTTTAGTGAGAGTTGATCTTGCTGAATTAACTTGAGCTTCTTTGATTTTCCTTTGTCAGAAAGAAAGAATTGAAATGAACGAAAAAGAAGAAAGAAGATGAAATGAATACTTTCGAACAATGTTCGCTTCTCCTTTTGGATAAAAAGGCCAATCATAATTAATTTCTCCAGTTGTTAAAAGATGTTTTTGAAGAATATATTCTCCTGTTTTCAATTGAGTAGATATTGAAGATAAAATTGCATCTAATTGATCTTTATCTTCATCACGAATTCCTCCTTCTATTCATCATTAACAAATTCAATTTATCATTGAGAAAAGAAAATCAACAAACCAGTTTTCAATCGAGCGATTAGATCGGGTTTTTTATAAGTTCTTGCAGCTAATAGATGAATAAGTCTTTCTCTAAAATTCCATATGAAAAGAAAATAAAGATAAAAGAGATTTTGTAACCTTAATGGTCTTTCGAAAGATGATGGTTGAGTATTCGATGTAGAACTTGAATGTTCTTCTTGATTTGATCCAGGTCTCATTTTACTTTTATTCAATGTTGATAAAGATGAACGAGGATTTGAAGATTTATGAGTCTTTTTCTCTAAAATTGCTTTCGATGTTTCACCAATTTCTTTTGTTCTTTGAAAATCAAATGAAAATCGTGAAACTTATTTTCATTCCAGAATATTTACTGTTTCTTTGTTAATTCTTCATGTTTTTGAAATTCGGAGACTTTAGTTCTTGTCATACTGTAAACATCTTCTTGAGCTTGAACATTAATTCGTTGTTCAATTAATCCACAACTTTCCAATTGACTAAAACAAAACAAGAAATTCATGTTTTATCAAGAAAATCTTCTTTTTACTCTCGATTAATCTGTTTAATACATTGAAAGACTTCGGGAGTTTTATCTTCAGGTGAAATTTGAAACGAATAAGTTTTTCTATCATTGTTATTGATTGGAATTGAAATTTCCTTGAAGAAAAAGTTGAAAAATCCAGAAGAAGATTATGTTAATTTTGTTACTCCTCCTGTTAAATTGAATTTAATATTGGATAAATTGCCTTTTTTGTTTTGTTTTATATGAGTTTCGATTGCTTTCATACATGAATCAGTTAATTTAACAAAAATAAGTAATTTTCCATCATCGTTCGACGCGGAATCTTCATTTAAACGAAATCGATGATTTCCACGAAGATTACGATCCATTTCTCAATCTAAACTTTGAATAAATATATGAAAATCTTTTTCTTTCGATAAAATATTCACTGACAAAAGATCTTTTTCTTTTCTATTGGATTATTTATTCTCCAATAAATACTTTTCTTCAAAGAAATCATCGATGAAGAGGTTAACAACACATTTTTAACATGGAGATTTTTTTTCAATTTCTTTCGACAGAAAGTAAAGAAATATCGGAAATATTCGAAAGAATAGTGAAACGATCTCTTCATTTAGTTCTCTGTTTCGGTTGAAAGATGGAAAGAAAAACAAATTGTATGTTAGTTGAAAAGATTGGTATAATGGATAATTGAGAAATGTTTAGTGAAGTGCTGAGAGAGAGACAAGTCATCCACTTGAAAATGTGATGTTTTTGTTTATTTGTCTAGACAAATAAGTAAAGATAACATTCTCATTGTCATTTGTTTTGTTTTTTGACAATTTCTGAAGAAAAAGAGAATTCCCAAAGGAAAAAAGAAGAAATGACTTTGATGAAAATCAAATGATTTGCTTTGTTCTTCTTTGAATATTCTCATCTGTGATTAGTTTATCTGTCGAATATCTTTCAACAATGGAAATGTTTGATATTCTTTGTAATCAATTCTGATGAAGAGATTGATCTCAGATTGATTGAGAATAAATATTTAGATTAATGGAAATCTCTAACCGAATGTTCTCTCGTTTTCTTTGATTAAAAAGTTAAAAAGAAGACACCTGTGAGATGGAACAAACGTTTCTTTTAATCTTTGACAGGTCACGCAAAGAGTCAACAATTACATCACGACATCAATATCAAAACGTTCATTTACTTCAATTAACTTCTCTTTTTTTTGTTGTTGTTTGATTTGTTCATAGAGAAAGAGTCGATTTTTCCATTATGAAAAAGATCTACTTGGATTAGAAATGAATTGAATCAAGAAATATTCTTTAATTCGATAACCAATTATCTTCTATCTTTTCTCTGATGAAATCTATTGATGTTGATTATCTTCATCTGATGATCTTTATCATTTCTCTCTTGTGATATATTTATACATTTTCAGTCAATGAGAAAACTTTTCTTCGTATAAACAAATTCCGATAAGCACGAATGGAACAAAGTTCAACTGAACACGATGAAATATTGTTTAATTTTGGATTAAAGAGATAATTAATCGAACGAATAAACAAAAAAGAGAAAGAGAGAGAAAAGAAATACAACATAAAGAACAGAAGCGAAGTTTATGTTCACTGTTATGACCGGCATTGTCTTAATGATTCATTTGGAGAAAAAGAAATGGTCTTGTGTTGTCTTTTATTACGGAATGAAAATATCTGACACTCAACTACGAGTGAATTTCAATAAAATCATTTAAATGGTTTAAATGCACCAACAATTGATTGAACTTTTTCTTAAAGAAAGAAGATAATAATAAAAAAATGGGAATTTTTAGAGAAAAAAATGAGAAAAACCTTGATGTGATGATGTTGGAGATAAAGATGATGAAGAGGAAGAGGAAGAGATTGAAGTTGATCGAATTTGTTCATCTGTTTGATTTAAAGTCGAATCGATTGTCTTTTTATTGTTATTGGTTTCAGCCATATCGGCAAGTGACCAAATTCCACAACGTTTCTTTCGTTCATCTGTACAATTTCCATCAAATTTTCTTTTCACACTTTTCTCATCTTTAATAAAATAGAAAAAAAGATTTTCTAAAGAAGAAAACAACATTTTCAAACCTGTTGAATGATTTTGCTGTTGAATTTGATGATGTTGAAGAATGGTTAATGGCGGTGATAAATAATGAAATGATCGTGGAATATTTGTTGTTGTTGATGTTGATGGAATTTGATTTGTTTGAATCGGTGAAGAATTTGATTGATTATCTGATTGCGAACTATTTGATTCTTCTTCATGTCGATCATCATCATCATCAGTTGTTCTTGAAGAAGAAACACAGATATGAAATGATTGATTGAATTAAGTTGGATGTTTACCTATTTCTTGGTGACCAAGTCATTTTATTTTCTTTTTTTAATCTTCTTCTTGCATTTGCAAACCAAGTTGAAACTTGTGTTAATGTCATTTTCGTCATAATGGCTAAATAAACCTTTTCTGATTTGGTTGGATAAGGATTTTTTCGATGTTCATATAACCATGCTTTTAATGTTGCTGTTGTTTCTCGGGTGGCATTTTTTCTTCTTCCAGCTAAATCCATGTGAGGAGAATAACTAAAAACAAAACATTACATTGATCTTCTCAAATTCTAATGTGTCTCATTGGAAAATGATCTTCATTTTCTATGCATCAGTTCAATATGAGAAAAAGAGATATGCATCGTTTAGAGACTAATACATTCACTTCATTATACTTCAGGCTATTCTTTTTCTTCTTCTCTTCTTCTTCTCTAAGTGATTCCATTTAGATTTCTCATTTAGCAAAAATTCGAAATAAAACATTTCTTTCTTTAGATACATTACCCAGTTGTGTATGGAGTATAACCAACTAGAGCAACAGCTGTAGCTGCATCGTAAACATAAGGATTTGAATATGGATGACGCCATGGATGAGAATTGACTAAACTTTGACAATCAGAAGTTAAACCAACCATATTTAGATTGGAATCCTTATTTTTCCAAAGTAAAGAAAATGAAAAAGAATCAATAAAGAGATTTTATTTACTTTAATTGATGAATATGGATTTGAATCTGTTGGATGAAGTCCCGCTATCCTATTCATTGAGAACTGATCAGAGATAGAGAGTTCTTTTTTTTCTTGAAAATTTCTAATAGATTTCAATCTTTAATAAAAACAGAAATGTAAGTTAAATATATTTTTTTTCTTCTCACAAAAAGGAAAAGAAAATTAATCTAGAAAACAAGTTTTAATATCTTAACATGATTTTGCAAGTGTTTCGACAAGAATGCGAACAGACGTAGTTGTAATAGTCGTATTTCTTTTTCTCTCTCTTTCCTAGTTACCAATGTTAATATATTATTAAACGAATAGAAGAGAAAGAGAGGCAGAGAGAGAAGAAAAAAAAACGTTCGTCTGACACGATCGTTATTCTCTCTTCTGTCTACTATTTGTCGATGAGAAGAGAAAAAAAAGAGGGCGAAGAACAAAATTTTCTTATTGGTTGACAAGTCGTGTGCCACTGCAACGAGACACGATGTTTTACATTCATGTTCGAGTAGCTTGTTAACACCGCCAACGGATAGAAAGACAGAACAAATAAAATATTCTTTTCCTCATTGGATGATTACCAATGATATTTAGACGACGTCAACATTTATTAAGAGAAAAAGAGAAAAGACGAAAAAAAAAGAAAGAAAAATATCTTCTCAATACTATTGACAAAAGAATATTGCCTTAAGTAAATCATTTTTTCAAATCAATTGGAAACAAAAAAAGAAGAAGAAGAAGAAGAAATAGAGAGTTTTGTTTTATCAATTGAAAATAAAGAAATGTAATTAAAAGAAAAGATGATTGATGAGACAAGCAATGTGCATTTTCTTCCGGTAGTTTAACATTGTCAAATTGCTTATCTTGTTTTACATAATCATTTTCGAAGAGATAAGTACCTTTCAACACTTTCACAAATGCCGGAAACTTCTTTTCTTTTGTTGAATCAAAATTGATTTTGTTGAGAAAAGACAAAACTGACCAAAGTACAAATGACACTTTGATTGTTCATATTTGATATTTAATCAAACTGCAAAGAAACACAAATGTACTTAGAAGAAGTTTATTCAAGTGAATTCTTCTTAATAAGATCATCAATGCAGACATTGATCTACTCCAAAGTCAATAAACCGATCTCTCCCTCTTTCTCTCTTTTCCTTTTTTCTATACAATATGTCTCAGTTAGTTCCGGAAAGAAATCCAATAGAATGGAATTCCACAACGGACGAGAAGTGGACGCATGAACAAATTAACGAAAGAGTGTCAGCGCATGATCGGGCTTTTCCGTTCATCTTTTTTTCATATCTGATTTCCTTTTGACCTCTATTCAATCGATTGAGAAAAGAAAAAGAAAACCGAAATATATTTTTTCCTTTAATGAAACAAAAAAAGTTCTTAGAAAATATAATCCTACTTGACTATTTCAAGGTGTTTTCTTGTGTGATGATTATTGAGTGTATATAAACAAAAGGCAAATGAATCGATTGAACACTTTATTCTTTCCAATTAGCGTGATAACAATCTATTCATCTCTCATGATCTTCAACTAGTCAAATAGAGAATTGTTTCTAGTCGGACGCCGTCTGTCGTTAATAAGCAAAGTGTAGATCAACTTCCGAACGATCATCATCATCATCATCATCTGCTCTATGAAATCTTTGTTCTTATCGTTCTTTTCCCATATGTCACTCTCTCTTCTTCGTTCTTTCTTCCCAATCATAGAAATAATATAAAAGGAAAAAGAAACACATATCCGTTGCCGACACATTTCTTTAATTTATCATCGATAATTTCGACATTTAACATATTTTTACTGAAAAATTACCAATGATTAATCATTCAACATCGAACATTTCTTTTCTTTTTCTCTTGAAATCCATTAGAAAATCTTTAAAATCAATATTGAATGACTGATGATGAATTCATTTCGAATTAACTTTTCATATCCATCGAAAAGAAAACATATGTATACATTCATTCATTCATATCGATCCATCAGACACTTATCTTTTCTCTTCTTCTACTCAACACTTTCTCTCTTTCTGTTATTGTTTATTTCAAAACACACACTTATCATTATTTCTTTAAGTCAATAGAAAAACAGACGTTTTTTTCATTGATCAAAATCAAGTTGAATTTTTTCTTTTAAACTTATTCGTTTTTCTTTTTCATCTGCAACTTGTTCCACAGTTTTGGCTAATTCAAAACTTTTTCGAATTAATTCTTCAAGAATCTTTTCTTTTTCTTCGACTGGTTTCATTTTCTCATTGGAAAAACTTTGTTTTTTGTCTTTTTTATAACGATATAATAAATAACTTGTGATTAGTAAGATTAACAAACAAAGAATAACACAAAAACCGATGATTAGTCCTTGAATGATTTCTTCATGAGTCATTAATACTCAAATCAAGATTAAGAACATATTTATTCAAATTATGTACAATTTAACTTACCGCTTTTTTTCCAAAATTCATTATACACGATTAAAATCTGATAGCATTCTCAAAACTGCACTTCGGATTATTTGGAGAGAAAAAAGAAAAAGAATAAACTGTTGGAAAAACTTGAAAACAATGCATTGACAATTGTCACGAATATTCTCTGAATTTCCATTCTTCTTGTTATTGTTGTAAAATAAATTCGATTTCTTGAACATACATTACGATCAATATCTACAAATTCTTCAGTTTTTCTATCTTAATCTGTCAAAAGTTTATTTTTATACATTTCATACGATTGATGATTTGTATTCATTTTCCATTCTAAATTTAATAAAACACATATTCTTTGTTATATTATCAAATATTTTCATACTATTTGATCGACAATTTTGTATCTCATTCTGACAATTGACATATTTATTCATCTCTAAGGTTAAATAGATGAATCAGTGATGGTAATGCAAATGAAATAAATATATTCTAACTGATCTTTCGTTTGTTTAATAAAAAAGAAGCAAAAGAAATCGATACAATAATCTACAACAGTAATGATTGGATAAAAACAAGAACAATTAGAAAAATGATGAGCGCTAGTAGTTAATATCCATTTTCAATGGTTTATTTAATACACCACCAGTCAATCGACGACGAAGAATAAAACTTTTCTTTTTACGAATTAAAACAAAAGATGAATAATTTGTTTTTATTGAAAACTATTCATTTAACACATTCAACTTATCGTTTGAATTCAACATCAATAAAACCATCGATTATTTCTCGGATTCGATATGTTCTCAATCATTATTGGCTTGGATCGAAATTACTTTATCGAAATTCACGAAGGATTCAACAAATTCGAAAAAAGTCTTTTTCTTTATTTAAATGAAATGAGTTTTTGAAAAAGTTTTCTATAGAAATGAAGATAATGTAACACGAAATGAAAGATTGTTTTTGGATCAATATCATTATGATATTCGTGTTGGAATTCCATTTGTCGCCTTATTTTCAATTCCAATTGTTGGTTATAGTGCACCACTTTTAGCTATTCTTGGACCAAAATATCTTCCATCAACATTAATTATGCCAACACAGAAGGTTTTCTCATCTATGAAAAATTCCTTTTCTTTTTCTTTTTTTTCAAACAAATCTTTATTCTTTTAGGTAAAATTTCTTCGAGAAGATGCAAATGTTTCTTCAACAATTATTGATTCTTTTGTCAAATTTAATCAAAATCGATTTCATCCAGAGATAACTTATGGAATGATTCCAAGTATTCAATTGATCAATGAAGTTTGTCTTTTTCTTTTTCACAAGAAAAATAATTCATTCGATTTGTCAAGATTTTAATCAGTGAAAATCGATTTGAAAGAATTTCTTCATCAATTCCTGAATATTCTTCATTATTTCATCGATGTTATCCATTGTCATTATTTCCACGTGAACATTTATTAAAACTTCATCAATCTGTATTACATTCGTCATTTCTTACTCATTATTTTTCATCGAATTATAAATTAGAAAGTCAATTAGAAATGTGGCAATATCGAACATTAATTGATGATAAACAATTGAAACCAAATCTCGAGAAATGTTCTCCATATGATTTAGTTGTATCACTTTGTCGTCGTGGTCTTTATCTTCATGTTGAAGAAATGGGAAAAGTTCTGGAAAATGAACAAATAAATCAACTCAATCAAACGAAAACTCGGCAGGAAATCAATGAAAAGATTTTAAATGATTGGAAAGAACTTTTACATCAATGGATTGAAATTCATTTGAAATTGAATAAATTTAATCCAATTTCCACGTCTTTTCTTCTTCATATTTCACCTTTACTTGTCAAACAATAAAACATTTGTTTTTTCCTTCACTGGACTTTGTATCTTCAAATAAAACTTTATCACTGTGACCGTTTTCATATAATATAACAAATAGACATTCATAACAAGGTAAGTTATTTATTTTTTATATCGACGTCGAGCAGAAACAGAAATTGTACGTAGCTAAATGCAAATGGAAAAATAAGAACAGAATAATTTAAGAGACGATAATGTGCGTTGGTGTAAGAGGTAAAGCGTAGGTTTTCACGTCATTGAAGTGTAACGTTCGGTTGGTATCGTATTTAAACAAGGGAGAAGCGTTCGATCAATCTATGTAAGGCGGTATGTCGACGAAGTTAATAGAGAAAAACGATCAACAACAGAAAAATTATGTTTATTATGGTCCAATTCGATGTTATTTTCGTCGAAAACATGCGCCAACTTTATCCACAGGAAGACGTTCGAAATTTGAACAAGTGAGTGACGAAGAACGATTAAAACGAGATATAAGACGAGAAAGAAATCGTTTATTAGCAAAAAAATTAAAAGAAAAAAGAGAAAAAATTCTGACGGATTTACTTGAACAAGTGAAACAATTAGAAGAAAATGAATTTCTTATGCAAAATTTAATTAATGAACTTCAATCACAAAAAAATAATTTAATTCTTCAATTGGATAATTTCAACCAAGAATCATTTGACGAACAATTCGATGATCTTTTTGATTTACCATTTGATCTTCTCACTGATGATACAACATCAATTGATTCTTTTCTTGATTAAATTTGTTTTCATTTAGTATTATTTGCTTCATTTTTTCTGTAATATATCTTTCAGACAAATAAAAAAGATACAAATATGTTTGTCTATAGGTGTACTTTGCACAAAAGTCATTGACTTGTATTTAACTACTTGTAACTTGTTTTATTTAAATAATATCTAAGTAGAAACAAAGTTTGTATGAAAGATTCTGTCAACATTCTGAAAGTGGCAATTATACGCACGTTTTGTTCAAAATTTTCCATTTGTGGAAAGTACAAAAGTACAGTCATCGAATTGTCTTCGATACATTATGCTCGTCACAAGAAAACCTCGTGTCATATGTAATTGTTCGAATGATAAATATTTTCTACATATAAAGAGAATACCCAAAGTACCTAAGATTTAAATAAAATACGTTGACGACTGATCACATTGATAACTGTTTGTTCATCTCATTCTTATTTTACATAAAATTAACTTAAGAAAAGAAACAGTCAATGTATAACACATCAATTTATGACATTCCGAGTAAGATGAATAAATTGATTTTATATCCGTTGAAGTGCAATTGATTATTTGAATCATTGATAATATGAAATTGATGAAATTCTTATCAATGTTTTTGGAAATGTCAGAGTAACTTTGATGAAGGACATTAATGAAAATATACCTTGTTAAACGAAGTGTTTTTTTTTAAAAATATTTCTCTCACACTATATTGATTACCGTATGATAAATTCAAACACTATCTGATTTGTAAAATGTCTCTTGTAGAACAATTTACTCTGTGTCTATTTGCAATATTCTGATTACGCATATCAATATATCGTGTTAAACGAACTGAAACGACGTTTGATTGTGTTCGCATTTTGTCAGGTTAAACTTGAAAATACAAGTCGATATGATTTATTTCGATGATGAAATCTAACGTGGATAGATAAAACATATTATGATTGGTATTAATATCAATAAAATAATTAAAAGAAAAATAAAAATGACTAAAAACATCTGAAGTTTATGTTTTAAGCATATTGATTTGGAATTTTCGATTGATTTGCTAAAAATGAAAAGCAATGAACTTCAGGTCAAAGATTGGATCGATAAAAATACTCAATAGTAATTGAAATTTCTCGTTGAATAGTCCAATTGGGATCTTCGAATGATTTATTATGACTTTGATCTTTGGAAGAACTTTCAATTGTTGTGTCATTCATTTGAAATCAAATGAGAAATGAAAGACATACGAAAAAATACAATTGATTTTTGAGGTTTCATTCAAATTTCATCAAATAACAAAAAGATTTCTTATTAATTGAATGAAATTTGTAAATTAGCGACATCTGATGAAAATATCATTTATTAATTTTCTTAAACAAAACAGTTTTTTTTTCTGTTTTTAAAAAAGGTGAATTAAAATGAATCGAAATGAATAAATCCTTTTTTTGAAAATGTTGATTGATTGATTGATTTTAATCAAATAGATTTTCAGTTGAAATGAAAAGAAATCAATGTGATTTATGATATTGATATTAAATAGAAAACGAAATTGTAAATTCTATTTGTTTTTAGATGAATAAATTTCGTCCATTTATCTCGGGAACAAAGTAAAATTCATTGAATTTTGATTTGAAAAGTCTCATTTGTTCGTAGGAGTGATGATGTTCCCGACTGTTACAATCGAGTTCGATATATTCGAGATGCTTGTAAAGTTTTATCTGATGTTTATAAAACAGATAAAGATTTTGTAAGATTTTCATTTGAGAAGTTTTCTTTCGAAAGAAATTTCTCTTCTTTTAGTTAAATAAAAATTTTGATAATGAAATTGCGAAAGCATTTAAAGATTTTCGTTCGAGTGAAGTGGGAAAAAATTATCGTTCTCCTTATGGTTCAAATGGTGCTCCATCAATTTTAAATCGAACTATCGATGAATTAGTTCAAATTCATGATTTTATCGATTCAAAACGAAAAGAATCTCTTGAACAAATTAAAAAACTCATCGAACAAGCAAAAGATAAACAAGTTTGTCAACTTTTCTTCATTGAATTCAACAAAGATTATCGTTGATTTTAGTCGAATATTCGTCAAACAATGACTGAAGTGAAAGAAAACTATGAAAAAGCACAAAGACGTTTAGAAACCGCCGATACGAATTTAAAAAAGTTTCAAACTCGATCTGATCGTTATCAATTAGCGAATTATGATGAACGTTCTACTGAATTAGAAGATATTCGAAATGAATGTGAACAAACACGAACATTAACACGCGATATTTATGTTACTGAAATCTATAAAATTGCAAGTGAAGAACATTTCATTACTCAAAATCTTTTTTCTCAATATTTATTCGAACAAAATCATTTTTATAATGACATTTGCAAACATTTATCTTCAAGAATTCCAATAATTGAACAAAGATTAGAAGATGATGATTTAACTCCATCATTTCAATTCGATTTAATAAAACATTGTTCAAAACGTTGTGATACGATCATTGCTTATCCAATTGAAATTTCCATTCGTTTATTGGAAAATTCTCTTCGTGAAGAAGGTCTCTTTCGAATTGCACCTGCACATAATAAACAAAAGAAATTTGTTGCTGAACTCGATCTTCAATTAATTGAACGAAGTTCAACGTTAAATGAACTTGGTTATGATCCACATGTTCCTGCAAATACACTCAAACAATATTTAAGAGGACTTCCCAATTGTTTACTCACATCGACACTCTTCGACCAATGGAATCAAATTCCACAATTGAATAATGAACAATTACGTCTCGAAAGAATTTCTCAATTGTTGAAACAATTACCGAAAATTCATTATGAAAATCTCAAGTTCGTTTTCAATTGTCGTTTGTTTAATCTTCGATATGATTTGTTTGTTTTAGTTATTTAGTTCGTTTTTTAACACGTGTTGCAGAATATTCATCGGAAAATAAAATGAATGCAGCTAATTTAGGTATTTGTATTGGATGTAGTATTTTATATCCAAAAGATCAATCATCAAATACTTATACAAGTGGATCAATGATTCTTGAATTAATGATTAATTATTATAAACAATTATTTGTTTATTCATCTCAACAAGAACAAATCAATAAATCAACATTGAAATCTCAACCTGATCTCATTCCAATGGAATTTCATTCGAAAAGTCGAAGTAATTCAAATGAAAATTTATTAGAAAATCCCGTTTTATCTGTTCAACCGTATGTCATTTCATTGAAAGAAAAACAAAAGTAAAAATATGATTTAGATCACCTGGAGCGCGTCGAAAGAATAAAGCTCCACCTCCTCCTCCCTCATCTCAACAAGTTTATCAAGAAGAGAATTATGCCGAACAGATTATCAATCAAAATCCATCAGGTAATCAAACGAAAACCCGCATCTCCATGTCCAAAAGTATTGAAGAATCATCTCAATCATCTAATCAAATCAAAAATATTTATAGAAGATTTACAAGAGGTTTCTCAAATTCGCTCGCTTTCAATTTTTAATCGTTCGTCAATCACTCTTCTCTCTCTTCCTCTCTTTTTGCTTCTTGTCATTTCTTTGTTAACATTGGTGATTGAATGTTTATCAATCTCATCAAAATTCATTTCTCATTTCACTTTTCTTTAGTTGTAAGTTCATCAAGTTTCACTCCGAATGATAAAGTTCATCGACGAACGCCAAGTGATGGAATTCAATTAGATCGTCCGAATGCTCCACCGCCATTACCACCGCCTGTTGTTGTTGTTGCTTCACCTGTCATTCGATCAAAAGAAAGACTTTCAATTCCATTACAAACGAATAGTAATTATTCAACTAATGAGCAAACAACATGTAATGAAGAGAAATCAAATGAAAATGATACAGTTAATGTTGGAAAATTAATTTCCGAATTAAATAATCGAATGGCTGCAGCAAAGTTAAATAATAATACTCAAACAAATAATGTTCGCGTTTCATCTATTCGAAATAGCACTTTGAATTCACCTGGAGAAACAACGGATTTCTAGTCGTTTATTCATTCATCTCGGTGCTATTTCGACTCATTCCCATCAGTGACTCTTTTCTTTTTCAAACGAATCTTCTTCTTTTTACTAATATATATATATATATGAGAAAACAAATGCTTTGTTTATTATTATATGAATAAAAACAACGTTTATATCTGATCAAATCTTCAATGTCAACCATAGTTACACAGAATTTATTTGTAAAATATCTTTTTCGATAAGCTTAAATGAAATTTGATTTACATTGGGTCATTACTGATAAGCGCTTGTGAAATTACCTTCGAAAGATTACGAAAAAATGCAACTGAATCGAATATCACTGAACCATGTTCATGTGAAATTAGTAAGAATTGGTTTGTTTTGCTTTATGATGAGAAAACAAAGAAAGTTTTAGGATTTGACGTTAAAAAGAACAGGTAGCAGTGCAGGGAGATACTGAATAGATAAAAAGGATTCAGATTTGTAAAAGCTTTACTACAGATGAGATTATCATGAATGTGACATATTCAGCAATACCGCAAAAAGTAATCAATACTCCCGATTGTGAAGTCTGCAATGTAAATCTCGTATATTCTTCAAGTTGAAGCACTGAACTAAACAGATTCGACTTTAACAATCAAATCACCTTTCACACATTGTAGGTTTGATTTATATCAACATGTGTATTCCGAATTGTAGAACAAAAAGAACAAACTCCATATCTGAGTATTGTTCTCTGATTGTAAACCCGCACATGTAGTTCGCTTACCAATGTTTCAAAGGGTGCTTATCGAATTAATTTAAATACTCAAAACAAAGGAAACACATTAATTTCTACACCTCCACTCGAAATCAAATTTGTTTCATTGATTGTTTACTTTTTATGGGAAAGAAGAATTTTATTCATGAGAATATATTCCACATTGAATAATGTAATGTTTAATCGAACCGTAAGACAATCAATATTAGAAAAATTCAGAGAAAGAGGACCAAGCATATCTACATTACCATGGCGGGAGCAAAGTGATTCTCAGACTAGAAATCATAGAAACCATTCTTTTTCCCCTTAGAAAATCCACAAAAAATCATCACTCAAATTCATTCGTATATATTTCAATAAAACTTTCTGTTCATTTTCTTCATTAACCCATAGAAGTACACTCAATTCTTGCATATCAATCATCCAATATAGCCTGATGACAATAAAATGCGCGTCAATAGAAATACACTATCCATCAGAATTCCTCATTGTGCCAGTGAGCCAACCACAGATAGACCAACAGCAAATAAATAAAAACCAGCAAGTCGAAATAAATGAGCGCAATAATTGACAAAATATGTCAATAAAGCTCCTTCCTGCAGCTTGTGATGATCTTACAACATCATTCCAAGTTGGGTGTCCTAACAAAGTTTTCATACTAGATAGAATCACATTGCATAATCATCCATATATACTCACCTGCAGTTACATAAAAACTAAACATGTTTCTTTGATCATGAATAAGTGCAACCAAGTTTTCCGTCGGTCGATACTCTTGACGATCTAGGGTAATCATCATATAATCAAAACAAATCATTGTTGTTGTTTGATTGAGTAACATCATTTTCATCAGATTCACCTTGATAATCTATAGAACTCTCCAACAAACATTGAAAGCATCAGTAAAGTAAAGGGTGCTTGTTATTTTATGACTATGTCGACAATGCTTGATTCTCCGCTGCAACTTCTAGTATTGGATACTTACTACGTGTTCGTATCTCCAAGGTTGATTTTTACACATACTTTCGTAAGGAAAACAGTCAGCTGATCAATTTGTTTGAGAGGAAAATTTGATAAACGCCGAGAAAGATGTTCACGACTGACATTGCTGCGGACGTCGAGTTTGTGAATGTTAACCTAATCTTTTTGTTCAACATAAAATACGACGACTAAGAAAAGAAAAATGAATATATTCTGGATGAAAACAAAATCCTCAAATCTACTTATCGTCATTATTTCTTTGTTACAATCTGAGACTTTTCTGATTTTTGTTGACAAACGGCTCATACAGATATGGGAACATTTCAACATTTTTGCCGTCCGTTCTGCTTTCAAAAGCTTCAAGTGATATTTTTCCTCATTTGCAGTTTTATTTTCTTTCATTTCGTATGAAAACATTTCTCTTGAGAGAAAATAGCCATCGGTGTACTTTCACCTCACTCACGCCATTTCTGTTTATAATTAGAATATTATAGGTAGACTTACCGCTTTTCTTATTCTTTCTTTGTACTTGAGACGACGTAGATGGTGGTGCTGGAAGACCACTGGACCATATCATGCAAGGCTTTTAGTGATGGATTCATCTGAAAATGAAATAAATCAATGGATCTCATGATCGAATAATTGTCTTCAATATTAATATCGATTTTCTGGGGAATCTATCGTAAAACCTCTTTAACTGAGTGTTGTTACCCACGCAGACAACGTTTTTGAATCTGGCATATTTAAGAATCAAGTAGTTTTAATCGACTTTCAACAATTAAACATGATTGATACAAAGAAAAAAAACAGAAGGTGCTAGTGATACGTGTAAAGACGTTCAAGGTGGATTAAATGAAGCTTTAAAATTGAGTTGGACTAGAGACTATACATCCTGTTGCTAAAATTCTTGCCTGAATTGGTGATTGTCCTGAACATACTGATTTCTGTCATGATAAACGACAAAAAATGGGACTATCATTTAGATGGCCTTTTCGATGTGCCTTTGATGTGTGATCTCATCAAACAGATCAAAGACGAAGGAATATTTTTATTATTATCGGATTTTACAAAACATTGAAAAGATCTTCATTGATGATAAAAAGGAGTTTCAAGTGGAAAGAATCAAACTAAATTCAACTGATACGAACAAATTGTTTGATGAAGTAAAACGACAGATCAGTACAATCATTGCCAATGAATTCATGTGATTGATTGAACGATAAAACTCGTTTTTTTATATTTTAAACTTGATCACTTTATCTTAATCACTTTCACTTATCTTTTCTTTTGATTTGAAATAAACCCGCTAAAAGTATTATTCTCTTCTGTTTTCTCTATAAAAGTTAACATTCCAATATATCGAAGTTTCTCAGCCATCTTCACGAAAATCTGAATGCATAACTGAATGAAATATTTATCGAAACTGAAATTACGTCTATTTGCAATGAGTCAAAGGTAAACTTCTCTTCTCTGAATAAATTAGATGGCGCTTCAAACTGATCCTATTCTTCTGAAGATCTTCGAGTATTGAATGATATTACCATCAAATATAAAGTGAATGTCCTTTGATTGGAGATTTCATCAATAAGTTCAAAATGTAATTTCATATTCGTTGCGGATCGATTTTGTTGGTATAAATTGTATCAAATCAGATCTATTCTTTTTTTTATTTCTTTTATCTTTTGTGTGTTCTTTTTCTGTTGTTGATGATAAGAAGAATGTCGACTAAAAGTGAATATCTAAATTTAAATGAAAAAATCCATTTTAATTTTCAATCACGTCGATCTGTTGTTTATGGAACAAATGGAATTGTCGCATCATCTCAACCATTAGCATGTGAAGCTGGTTTAGAAATCCTACGAAAAGGTGGAAATGCAGCTGATGCAGCTGTTGCTGTAGCAGCTGCATTGAATGTCACTGAACCATGTTCATGTGGAATTGGTGGCGATTGTTTTGTTTTGTTTTATGATGAAAAAACAAAGAAAGTTNATGATTACTTATGAAAATGGAGATTTATTTGCTTGTTATGGTGTTATGGGTGGTTTTATGCAACCTCAAGGTCATGTTCAAGTCTTTTGTAATTTATTACATTATCAAATGAATATTCAACGTGCACTTGATCTTCCTCGATTTTGTATTGGTCCATTTATTCCAAATGGAAATGAAGAAGATGAATGTCCAAGTGAAATCTTTTTTGAAGATGGAATCGATGAAAATGTTTTGAAGAAATTACAATCCTATGGTCATCAGGTGAAAACAATCAAATCATTTGAACGTGCAATGTTTGGTCGTGGTCAAATCATTTATCGTGTTTATAATGAAGAAAATCAATTAGTTTGGGCAGCATCGTCAGATCCACGAGGTGATGGACATGCTACGGGATATTAGTTAGTTTTTCTATTTATTGGGATGTTCTATAACAAATAATCTTGTTTAAATGACGATAGAATATTTCAAAGATTTAAATTGTAGAAAAAAAACATACAAAAGAAAAAGTTGATTTTCTAATTTTGAATAATAAAATTTTTCGAAAAGGCACTGTATTGTTCTTTCCCAAATAGATTATTTTTCACTCCATTATGACGAATTCGATATAAATCTTTGCCAGTTGGATATGTTGATGGAATAAACCATTCCACAGTAATAATACTATGATCAATTGCTTCTCTTTTCCAATGAAAACGTGTTTCAATATCCGAATCAGTTAAAATTGGAATCCAAGTTTGATTTACATATCGATCAATATAAAGATAAGATTTTTCTGTGAAAAGATCATTACGTGGATTTGCACCCCACCATGAACAACGAACAATATCACCTGGTTTATATGATGAATTCACATCTGTGATAACATCACCAAATTTCTTTCCAATTGGTACACCGTCCCATATCGGTGGTAAAACAAATGAAAATGTTTTTCCTCTCATATCATAAGGTTGTGGACCAGATGGTACTGATTGATTTCGTGCTAATTTTGTTGCTAAATCATCATAAATTTGTTGATAAGCAGCTAATGTATGTGGACCATATAATGTTGATGCACCTTCATAACGTTGTTGTTGATATTCTTCATATGTTGTTATATAATGTGTATAACTATTAGAAAGACCAGCNGATTATTTTCATATTGAACAAATTTCTTCTTGGAATAATTGTCATATTTTCTAATGAAGAAAGAAGAAACTTGTGAGAAAAGAAAAGAAAGACATTTTTCTCTTATCTTTTTGTATAAGAAATATTTCATCAACATTCTTTATTTACTTATTCGAGTTTAGAAAGGAGAAACTTTCTTATCTCTCTGATAATTGTGGACTTTTTCACTTTGGACATCTTTTTTTTTTGCCTCGTGTTTTAATTAAAAGAGAAAATCGATCGATGATACAGTTTTAGATTGAAATTTCAATGAAAAACTTCTCGTTTTTAAAGAAAAAGACGATTCCAGGTAAAATTCAGTTGATCTTTCCTTTGTCCAAAAGAATTTTTTCCTTAGAGGAAACTCGAAAAATTCAAATCAACGATCGTGAAGCAAATGCATTGAAAACTTTTCCTGTAAATTTTCCTTTTGTTTTAACTGAATATTTCGATGTTTTTCTTTGAAAGAAAAATGAAGTTTCCACATCAAAATATAATTTCGTAACATTTTTACCAAAAAATTTATTCGAACAATTCCATCGTTTAGCCAATGCATATTTCTTATTTCTCCTCTGTTTACAAGTAAGTCATACAGTGCACCACTTTCTCTTCGAAAGTCTTTTTTCTTTGTTTAGTTAATTCCTCAAATCAGTTCTTTACCACCTTATACAACAATCGTTCCACTGTGTTTCGTTTTAACATTAACTGCCATCAAAGATGCCATTGATGATCTCGTAACAAATCCGAACGAATTTCTCTTTTGGAAATCTTTGAGATTTCTTTTGTTTAGGGAAGACATCGAAGTGATAAACATGTGAATAATCGACAAACACAAGTCATTGATGAAAATGATATTATCTTTAGAAAATGGAAAGATATTCAAGTTGGAGATATGATTCAATTAGTTAATGATGAATTTGTCACAGTTGGTTTTCTTTGTCAATTGAGGAAAATATTTAAAAAAAGGATTTGTTCTAGGCGGATATTCTCATCATTTCAACAAGTGAACAAAATGGACTTTGTTATATCGAAACAGCAGAATTAGATGGGTTTGTTCCAAATCTTTTCTCTTTTAAAAGATTTTCAAATCAAAAACACGATTTTGTTTAGTGAAACGAATTTGAAAGTTCGTCAGTCTCTTGAAGAAACGCAAAGTATTGGTGATGATATTGATGATTTAACAAATTTTCGTGGTGAAATTGAATGTGATTTACCAAATAATAATTTAAATAAATTTCAAGGAAACTTAAAATGGAATAATCAAACTTTACCTTTGAAAAATGACAATATTTTATTGCGAGGAACGAGATTAAGAAATACACAATGGGTCGTTGGAAGTAAAATTTCTTCTCTTCTTTGTCTTTTCATTTCCTTTTCTTTTCTTAGTTGTTCTTTATGCTGGTTCAGATACAAAATTAATGAAAAATACCAATAAACCATCATTTAAACGATCCCATATGGATAAATTACTCGATAAAATTATCATTGGAGTAAAAAACGAACTTTTGTCTTCTGATTTTCTTTGATTTCTTATTAAATTTAGATTTTGATCTTTTTATTATTTTTATGTTTAACAATGACAATTTGTTGTTCAATTTGGGAATATGAAATCGGTTCATCATTTGTCATTTATTTACCTCATGAATCGTATATTTCATCAAATCATCTTCGTGGATCGATTCAAATTGGCTTTCTCGTCTTTTTATCCTATGTAATCACTTTGAGTACAGTTGTTCCGATTTCTCTTTATGTCAGTATTGAATTTGTTCGTTTATTACAATCGAAATGGATCGATTGGGATATTGAAATGTTTTATGAGAAAAATAATGTCTCTGCACATGTTCGAACAACAACTCTTAATGAAGAATTAGGACAAATTCAATATGTTTTCTCCGATAAAACAGGAACATTAACACAAGTAATACAATGCACATTGTTTTTCATCAATAGGAGATTATGTTTATTTCATTTAGAACATAATGACATTCAAGAAATGTTCAATTGCTGGACAATTGTTTGGATATGTTTATGATTCAAATGGAACTGAAATTGAAGATTTAAATGTACAAAGAAAAGAGGTTTTTGGAGAAAAGAAAATCATTGGTTTGTGATCATTTAGAAATTAGAAGCAGTTGAAATGAACGGAGATGAAGAAAATTTTCTTTGGTTCGATAAAAGTTTGATCAAAGAAATTGAAAATCATAATGAAAATGTGGAAAGATTCTTTATTTTATTATCATTGTGTCACACGGTGATGATTGAAGAGAAAAATGGACAAATTTCGTATCAAGCACAATCACCCGATGAATATGCATTGGTTTCAGCTGCAAGAGCTTTTTATTTTACTTTTCAAAATCGAACACAAACAACAATTACAATTGATATTAAAGGAAAACAATTCACGTACAATCTTCTCAATATTTTAGATTTTAACAACGAAAGACAACGAATGTCGGTGAGATCTGCTTCTTTTTCTTCTTCTCTTTTCATTTCTTCTCTTGTTTCAACGAAGGTTATCGTAGAAAAAGATGGACAAATTTATTTGTTTTGTAAAGGTGGTGATACGAAAATCAAAGAACGATTAGCTTCAAATCAAATTGAACTTCTCAAACAAACTGATGAACATCTCAATGTAGATCTTTCCTTTTTCTTTTTCTTGAAAAATCTTCGTTGTTTTCTTCGTAGAATTTCGCCAATGACAGTTTACGAACGTTGTGTTTAGCATGGAAATCAATTGAAAAGTCTCAATATGATCAATGGGCAGCGAAACTCAATGTTGCAAAGTTTGTTTCGAACGATTTCGTTTGATTCGTTTCCAAGAAAGATTTTGTTTTTCAAGTACAAGTATGGAAAATCGAGACGAAAAAGTGTGTGAAATGTACGAAGAAATCGAAAAAGATTTACTATTAATCGGTGCAACAGGTATTGAAGATAAATTACAGGATGGAGTACCGCAATGTCTTCAAAGATTAACTCAAGCCGGAATCAAAATTTGGGTTTTAACGGGAGATAAAATTGGTAAGAAGAAGAGAAGTTTTGAGAAAGAATTTTTCGAAAAGGAAACGTTTAGAAACTGCGTATAATATTGGTCTTTCATGTCGATTGTTGACGAATGAAATGGAAATTCAAATGATTGAAGAAACAACAGAAGAAGAAGTCGAAGCGAAATTAAGTCAAATTCGAAATTTGATCATCGAAAAAATTGAAACTTTATTTGATGTTCAACCGATTGACAAAACTCAACGTTTAAATTGGAAACAATTGGGAATCGATACAAAAAATTTCGATCTCTTTCGCAAAAAATCTCTTCAAGCTTCAATTCAATCCGATCTTGAAGATTCATTCAATCAATCCACTATCAACGAATTCTTCGAAGGTTTTGCCATTTTAATCACCGGTCAAGCATTAATTCACGCTTTATCCGATCGTCTTAATATGAAATTCTTAGAAATAGCGACAATGTGTAAAGCATTGATCTGTTGTCGAGTCACACCAATGCAAAAGGCACAAGTTGTCGAATTGGTGATCAAACATGAAAAACAAACAACTTTAGCTATTGGAGATGGTGCAAATGATGTATCAATGATTCAAAGTATGACAATCAAAATAGAAGAAAATTAAAAGAAAATCGTTTGTTTTTCTTTAGAAGCTCATATTGGAATTGGAATAAGTGGACAAGAAGGACAACAAGCTGTTTTAGCGAGTGATTTTAGTTTTGGTCAATTTCGTTATTTAGAACGATTATTATTAATTCATGGAAGATTATCTTATCTTCGTGTATCAAAATTTTTACGTTATTTCTTTTACAAAAATTTCGCCTTTACATTTTGTCATTTTTGGTTTTCATTCTTTTGTGGTTTTTCAGCACAAGTAACAAATATGAAAGAATGTCAATAGATTAATCGTTATTTCTCTTTAGACTGTCTATGATCCAATGTATGGAGCTTTGTATAATTCCTTATTTTCAACATTTCCAATCTTATTTTTAAGTATCTTCGATCGAGTAATTCTTTATTTGAATTTTATCTTTAAACTCTTTTCTTTTGTCAAAGGATGTCAATGATAATTATTCGTTAAACAAACCGTATTTGTATGTCAATTCGATCTTTTTTCCTTTACTTTAGAGAGAGAAAAATATTCGTTTAGATATATTCCCGGGCAAAAAGATGAATTTTTCAACAAAAAGCTTTTAATCAAAAGTATTCTTCATGGAATTTTATCTTCATTGTTCATTTTCTTCATTACATATCTCTCGATATCGAATGGTAAAATGATTGAAATGGATCTTCAATCATTTGGATTTTTAATTGGAACAATTATTGTCATCATCGTTAATCTACAAAATGCTCTGCAAATTTGGTATTGGACGATTTATTATCATTTAGCATTATGGTTAACAATTCTCATTTATTTTCTCTTTCATTTAACACTTTATTCGACATATTTAATGAAATTCTTTCGAACAAATTACACTTATGTCGGAGTTGCCAAACAAATTCTCTTCGATCCGAAGTTTTACTTGATTTTAATCTTAATTTGTGTTGTTCTTCTTTTACCAGTATTTATTCAAGAGTAAGACGAATATGTTCGATAAAAATCAAAGAAAATTTCTTTTCTCGAGTAGATTTTATCGAATGCGATTCATTCCCGATGAGACGAACAAAGCTCGTTATAATCAAAAATATCGTTATGAAGAAAAAGCACGATTTATTGAACATATTCGACCAAAGAAACATTTGAGAAAACGTTTACCAAGATCAAGTTATGCTTTTGCTCAACAAGAAGGTTGGGGAAAATTAATAACATCAGGAATAATGCAAACTAAAAAGAAACCACAAACAAGAGCATCACATGATCTTAATGTTTGTCTTTTTCTTTTTCAAATCTTTTTATTTCTTCTTTTCAATTTTAGATTCATCAACGAAAAAGTCGAATTTATTCATCAAATCTTACTGGAACTTTATAAATTCGCATCATTGATTTCTTTTTCTTTTTCAAATAAATCTTCATTTGTTCATTTCTCTTCTTACGAAAAAGCAAAATAACGTTCAGGTCAAAGTATCTTTTCATTGCTCGTATATTTCATTGATGATGATCGATTAATCTATGTTTGTAAAAGCGAAAGAATATAATGTTCAATTCGAAAGAGAAGAAATTTTGTTTGATGAAAATGTGATCTAATACTCATCAAATTTTGTTCGTTCTCCTTTTTCTTTTTCTTATTCAAATGTTTATTGGACACACAAAAAAAAGAAAAGAAACGAAATAGATTTTGATCATTGACTTCAATAAAGTAAAAAATCTCTCATCTGGACGATTCAAATGATTATTCGATGAATAATTTCAATGAAAATGATCATTTGAAAGAAATTCATGATCAATCAACAAGAACTCTTCCATATTATTATGATAATATTAATCGTGAGAAAAGTGAAGAAATTCTTGAAAAAGTAAATCGTCCCGGATGTTTTTTAATTCGTACACATCAATCGAATTCATCATGTTTATTTCCAAGTCCATATGTTTTATCATTAATTGATCCACAATTAAAAATTCGTCATTTTTTATTATATAAAACAAATGAGAAATTATTTATTAAACCTTATTCAAATGAATTTTATTCTTCAATTGAAGATTTTGTTCGAGAACATCGTGTTAATCCTGGTTTATTACCTTGTCCATTATTAGAATATCCAATTCGTTTTCCTTCTTCTTCATCAAATCATTTCTTTTCTTCATTAATTATTGAAACAAATCAACTCATCCGTCAAGAAATTCTTGGTCGTGGTCATTTTGGAATTGTTTATAAAGGTTTATATAAAAATAATCCTGTAGCAATAAAAACTTATTCATCATCTTGTCCATTATCATCTGAAGAATGTCAAATAAATATGTTAAATGAAGCTCGAATAATGATGTGTTTAAAACATTTATATTTAATTCATTTATATGGAATCAGTTCTTTTGAAAATCAATTTTGTTTAATAACAGAATTTATAACAAATGGTTCTCTTCTTCTTTGGCTTCAACAAAAGGAAAAAGAAAAAGAAAAAGATGATTTGTCATTCAAATCAAATTTGTGTTCTCGTCTTCAATTATTTTCTTTTCAAATTTGTGATGCCATGTCTTATTTAGAATCTCAATTAATTATTCATCGAGATTTAGCGGCAAGAAATTGTCTAATAGACGATGAAGGCAATTTTGTTAAAGTTGGAGATTTTGGTATGGCAAAGTAAGAAAAAACATTTCTTTTCAAATTGATTTCTTTTCTTTTCTTTTTCTCTAAAGATTTCTTTCTTCATCATCATCAATTTATAAAGGAAAATGTGATACACCATTTCCACTTCGATGGTCTTCACCAGAAGTTTTACTTTATCAAGAATATAGTTCGAAATCGGATGTTTGGTCATTTGGAATACTTCTTTGGGAAATGTTTTCACTTGGTCAAATGCCTTTTAATGATTCAATAACAAATGATATGGCTGCGAAAAGAATTAAAACAGGACAAATGTTAAATAAACCATCTTTAGCTAATGAAAATATTTATCAAGATATTATTCAACAATGTTGGATATTTAAATCGGATGATCGACCAAGTTTTTCAATTTTAAAAGAACTTTTTAACAAAATCTTTCAACGATCAACACCATTGTCATTTTCATGATTTATTTATTTATTTTTCAAATGGTTTCTGTATTTTCTATGAAATAAATTAATAAAATCCAAATAATATCAAGTTGAAAAAGTTCTCATTTATCAACGATGGATTCACAAAATCTTTTCGTATTTTAACAAATTTAAATGTCATTTCCGAATATGAGTTTCATCAATAGAGAGTATCAGGAATTTTCACGTCTTTTTAGGGAATAATTTTGTCAGATTTACATAAAGACTGATGGTTTGTCTCATTTTATAAGGTTTCCAAAACAACATTGATCTGTTTTTGCAACGATTATTTGGATTTCATCAGAAATAAAACCATTCAGAAATCGATATTCTCATACTTTCGTTGAGATTTTACTTAGCGGACATCAAACGTTTGATTGCTCCAAGAATTCTAACTTTCAAAGCGATTAGTATTTTTGAATTTTTTTCACAGCATATTTTCATTGTGTTGCATATCTCCAAAGAATGGCCACTATTTAAGATAAGAAAATTATCTACGTTTGTAGAGAATTTGACAAGGAATCATTCTATAAAAACAAACAGTTTTTTTCTATCTCTAATAATAAATGAAAAAATTGTAAGTTCTGAGAGGTTCATTTAATCTGTGTTATTCGTTAGTTCTTTAGAAAATGCTCTGTTCATATGTACTATATGATCGAGTAGTAATGTTGGTTTGAAACTGCATTTAATCTTTACCGATTCTATGCGTGATGGTGGCTGGATCGTTTCTCGTCGGTTAAGTTCATTTTCTGACAATTTCTTTGCCATTGGAATCGACTGGAACTATATCGAAATCGACTCAGATGTCAACAGGTCCAATCGTCGAAACAATCGACCTGGGTAGACAGTCTAATTACTTTTTCAGTATACAAAAGTCATTTAATCAATTAATGGAAAGTTTGAGCAATAAACATTAGATTATTGCCTTATGAGTTTCTAGGTGTGCGACATTCGAATACCGTGGATTGACGTCAAAGCTTTTAAATTAAAAAGAAAGGAAATTTATAAATTTCCTCGACAAAAGAAACGATTATGTACTATTTTTGTTTTTAGATGGATGAAAGAAGTACTGATGAATTTTGTTCGTCGAATCAAACAAACAATAAATGAATTGAATTTCTTTGAATTAGAAATAATTCGTTTAGAAAATTTTGATCAACGCAAAGCAATCATAGCGACAAGGATTTATATTATACTTTTCTCAATACTTTTAACAATTCTGGTTATTTATTTGGCATTTCAAGGCGAAACTCGTACTGTCACTCTTAGTAATCCATTACAATCCGATTTTACAACTCTTTTCAAAGAATATCCAAATAGTTTAACATGTCCATGTCAACAAATAACAATTCCCTATGAAATATTTCTCGATATCATAATTGATTATCATCCAATTTGTTCAAGTATATTTGTTAGTGTTGATTGGATAAATCTCTTATTTAATTATAATATCAGTTATTTTTACCCTCTTGATTTTCGTTCATCATCTTTGGGACAATTTCAAATACTTTCATCATTATGTTCACTCTCCAAACAATATCTTGATGAGCACATTCACGATTTACTTTCTGATAGTTTTCTTTCACCGATAGCTCTTTCGTCACAATTACTCGATCATCAAAGTCAATCACAAAGTTCATTCATTCGAGCATCCTCAGCCAACGCTTTTCTGCAATTGTTACAATTAATTCGTAGTGCAACTTCTGTTGACGTGTTACAGAACGCTGCACAAACTGCACGAATTTCGCGATCGTGGGTAATCTATGATGGATTAATAACTACAACTGAGTATAGCACCCATTTTTCTGATCGAAATGGTACTATTTGCGGTTGTGATTTTGAATCTACTTGCTCATCATCATTTTCTGGCTTCTTTAATTTATCAGCTTATGAGACGGTGCCTGTTGGAGACTATACATCTTCTCAATCATTGATAACTGAAGTACCAGGATTTGTTGTCGGATGTTATGCACTTGAATCACTTTTGCAATCATCACTTGAATGTTTGTACGATTTACAATGCATAAATATTATATTAAATTTCTTTCCACATATCAATATAAATAATATAACTTATCTAAATAGAAATGAAACAAAATATTCGATTGATACACTTGTTAATGTATTTGTCGAAAATTTATTTATTGAAAATTGGACAATTAATAGTTCATTTGAAAATTATTATAATATGTGTGCACCTCTTTTATGCACATATACATTTATTCAGTATAATAACATTTTATATATTATAACACAAATCTTAGGACTTTATGGTGGATTAGTTCTTGTTCTTCGTTTTATTATACCTCAAATACTTCTCAAGTTTAATCAACGTGTTCGTCATGAATCAACAGAAATTACTCGTAAGTTTGATTATCTCCCTGAAGGAAGAAGATTGAGTTATGTACGATGTTTTACTTCCACTGAAACATGATTTTCTTTTCATTCTGTAATCTCTATACACCCTCATAATATATTTTCTTAATTCTTCTTTTTCTCGTATAGAAATTCGTTTGATCGATCATCTAAAACAATTCAATTTATTTAAGAAATTCGATGCAACACGTAATGATCCTTATGAATTACGAACATCACGTATAGCTACTCGTTTCTTTTCAATTGTCTTTCTTGTAACAATGTGTATTCTGGTAATTTATGCCCTCGTAAGTGTTCGTACACAATCATTCACTATTTTACAACCATCACAGAGTACTTTTGAAAATCTATACATGAAATATTCAAGTGAAGTGAAATGTGCATGTAAACAATCGTTTATTTCATACGAAAGCTTTTTATCTTTGTCACCCGAATATCATCCAGTCTGTTCAAGTTTATTTGTATCTTCGGCTTGGTTAGCCTCACTTTCGCCTGCAAATTGGCTCGATACATTTTTTAATTTTGAGGATTTTCGAGTAACAGGTATAGTTATTTTCCAAGCGATTAAAATCTTATGTTCGTATGCTGAAATAATAATAAGAAATTCTTGGCAAAATTTCAAACAATCTTTATATGTTACCGAATTTGCATTGTCGAAAAGTGAAATGATTGAACAGATTCAAGGAATAATAAGTCAATTTCAATCAGGTACTATTGCTGATTTTAAACAAAATCTGGATACTATTCGATTACACACAATAAATACATTGAGTACCAGTATGCTAAATGGAGGTCCGGGTTCTTATAAATTATTGAATACTACTGATACTTATATTGATTTTCAATATTTTTCAGCAGATTGGGGCGAATGTTCTTGTGCATTGACTGATGATTGTATTGTTCCAACGGTATTTTATGAATATCCTGACTCACTTTCTCCTTTTTCAGCTATTTTCTTATTCAAGGTTCCTGGTTTATTCTCTGGTTGTTTTGCTATCCGATCAGCTTTTCACTCATCACTTGAATGTTTCTATAATGAAACTTGTCTAAGTGCAATTGAAACAATGATTCGTTCTAATCGATCCATTAGTGTTATTAGTCTGAACCAAAGTCAAACTCGATATTCACCCAATTCATCTATTGAAACAATATTTAATGAATTGATGTTGGAAAAGTGGGGTGAGAAAATTGAATACAATCGTTATTATGAAGTATGTGCTCCTATTTCTTGTACTTATACAACTATAAAACATAATGATCTCACATATATTGTCACATTTTTACTGGGTTTATTTGGTGGTGTTTCCATATCATTGAAAATTCTTGTTTTATTTCTCGTTGAATGGATACGAAATCGATCTCGATCAAATTTGAATCCAACAAGTAAATAATCAGACAAGAATAAATATCGATGCGATAATATTTCATTTTTAGATTTGAACGAACAAAATTTTCTTGAACGTTTCTCTCAATTAATAAATAAATTGAAGATAAAAATTCGAACACATAATATATTCGAAAGCGAATTATCATGGTTGAATGAACAACATCGTCAACAAGAAATCCAAACTACTCGTATTTATTTTCTTCTCTTATTATTTCATGTTATTATTCTCATTACTTTTACTTCATTTTCTGTTTTAACAAAATCTATTACAATTGATTATCCAACACAATCAATGTTCGATAATCTACGATTAAATTCTCGGATTTCATCAACATTGGAATGTTTTTGTCAACAAATCGGTATTTCCTACAAATCATTTATTTCAATTGAACCTCATTTTCATCAACTTTGTTCGAGTGATTTTACTAATATAAATTCAAATTGGACACGTGTACTTTATTCATATGGAATTGATGATGAACATTCCTATGATGATTATCGTTTATTTGCTTTACCACAATTTCGTACATTATCTTTATTGTGTAGTGTCTCGAAAACAACAGTGACGAATAATTTAATTCAATTTCATTCAAAAACATTAATTAATAAACAAATTCAATCGTATGATGTTATTCAATCTCAAAGTGAAAGTGCAATTAGACGATTTCGTTCATCATTATGCAAAACATTTGTTTGGACGTTTGATTTCATTCGAGAAATGAATCAAGGAAATGGAATTGTTTCATTGATTTTCTCGAATTGGTATTTTCAAACATTGAAAAAGGAAGACAAGGCTTATTTATGGACAAAACCACGTTCATATGAAGATCAAAATAATTGTTCGTGTGGAATAAGTTCAATGTGTAGTTCATCAGCAAAGATAGAAAATACATCAATACCTGGTCTTCGAATCGGTTGTTCTATCATTGATTCGTTTCTTCAATCAACTTTGGAATGTTTTTACAATATTAGTTGTATCAATTTATTGAAATCTTTTTATTTCGTACAGGATGTTTTGATTTCACCATTGAATACGAATCTTTCTTCTTCAAATGAAACTGTTCAAGATCTTATTGATCGTCTATTGATTGATGAATGGAAATATAATATCTCCTATGAAAATTATTATCGTACTTGTTCGCCTCGTTCATGTCGATATACAATTGAAGAACGTGTTGATGCATTGGATATTCTTACAAGACTTATCGGCTTTTATGGTGGATTAACTATTGCACTCAAAATGATTACACCTCTTCTTATGAACATTCTTCAACATTTCTTTCAACGCTTTCAAAATAGAAGTTCTACACAAATTCAACCTGTTTTATAGAAACATCATTATCAATTAGATTCTCCGTATAACTTGACAATCTATCAATTGTACATTTTTCTCATGAGGTCTCAATTCTAATTTGACAAAATAAAATCAAACAAAACACAATGTATTTTTATTGAAATGATTCGAATGTGATTTTAGTGTAGAGAGATGTAACAATACAAATACTATTGACATTGGATGACTAACTTAAAGAAACAATCTCAATAATGATCATTTCATTACCTTTGCTTTTCTCTTCTTCTTATCATTGATTTCAACATTGAAGACTTTTTTTTTCTATCGTTTGACGCGAAACCAATTCGTTGTGAGACAATAATTTTCAATCGACATGATCTTGTGAATAATTACGGTCGCAAACATCTTTATTTTTACGTTAGAAATTATTGAAAGTTTCGTGAAAAATTCTCAATTTAAGAAATTCACCTGTGACTTCATGACAAAACTGAATGAACAAGATTTTTATTACTTGAATCAGAATTGAGAGGATATATTAAATCTATCTCTACAAAGTTTATCATTAATTATGCTCATTTCATTCTAAAGCGTTGACATAAATGTCACTTTATTAGTGTTATCTTTGTTTAAGAGACGAATCTTAATCTATTCATTCGAAAGAAACAGAATGAAGAAGAAGATATGTTCTACAGACGATAGACGGAAAAAGGAAAACCAAATAGAACGATATTATTAGAGATATTTTCTATATCTGAATGGAGATTAAATATACTTCGACATGTCTATTAAACATAAGTAAATTCAGAAAGAAAAATGATCTATCGCAAAAAAGGGCACAAAAATACGATGTACTCGACATAGGGGTTGGTCGGATTTGGCAAAAACAAACGAGACGACAGAGTGTTGACATATTCTATCATATATTGAAGATAATTCATATGATAAGGAGGAAAATATCGATCTCTAGAACAGAATTAGTATAAGAAACATTGAGTATATAACATTGAAGAACGGGAAAAAATATGTTTTTAGACGACTATAATCTTTGTCGATTTCTAGTCGCTTTTAAGTACTTTCACTGAATATAATTAAGTTTTATTCGCAAATTTTTGTTCCATTTTATCTTTTTACTCTATAATAGACTGAATCGTTGAATATGATGATTCTTTCCGAAAGAAATGCAACTGTGGATGACATTATACTTTTGTTTTCTTTATTTTTTCTGCATAAGAATTGTATTGTTTTTGTAGACAATACACAGTTATGTAAATATACAAGAATAAGAGATATAGAACGACGATGTTACAAATAGATTATTTTTAGACACAATTTTCTACTTATCGTTGACATTTTGTCTCGAATGAAACTTTTGACTTTGTAGATAAATTAAAAACATGATTTCATCATTTCATTTTTCGTATTTTATCATTCTTTTACTCATTAATATTTGTCCAAAATCGTATCGAATGGTTTCATCAATCAATCCAACCGATATATTTTCGTTTAAGGACAAAATCTTATCAATAATGGACACAAGTCACACAATTAGTGCGTAACACAGTTTTAAAGTCGTTCGAAATGTGTGAATTAAAGAACATGTTTCTTCTTCTTCTTCATTCATAATAATGCAAAAACTTGAAAAGATGATTTTTCTCTTTTAGTCGATCAATATAAATGTCCAAAAGGATGGGAACGCTTCGGAAGTTCTTGTTATTACTTATCGAATACGACGAGTAGAATTTCTCAAGCTAAAAAGACATGTAATCACACATATTTAACTGATTCTCAACTAATCAGAATTAAATCTATCGTTGAATTAATCTATGCTGCTCATCATTTGATGAGAAATAATCTCGTTGAATCACTTATTGAAATTGATCCATATTCATTTAAAGGTAAATCGTTCCAAATCAACATTTCTTTGCTTTTTTATTCTTAGAAAACGAATTGTTTGTTTTTAGAACAAATAATGAAAAGCAAATTTTCAAAAATAAATGAAAAACAATGGAAATCAGCGATAGAGAAAATTCGAGATTTTCGTCGTATTGATTTTAAACAAAAGAAGAAAATGGAATCTTCTCCTATAACAATCGATAGATCCGTTGATTCTCAAATTGATGATTCTAACCAATTAAATGATATTCGACACGTTTGCGATGAATTTATATGGAATGCAATAAATATGGATTCAACTATTTTTGTATTAACCAGAGATTTTACTTCGAATAAATTTATTTGCTCAATTAATAATATTGAAGAATATGCAAAATATTCATATATATGTGAATATGGTATAAAAATGAATTATTGAAAGTATGAATGTATAGTTTTCTTTTTCTTTTTTATTAAATTTAGTCACTCATAATTGTTCTGCAAATAATACATGTGGAAATCATGGTTATTGTATTAATTATCCAGTTACTCAATGTTTGTGTTATTTTTATAGGGAAGGTTTATCTTGTGAAAAATGTAAGAAATTCTTCAATTTGAAAGTTTTTCTTCGATCATCATTTTCATAGATTCAAGAGGATTTCTTCAAATCATAATTGGTTTGGTTTTAATTGGATTGTCTGTTTATTCATCTCTCATAATTAAATTATTGATCAAATGTTACAAGTAACATTTTTATATATTTGTACAAAAGATCGAAATTGTATCATAGACGGATTCGAAATGGATCTGATAAACGTGTAGATAAGAAAAAGAAAAATGACAGACGGCAGATGCGTGTCTTCGTGAACGATTTAATGAAATCACTGAGTTGTGTTGCCTGTTCGTACTGCCGTACTTCGGATAATAATGAACATATAATGGCAGAGTAAATGTGACATATCAATGAAAAATCAAATTTATTTTACTTTTTGTTTAGTGAACAGAAATATATTCATCGTTTATTTGTTATTCTTTTAATGTTATTTTTTATTGTTTGTGGAACAATTCCAACATATTTTCATTGGAATTCGTTTAATGTTGATAAATCAAATTCGATAATTTTAACGAAGAAAATCAATGAAATGATTAATCAATGTGGAAATAAATCAATTTTCAATATAAATAAATCCAATTTCTATTTTTGGGTGACAATATTTTGGTTTGTTTTTTGTTTTTTGATTTGGTTGAAAACTTGTAAATGTGGTATAAGAAATAATTTTGTTTTTCTATTTGAATTTCTATCTGAATTAAATTTAGGAAAATGTTTAACACCAATTGAACCATTTAGACAAAGAAATTCTGTTGAAACAAGTGTAATTTTAAGTTTAGTTATGATCGATATTCTTATAAGTCTTGAACAAACTTTATTTGATATCAAACAATTATGGACACAAGGTGTTATTTATCATTTTGTTTCTCGTGCATTTATTCCTCTTCTTAAAAGGTTTAATCATTTGAAATAATTCATTTGAAAAAATTTCTTTTATTTTCAAATTTAATTTTAGTCTTCGTTATTATCCAATTTTTCTTTCATTACAACAACGTGATCGTTATGTTCTTTCTTTATCTATTATCTATATTTTAAGTCTTATTGGATATATGATCATTCGAGGATGTTTCTGTTTAGATTTTTTACCTGATTCATCGATATTTTCTTTATTTGATCAGATAAATACTTATGTCGTATGTTTAAAAAATTCTTTTTTGAAAATTTGAACAAAATTTCATTTAGCAATTTGGAAATCTCATTTTTCTTTATGGATTATTGAAAAATCTGACACAATATCTATTCTTATCGTATATCAGTGCAGAATTGATTGTTCGCTTGTTTTATAATTCATATTGTATTGAAAAAACATCTGAAGAAACAGTTCAATCGATGAATAAATCATTTTGGAATAAGAAAATCTCGACAAAATTTTCTCAAATTCCAATAACAACAATAACAATGTGTTCATATACAATAGCATTTACTTTACTTATATATTTAACATGTATGTTTGCTTTTCAACCAATGATCAAAACAAATTTCACATCTTTGATTATCTTTCTTGTCGAATATTTCTTCGATATTGGTAAAAATGATTTGAAAAATAAAAATGAATTCTTTTTCTTTTGGATTTTTCTTAGAAATTGATCTTTTTTCATTTGATACACAAATTATTTTAAGTTCAATTCTCACAACGAGTTTTTTCTCTTATCAATTATATCGAGGACTGATGGAACCAGTAAAAAATCTTCAAAATCCGAATGACAATCTGTTGGAACTGTTGAAATCCACAGAAGAATCACGAATTCACGATTCTCTTCGATATTTAAGTTTTGTTTTTCTTAATATTATTGGTGGTTATTATATTTGGTTTCATTTGATCTTCTTTGTTGTTATGTTAATTTGGCCAATTTCATTACCTTTATTTACACATTGGTTACGAATTTTCTCTCATTTATTTTCATTTGTTGTTCCTTTATTAGTTTTATATGGATTAAAACATTGTTTACCACGTTTATGGTCAACATTTGTTTTTCCATCGAATCAAAATCAAAATGAAGAAAATAATCGAAAATCAAATGAAAAAATGAAATCAAATCGAAATTATTATGGACTTTTAGTTTATGTGACATTTATTTTAAGTAAATGATACGTTTCAAGAAGATTTTCTCATTAATTTCACATGAAATTCTTAGGTTGTCACATCACGATTATCGAAACAGCAAAGCGTTTGATTTCTGCATTGGCAATAATGATTTTTGAAATGCCTCGTTTGAATTCCAGTTGTTTCATACGACGATGGGAAACATCTGGTAAATCTCACTGATTCTTTCAACAAAACGATCGACAAAGCTTTGCTTTTACTTCAGATAGTTCGTATATGGCATATCTTTCTTATTTACATATGGAGAAAACTTACAGAATACCAACAGAAATTCGCCCCGAACCCGATGACATTGTTGGAGATAACAATGAAAATGATTATTCTTCAGTGAGAAGTGATACACAACGAGCGATTTAACCGAACAACGACGGCGACTGGGACGCATCTATAATAGGAATATCTCGAATAGGTTCGCAATCGAGTTTTTTCATCGAACACTATTCAGAAACTTCACCGGGAGTCAAATCTGTAATTACATATTCTTATTATTGGGTCGTGACATACAAATACTTGTTGGATCACCATTAAATCCAGAAAAAGACTCTACACAAGTTAAAAAGAGACACAAGAGACAGGCAGATCTTTGACTTTGTCTGTCTATGTGCTTTCATAGACGAAAGAAATCAAATTAATCTGATCAAAGATGAGTTTCATTGTCGTCGAAAACTGAGAAATATAGAAGAGATATGATCAATTTATGAGACAAGTGAGCAGCAATTCTCTTCTTAATTTATTTTCTTTTTTTTTTCTTTCGAGAATAATCCACAAATTATTGGAAAATAATGAAAAGCACAAGAAGGAGAAAAAAAAACAAAAAAATTGAAATACGGAGTAAAACAATGAAAAAGATTAATAAATAACAAAGAAAGACTACGATAAAGAATTTCATTTAAAAAAAAAGAAAAGATAAAACATAAAAGAAAATGAATGAGATAATCAATAAAAATCTTGTTCTTTCAAATTTCTAAGATAATTTATGGTGATTAAAAGACGTCTTTAATGTCCGGACAACACTCACTTTTGTTTTTTTTTATTATTATTCGAGTATCTCAAATCATATCTTCATATAAATNTCGATATTTAAGTTTTGTTTTTCTCAATATTATTGGTGGTTATTATATTTGGTTTCATTTGATCTTCTTTATTATTATGTTAATTTGGCCAATTTCATTACCTTTATTTACACATTGGTTACGAATTTTCTCTCATTTATTTTCATTTGTTGTTCCTTTATTAGTTTTATATGGATTAAAACATTGTTTACCACGTTTATGGTCAACATTTGTTTTTACATCGAATCAAAATCAAAATGAAGAAAATAATCGAAAATCAAATGAAAAAATGAAATTAAATCGAAATTATTATGGATTTTTAGTTTATGTGACATTTATTTTAAGTAAATAATACTTTTCAAGAAAAATTTCTCATTGATTTCAAATAAAATTCTTAGGTTGTCATATCACGATTATTGAAACAGCAAAACGTTTGATTTCTGCATTTGTAATTGTGATTTTTGAAATGTCTCGTTTGAATTCAAGTTGTTTCATACGACGATGGGAATCATCTGGTAAATCTCATAGATTCTTTCAACAAAATTATCGACAAAACTTTGTTTTTACTTCAGATAGTTCGTATATGGCATATCTTTCTTATTTACATATGGAGAAAACTTACAGAATACCAACTGAAATTTCTCCCGAACCCAATGACATTGTTGTAGATAACAATGAAAATGATTATTCTTCAATTAGAAGTGATACGCAACGACCGATTCAATCGAACGACGATGACAACTGGGATGCATCTATAATAGGAAGATCTCGAATAGGTTCTCAATCAAGTTTTGCCAAAGAACAATATTCAGACAGTTCATCGGGAGTCAAATCTGTAATTACAACTTCTCAACAAATTGATTCGAGAAATTTATCATTGAGTCGTGCAGCATTAAAAATACTTCTTCGATCACCATTAAATTCAGAAAAAGACTCTCCACAAGTTAAGATGAGACACAAGAGAGAGGCAGACTTTTGACTTTTTCTGTCGATGTGCTTTCATAGATAAAAGAAATAAAAATAATCTCATCAAAGATAATTTTCATTGTTGTCGAAAACTTAGAAATATAGAAGAGATATGATCAATTTATGAGACAAGTGAGCAACAATTCTCTTCTTAATTTATTTTTTTCTTTTTTTTTTCTTTCGAGAATAATCGACAAATTATTGGAAAATAATGAAAAGCACAAAAAGGAGAAAAAAAAATGAAATACGGAGTAAAACAATGAAAAAGATTGATAAATAACAAAGAAAGACTACGATAAAGAATTTCATTTAAAAAAAGAAAAGAAAAAAACATAAAAGAAAATGAATGAGATAATCAATAAAAATCTTGTTCTTTCAAATTTCTAAGAATAATTTATGGTGATTAAAAGACGTCTTTAATGTCCGGACAACACTCACTTTTGTTTTTTTTTATTATTATTCGAGTATCTCAAATCATATCTTCATATAAATGACTGATACAAACAAAAAAAGAAAAAGTAAATGAAAAGAAAAGAAAAGCTCACACTATATGATTTTGTCTATTGTTCTCATCTAAAATTGTTCTAAAAAGCAGCAGGCATATAACCGTATGGACCAGAGAATCCAGTTGCTGCACTTGGATCATAAAAATTTGGCTGTTGATAAGGAGCAAATGCACTTTGTTGTTGTGGTTGTTGAAATGCGACACTATTGGGATCAAAATACGGCGTTCCTGTTGGTTGACCAGGAAAACCATAAAATTGTTGAGGTTGAGCTGCTGGTAAAATTCCTGCTTGTTGTGCAGCTGTCAATGGCATTTGAATAGGTGGAAGAATACCAGCAAATTGAGCACCAGCACCTTGTCCTTGCATATATTGTTGCATTTGATACATGGCAGCTGCTTGTGCTTGCATTGCAGCAGGAGATTGAGGTGGTAATAACATAGCTTGTTGCATTGGATCACCACCATAAAGACTTTTACTTACACCACCATATTTATTATATTTACCTGTTTTACCTTGTGGTGCCACTTGACCATAACCATCGAAATATGCAGCACCACTTGGAAAATAGGGTGAAGGTGGGGTGCCTGATAATGCTGGTGGACCATATCCATTTCGTCCACCCTTAGTTGATGATGAATGATATTCATATTTATCAACAATTTTATCACCTTTTTCACGTTTATTGCCAAAGAGACCCATTTGGTTTTTGAAAATGTAAGAAGAAGACGAAGAAAAAGCTAATTGAAGATGTGACTGTCGTCAAATATAAATGAAAGTAAACTGATCGAATAGAATATCTATCTATACTCATTTTTGACCCATTGAACGGGCAAAGATACGCTTGAATAAACACTTTTCATTCAACAAATATTCATCGATGAAGAAAAAGAAGAGAAAAAGAGAAGCGAATTTTGTCATAGTGAACCAATCGAAATAATGTACGAAGAAGAAAAAGAAAAGATCTTCTTTTTTTTCCTTCATTGATGACACAACAGATCTCTATTAAAGAATATTTTTTCCGCTGATTTTGTTCTATGAAAATTTCATAAGAGAAAAGAAATATGTTTCTCTCATTTTCATCGGTCAAGCGAAGTTGATGGATATATGAGATGACAGCCGTGACGATACCCATATTCATTCATTCATTAGACGACGTGCTTAATGGATCGCATTTTGATATCATCTACTCTTGTTTAATGACATCCATTTCATGTTACACATCAACGAACACCATCATCTTTTACAATATTTTTTTTTTCATCTTTCGTCTTCTTTCTTTCATTTCGTTTTTTCTTTTGTTAAATTTAGATTTAATTAGAAAGAAATTTCATTAAGAAAAATTAATTTTCAGCAGCAGCTTCTTCAAGAATTGATTGAAATGAAAATGGAACAAATGGATAACCTTCACCTTTATAAAATTTCGATTGAAATTCCACCCTAAGAAAAAGAATTGAATTTTTGAATAGAAACAAATGTTCAACAAACCAATGAAGACGAAGTGCATGAAGAAAAGCTGAAAGCCCTTCCATTAAAAGCAAAATAAAAACAGTTAATGTTGACCAAGTTGTAAAAACCATAAATAAAGCGACACCACCTAAACCAATTCCTCCCATTGATAAACCAATTCTCAAAACCATTGTCCATAAGACTTCAGATAATTCTATTGAAATGAAAATTTGAAAAAGAGAAATTATTTTGTTTTTTCTTTTTCGAAATGTGAACTGACGTGCATGTGCTAAGGAAAGTGCCCAAAGTCGTAAATATGATGCCGTATGAGAAATACAACCAAGAAAATATTCAATTGTATGAATACCTTGTTCAACCCAAACTTCACTCATATCGACCTAAATTAAAGAAGAAAATTGATTTGAATGAATTTATCAAAGAGAAGAAATGAGCGTTGTTTTTTTTTTGTTGAGCAGCATCTTATGATTAACGAAGCTTAACATTTGTCTGTTTGATGATAACCTCTTGATGTGGTTCATTTTGTTCATGCATTTCAATATCATTACTTGCTTCTCTTTCTTGATGAACTAATTCTGTTGACTAAAATTCAAAAGAATAAACTTAGAAAGAATCGAAGAATGAATTTGGAATTCACATTAGTCTTTTTCTTTCGTTGAACAATAATATAAATTGGTTTTCCAATTAATAACCAAGGAATACAAATCACAGCGACAATTAATAGAATAATTTGAATAGTTCTTTGATGATTATAAAAGACTACAATGCTTTTGGGTGTTTTCGAATCATCTGTTGGATATGACATCAACATCATATTGATCAAATCTTTTCAAGAAAAGAACATTTCAAGATTTCATTGAAATTTCTTGAAATAAAAACATACGAATAAGAAGTGATGGAGCATCTGTTGCTTGTTCAGCTAAATACGTTGTCCATTTATAAAAGATTAAAATAATTAAATAACCAAAAATCGATAAAAGAAAAACAATTTGTGGTATAAATTCCAAAAAGATTGCATAATAATGTTTAAAATATCTAAAGAAAAAAAAATGTTTTCTTTTGAAAAAGAATTTCTATTGATCTTACAAATGATTTCCTAAACTAAGAAAAACACCAAAACTCATTTGCATAATTCCAATGATAATTGCAAATTTCATTTTTGCTGAATTTGTAAAAGTGATTTTATTTTCTGATATTTGCCAAATTGGATCAAGACCAATTGGATAAGGATTTCCACTATACATTTGAACATAATGTGCAGCAGCTGAATAAGGTCGAGGATTTGGTTCCAATGTCACTGCACCATCTTTCAATAAAACATTGTCACTAAAAAGATTTCAATCTTTTCAAAGACAACAAAAACAAAATCTCAAATAAATTTACTCAAATTTCACTTTCCACGATGAACCAAAAAGATTCATTGATTTGGAAAAGATATCGTTATAGATAAGACCAGTATAAATAGAAAATATTCCCATTAATAAGATAATATATCTTCCTCCAAAGAAAATTCTCCAAACTTCTTGATTTTTTCCTTTATCTTTCAAATAATCTTCTTTCAAAACCATCCATAAAGCAAATAAAGTCACAATAAGTCCATGTCCTGCATCACCAAACATAACAGCAAATAAAAATGGAAATGTTATTAAAACAAATGACATTGGATTGATTTCTCGATATGAAGCAACACCATATGCATCAACTAAATTTTGAAAACCTTGAGTAAATTTATTTAATTTGTGATATGTTGGTGGTTTTTCATTAGTTGTAATTTGATGAAGAATAGTTGAAACTTGAACATTTCCACTAATTTCCTTCAAAGAGAATATTTCATAAAAGAGATCAAATTGAAAGAAGAAGAACTAACTGATCCTTTTCGTAAAGCTAATTGAACTTGTTCTAAATATGAAGTTGGAATCCAACATTCAGCAATAAAACATTTTCTTGCAATATCATTATTAAACATATTCATTGTAAAATAAATCGATTTGATTTTGATTAATTTGATTTTCCATAAACGAATTAAACGTGATGTTTCAATTAGAATTCGTTGTCGATGATCTTCTGTTTGATTAATAACAACATTTAAATCTTCTAAACGTGTCATTAAACCCATAGTTAATTCACGACGTTCATTTCCATTTTCTGGACATGGATAAATATTTGCACGAAAACTTCGAAATAAATTCACAAATTCAATTATTTCTATTCGAAATCTTTCGTTTTGTTTTCTTATACAAACCCTTCACAAATCTTTTGAATACGAGTTTTTAATTGTTCACCTTGGAAAAACACAACAAAAACAATTTTATGCGCTTTTTCTCCCTGAAAAGATCGAAAAATAGTTGAATGAAGTCAACATTGATGAGAAATTCGTTTTCTCTTACTGTCGTTGGATCTTCAATTAATTGTGGAATTTCTGCTGATTTGAGAAAAACATTTCCTCGACAAACTCGCCATAACATTCGTTCAAATGAATTCATTCGTTCACGAGAAATAACACCACTGACAAATCTTTTTTTTCGGAAAAAACAAAAACAAAGTTGATTGAAGAAATGATTCGAAAATCTTTACCCTAATTTCATTCCACCTGATGTCATTCGTTGAGTTTCATCCGTTATTTCCTCCGTCATATCATTGAACATTCCATTTCCATTTGGATCAACTTGTTGAAAAAATCCTTGTGTCATGGCCAAATTAAATTTCAATTCAGTTAATTCATTGAAATTCTTTCTTAATGCATCGGAATTTGTATTTATTTGTTTAAGATCATAATCTAATTTATCGATCATTGCCTAAAGAAGAATTGTTCGAAAAGAAAATGAAATAATTGACCAAGATTTTACTTCTAAATCGACCAATTCACGTGGTTTTGGCGCATCTGGATTTTCATTTGTATCGACAATCGGAATTTCTTCTTTTTTGATTTCACTTTCGAGAAAACCTTTCGAAAACAAAATCAAGACTAAAAACGAAAGATAAAGAATATTTTACGAATTTTCCGTTCCATTTCTTCACAACGTCGAAGTTCATTGACAAATTTTCTTTGAAAAGAATTGACATTTGGATTTAAATCACGAAATTGAACAATTGACAATTCACCCAATTCAGCAATTGAAGAATACGCAGCATCAGGTTGTAAAAATAATTGACACAATGTCATTTGTTCACTTCGAAATATCGATGAAGTTGACATTTCTTTTGAAAAAGAAATCTGAAATAAAGAAAAATTTTCTTTTTTTCAATGAGAACAAAAATTGAAAAGATTCTTTTCATCAAATTTAATTTTGATCTTTTGACAAATTGAACATTGAACAAATAGAATTTGTTTGAAATCCTTTTCAAGAAAATGTTCTTTACAAAATGAACTTAATGGAATTGAGAAATTTAAACATAACGATTCTTCACATTGTTTTCTTCGATTTTCTTCATTGATTTTTTTCAATTTCATTTGTTTATGTTCTTGGAATGTTTTTATTAAATTTACAATTTGTTTATTTGATGATAAATAAAGTAATTGCAATGAATTATTTAACAATTCATTATCGAATTGATTTAAAAGTGGAATTCGTTGAATTAATTCATATGGTTTCAAATCATCGAAGATTTGTTGTTGTTGATCATTTTCATTTTCATTTTCATTGATGATTTCAATTGTTTTAAATGGTGTTGGAAGAATATTTAATAACCATAATGGACAAGAACTTTTTTCAAATGACTTTTCACGTTTATTTAGACTTTTTTTTATTAAACTCTCCATTTTATCTTCTTCAGATAAGTTTTCTTTATCTTTTATTTATTCAAACACATCATCATTACATGTTTGTCTTTGTTCTTTTCAAGAATCAACTAAGATCTTCGAATCATAGATGACACTACTTTATTCGGCAAATTCAATAAAGATATTTGAATAAACAGAAGAAAAAGAGAAAATAAATACAAATGAATGTTCACTAATTGTTCTCTTCGAATACAAAAATCTTTTTAATTAAAGTTGAATTCATATCTTTTGTTTATTCTTGGAAATAAATTAAGAAAAATCTTTTTGAGAATTTCAAAAAAAAGAAAAGATCTTTTCTTTCTTCAATGAGTTCGATTAACGAGATCAATTCGATATAAAATGAAATCCTTAACAAAAGATAAATGAAGAAATAAATAAGAAAAATGAAAAGGAATTACTTGAATTGTTTTTAATTTTTCTGCAATTGAACAATCCCCTTTGATTTGTTTAATTTGATGAGGAAGACAATATCGTTCATAAAGATAATAAATACAAGATTCAATTCGACTAATTGTTTGTGTCTAAAGAGAAAAAGATTTGTTTCTTTTTCGACGAATTTTTCCAAAATTTCTATCAACTCGATTTCTTCTTAAATCCATTTGTTCAATTAATTTTTGTTCTTGATTGTTAACTTGATTTTTTAAATAAGTTAATTGTTCATATAATTGTGCACAACGTGTTTCTAATTGTGTCATTTCTAATTTTTGTTTTTCCTTAAATCTTTCTTTTTCATTTATCTTCTCTGTTTTCTATTGAAATCAAACAGAAAAATCTTCGCTTTTTTTCTTCAATTCCATCAACAATAACGAACTTCATTTTGATAATCTCGATCATTTAACAGTTTTTTGACATCGTATAATGTGTTGTATCTGAGAATTAAACTTTTGGCATCATTCGAAGCATCTTGTAATAAACCTTAAATAAGAAAAATAAATTCAATTGAAGATAAATTCTGATTTGTTAATTTAAATAAACCAGATGGAAAAAATGGAATTGTTTTTTTGAACAATATTACGATATGGAAGATAAAGTTTTCGTTGTTGATCTAATTCATATAATCTTAAGAAAAAAAAAAACAAAAATTAATTTTCATATAAGATATTTTGATAATTTGATAATTGATGATCAAATTCTCAACTATTTTATTTTACTCGTGATTAAGTTGATCATATTGTTGTTTGAGTTGATCTCCTTCGAGTCTTTTGAAAAGATAATCTCTTAATTCAATTTGATATTGACGAAGACTTTTCGATCGTTTTAAATTGGAATCATCAATGAACTTTTGAAATTTCGAATGTTGTTTATCATTCTAAGACAAACAAATTCATGTCAAAGAAAAACACAAATATTCTTCTACTTTGTCTTGAAATGCTAAAAGAGAAAGTTTTCTTCTTGAACATAATGAAAGACGTTGTTGACAATCTTCTCTTTTCGATAATAAATCTTTATCAATTTCATTAAAACTTGATCTTGTTGATGAAATTTCCTTTTCATCTCGAGAAATTGATTCATTTACACTTGAACTTCGACTTTGTTGTAAAGGAATTTCAGTTAAAAAGACTTTCGAATATTCTAATAGAGATTTATATAATAAAACTTTGGATTCATTTGAATTCATCTAAAAGAAAAGAAAAAGAAAAGATTTACAATCGATCAATAAAAAGAACAGTATGAGTTTGAAGATTGACTTGTTTAAGTGTTAAATGAAAATCTTTCAATTGTCTTTTAGGAACATCACCGGTGGAAAAATAAAAATCTTTTGGAAGTTCAATTTGTTGATTTTCAAGATATTTGACAATGCGAAGAATTTCATCATTTGAACAAAACTCTTTTACAATTCTTTTCCCATCATTCAAATGAATCGCCAAAACAATTTTTTCATTTTCTTCTTCTTCTTCTTCGTATTGTTTAATTTGTCTTAGACGTGGATTTGGTTTTGTCGAATGTTTAATTAATGGTGGATGAGGAATATATTCATTCGATTTACCAATTGATGGTAATTTTTCATAAGGAGTCAAACGAGAACCAAGATTTTCTCTATAAAATGAAAAAGAAATGAGAAAAATTGATTTTGATCAAAAGACGAAATGAAACCTTTGTAGTTGAGAATGTTTTCTTTGGAATTCAATTGACATTTGAGAAAAGAATTTTAATCAAATGAGAAGAAATAATTCATCATGTGATTTTCATTTATTTGTATTCATGACGACAATTCAAACGATTCCAGAAGATTCTTATAGATGTCACTACTATTTTACATTTTGTTTATCTTTCGTATTTCCATTTCGAAAAGAAAAAAATGGGAAAAACGAACGAAATTATTCTTCTTGCAAGGTTTTCTTCATTCTAATTGTCTTTTTCCTCAGGAAAAACTCTTTTCTTTTAGTGAAAATGAATTTGAAAGTGATAATGACAGTTTAGAATTAGTCAAACCGGTGTTAAATTTATCATTGGAACATATAGAAAATAAAGATTCGTTAAAACAATTGAACAAGTTTGATTTCAATTCGAATTTCTTCATGAAAATCGTTTTCTTGAATTTTAGTCAAACAAAGAAATTCTCCAAAGTTCAACAAAAACAAAAGACGATTTGTAAAAAGAAGAAAATTCCCGAACATCGTCGTTTATCTTCTTTACAAAAATCAAACAAGTAACAAATGATGTTTATCGTTAATCTCATCTTTTCTTCTTTCTTTTTCAAGAAATTCAACGGAAAAAGATGATTATTCAATGAAATTTCTAAGTAAAATGAGCGTTTTCTTCGAAATTCAATCGTTTCTTTTTGTATTTTTGTAGAAACTCTTCCTTATATTGAATTTTCTGCAAATAAAGTTCGTTTCGTTTCTTTTCTTTAATCCAATCTTATTTTATCTTTTTTCTTTGTAGAAAAATGAATCAAATCAAATGGAAAATCTTCGAACGTTGTATCTTCAAATAAATTCTTCGATTAAACAAATTTTTACAGTAAAAAACATTTGTATTCAAAACTAAATTTCATTCTTCTCTTTTTTTTCAAAGAAATCGGTGAAAAACTCATCAAGAAATTATTTGTGCAATCGAAAATTGAACTCATGAACAAAATTTCATAGACAAAAAGCCTTTTTTCTGTTTTTATTCAAATGTCTGTTCGATCAGATATTTGTTTTAATTTCTCTTTCAACTTCTAAACAAAGATCAATAGGAAAATTCCAAGAATTCAATAAACGAAATTGACTTGATTTTCGTTAAGAGAAAATTGACAAATATCTAAAAGTGAATACAATAAGCATCACAATGAAACGATGAAGAAAGTCAAATGATCTGATTGTGCATCAATACTTGAACGAGACAATCAGCTTCATCTCGAATCTTATTTCTAGACGAATATATCGAAAATAAAGAATTGACTGAAAAAGACAAATACCATATGTAGTATATCAATTGTTGAGATAGTCAAATTCCGTTTTTCATCCGAACGTTATGAGGATCGAGTGTAATTTTAATCGTCTAAACTCAATAAAGAAAATTATTTAGGAACTTTTCTTGTTTTTAATGAACAAAGTTCTTGTAAATTTGTGAATAACGAGGATCGTAAATAAACAGATAATAAGCGTCGTGTACAACTGAATTTCCTACTTTTTCCACACTGAAATGTACACGATAGAGAAACCTTTTTTGATTGAATAAAATGGTGATGAAAAAGATTGAATATTATCCAAAGTTTAATGAATACGAGAAATATTCAATAAGTGTGGAAATTGGTCAAGTTCAGGAAGTTTTGTCATAACGATATTTTCCTAAACTGATCTATTAAATACATAATCAATTTCACATCTATGAAGATTTATTTTAAAATGTTTCGAACACAGCAGGTAAAAATTCTTGTGATCAAACAGTTGAAACATTTGAAATTTTCATTGACAAACTGTGCAATTCATTTAGATTGTTCATATCCAGCAAATCAGTGTTCTTCAGAGAAAGTGAGCTAATCGCGTGAAGAATCAATCCATGGACATCTTTGATTGTCAATTTAAGTCGATATGGGTGTCAACTAGGTGATTGTTCGGTTAAGTATAAACGAATGCGAATATCTGGATCATCGATGGCTCCTCGGTGAATCTTTAGATTCATAGTTTTTCCTGTCGTGTATTTTTAGCAAAACATTTGCTTTTTGCGACATTCCGTAAACGAATCTAAAACACAAATCAGTGTAGACATAGTCGAAGTCAGTGTGTTAAGATGATTCTCTCTTATATGAATGAAAACTTTACAAATATGTGTAAACAGGGGCAGAAAGAGAGAGAGAAGGAGAAGAATAACATATATATCTTACGGTAGTTATGTCATTCGTCGGCAGATGTCCAATCTGGAAAAGAATAGCTACTTTTATCCTTCTATTATTGTGTCTTGTCAAAGACACACGTCTGATTATTCATCTTTATCAAATTAGATCATGAGTTCGTTTTATCTTTGTTAATACGGTAAAATATAATCATTAATACATATTGGTGTTGTAAATAACCAAACTTCACGTGTTCTTGGTGAGAAAGTAGAAGTGACAAAGCAAGATTTTGTAAGTAAATAGAATGAAGATCAATGAAATTTTGATCATCAGAATGAACACATGAGAAGAAAAATTGAAATTGATCAAGTTCAGGTAGATTTGTTTCAATGATATTTTCCCAAATCGATCCGTTAAAAACATAATCGATTTCTTGTTGATGAGAAATGACTTTGAGATGTTTTAATGAATGAATTGGTGAGAAAAAAAATGGAAGATTTTGTCGAGAAATTCAATTGTGATGGAAATGATTTGAAATTATAATTAAAATGACAATTCTTCATACTGAATGTTTGTAAATGTGGAAGTTGTTCAAGAATAGAAAGATAATTTTCATATGTACATTGATCAATTGATAAATAAAACAATTGATTTGATTTTGGCCATGTTAATTGGTCAAATGGATAATTCAAATTACTTAGAAATAATTCTTGAAGGTTTCTACATTTGTAAAGAGATTTTAAAATAAAAATCCATGTTATTCTTGTATCAAATGAATGTTTATACAAATGAATTGATAATGATGCCAATTGTTGAATATTTAAATGATCGAAGTTGAGTAAATTGATTCAATGAAAATAAAGATTGAAATGAAGAAAAAAGATTCCATTTTTCATTATCATTTTTGAAAAGTAATGAAACAACATATGCAGGTGAAACACATCGTGATAAGACTTTCATATAAGAATGAGTTTTGGAATTTAAAACCAAATTAAGTTGATTATACGTTTCTACAAGTTTATAGAAACGTTTACAAACACCACGAATTGACAGAAAAATTGTTAAAATATCACAATAATCGAAGATATGATGAATTGTTTCCGCAGGAAAGTCGACAAGAGACAAAGCCGATATTGCCGAACGTATTTCTTTCACTTCTCAAGTCAACGAGATCTGCAAACATAAACAAAACACGGGAAAAACATTATGAATCGCTATCGTGCACACACAGGAAAAATTTTTCATTACACAACGATGAATTTGTATGAAGAAAAAAGCGAAATAAATCTGCACACTTTTATTCTTTATTCATATGAAATAGAAAATCAATCATTTATCTTCTATCAGGAAATGAAATCATTAGGTCGGTTCTTCTCTATTAGTTTATTTTAATAAAAATTCTTTATAATTGATGGATCAAAAATAAAGAAAATGAAAATAAACTGATAAATGATGTTGAATTTGGAATAGAGAGAGATGTGTGTTAACAAGCACAACTGGCAACACAGTATTTGCAACTTGTACCACTGCAGAAGCTGAAACAACTGCTGACACAACTGGCAACATAACTGTCAGTGCAAAAAGCACGTTGATGATGTAATTCACTTGGAATTGCCGATGCCAAACTATTTGTAATCATTAAGAAGAAAATACAAATAGAAATGAGGGAAACCAATTGATTGATGAGTTTTGCCATGATTTTCTTTAGTGAATATTCGATGGTTGAAGAAGAGTATGGAATTATTTCATCGTTTATTGAGGTTTTTATAGAAGGAAATCCGAATGGTCATTCTTCGAATGATTTATCAGCAGATGTCCTTTTCTCCCTTGAAAATCCACTCTACTTCGACGAAATCATAGATAAAAAGTGAATTTTCAACGAAATCGTTCGTTACTTCCTCAGATTTGTGTTCTCTTTGTTTATCGAGAAATTCGTCAGATGGTCAATGATTCAAGGTGAAAAAAAAGCATTTATATTAAAAAAAAAAACTAAAGCTTCATACACAAAGAAATTCTATTTAAAACAAATGTTACGAACGATAACCTATTCGATCAAATAATTTTGACACATAAAATCGAAATTTAGATCGATATTCTGATCTTCCATAAAGAAAAATCAAAGTTAAAAGTCTCATTATGATTCCAATAGCAATAAGACAAAGAAATGATTGTTCATTATCTTGAAAAGAATAATAAAGACGTACAGCATCAATTTGTGTATCCCATAAACTATTTGATGAAACATTTTGAACATATTCTTGAAAATCATAAAGAAATAATTGTCGTTGAACATGTCGAGAAAATGATAAATAAACAAAATCATGTAATGTATCTTTTTTTGTTGGATTAAAACCACTGATAAGACAAGAAATCAAAGCAATTAATGTTGCTGCTAAATAAGAATTTTCTGTTTTTTGACAAACAACTGAAATAAATTGTCCAATCGCTGAACAAGCAAAAGTCATCGAAAGAAATACCGAATAATATTGAGCAAAAGTTGATCTTGGTACAATTTCAATATATAACATTATTAAAAATAACAAAGGATAAAGAAATAAATGAATTAAATCCACAAATGTTTTTGCAAACCAATATTGAATTGGATGATAAAAATTTCTTGATTCTCTTAGAAATGTTTTATCAACAATTTCTATTCCAAATAAACGTTGACTTGAAATACATGTTGCCATTCCAAAAACTAAACTAATCATAAAATAAGTTGATGGTAATGATTGAATATTACACGATTGAGCTTGATTTCGAAATAAACGACCAAGAATTGTACCTAAAAGAAAAAATGCCAGAGCATAAATTGCTTCAACTCCATAATTTCTTTGAAATATTTGTATAAATGTTCGATGAATAATATAAATTGTTGGTAAAAAAATGGATTCTCGATTGATTGATTTGAAATCGAATAGAACTGGATTTTGACATTGTAAAGGTATTTTGAATTGATTTTCAATGGCATTTTTATTTGAATAATGAGCCAATGCATAAATACAAGAATCACAGTCATTCTTCGATTTATGGATTCGTTGATATTCTTCAGTATTTTCATTAAAATGTACATGATTACGTAAATGTTGTAAAGCATATTGTCGTTGACCATAATAAGCTAAATAACAATCAGGATTGAGTAAAATTAAATGATCAATTTGTTGAAATAATTCATAACTTGGTTGATGAATGATTAAAATAATATTTACAGAACATAATTGATTTTGTTTAATTAAATTTAATAAATGAAAAACTTTATCACAAATAACCGTATCTAAACCTGATGTTGGTTCATCAAGTAATAAAATTTTCGGACAAGTTATCATTTCCATGGCAATGTTAACTCGTTTCTTTTCTCCTTTGAAAAAGAAAACACATATGAGAAGATCTAAAGATTTAGAAATGAAAAAGATTTACCTCCAGATAATTTTTCCGTTTTTGTATTTGCTTTATGTGTCATATCTAATTGATTTAAAATGAATTTGATATCCTTTCGAATTATTTCTCTCTCATCTTTTAATCTTCTTGAACATGCTGAAAAATAAATTGATTCAAAAACAGTTAAATCAGAATGCATTATATCATCTTGTGGAACATAACCAATGATATGAGAAAGTCCTGGATGTAATGGATGAAAATGATCATTCTTTGTATTTCGATCACTAAAAATGATTTGACTTTCTTTTTGTAAACTTTTTCTTCCTTGAATTGTATAAAGTAAACTTGTTTTTCCACAACCTGATTGACCCATAATACCATTTATTTGTCCACTTTCAATACAAAATGTAAAACCTTTGTTATCTTTTGTCCATTTTGGTATATCCAATCTGCCATTTTCTAATTCAATATTAAAACCATTATACTTTCGTTCAAATGACTCAGTAGACTTCTTAAAATAATCACTTGTCTTTTTCTTATTTACAACATACGTTTTCTTTCTTCGTTTACTGTTTTCTAGAGAACAACATGTGAAATGTTCGTATCTTTTGACTACGAATTGAAGGATTCCAATATTCACGATAAGACGAATTCCAATTAAAATGCCGAATGGAACTAAAACAACAGCCATTGCTGTATTAAAAATTTGATCGCTGTCGAGAATCCCATTTTGACATGTAAAACCAGTTGGACAATCGATTGGACTTGTTACTCCTGATGGACAATAAACAGAATCCAAATTTTGACATGAGATTTCTGTCGATGAATTTGGACAATAAGATCCAGATTGACAGAAACCTTCGACCGATGATCCACCACAACCAAATGCATTGAATTGACTGGGCGCATTTTGTGGACAATCAACATTCGTCAGACAAAAACCATTGTTTGGTATCAAAGGTGATGGACAATACGCTGCATCGCGACAAGGTATCATACATATTTGACCATCAGGACAAAAATAACCTGGACAACAAGAATACATATTAGTTGGTGATATACTATTACTGTTATTCACTGATGTTGAATAGAAAAAACCAGGTTCACAGAATAAACTCGAACACTTTGGATTATATAGATTGACTGTTGCATTATGAAAGTCTTCATAGAATGCATTGATTACGGATGAATTACATATATGTTGTGCTATAAATTGTGGATTAGAACAATATGCATTTCCAACTGAACATGATGGATTGTATGACCATTCAAATTGATTCTGAGATGAATTACATTCTAAACACATATAACGAGCATCACCGTCTTGAAGACATAAATTATCGATGAAACAATAACCACGTGGTAAATTACACGTACTGTTAACACAATTAACACAGATGTTATTAGTATTCGTTGACACCAATTTAACATTTTTAAATGAACGATATCTATCTCGAAATCGAGAAACAATCGATAATTGACCGTATGAACAAACAAATATTAAAGTCAATATAATAACGATTTGTGTTATAGACTGTTGCATCGTTGAATATCGTTATAATAATAATCTAGAATTGATAAATAAAAATAATAGAAAGATCTGAAGAGTCTTTATACGATGCTCTTTTAGCATTGTTTTGTTGAAGAAAAAAGAAAACGATCACATATTTATCTGACTAAAATGAGTAAACATTCATTCCTTTTCTCCTACTTTATATACAATGATCAACTAAGAATTCATCGAGTATTATCACATAATTATTCACTCGGAGAATCAAACAAAATTTGACATGTTTCGTCGCTTGAAAGTATGCAGTTAATGGAACATGTATGACAAAAATGTGTGTAAGTACATTGAAACTTTGCAGAAACCAGCAACTTCTGCCAATTTCAACTGATCGACATCACATAGGATTGATCGTCTTCAGGTTATATTCAATCGACAATGAAAGATCATGATGAAAATATAATCTCCTAAAGAAAAAGAAAATGTACACATATGGAACGAAACATAAACAACGCACTTTTAGTTTTTCATACAGCATGTACATATTGGATTGCGAAATGTTTAAATAATCTATCGAGACTCGATCAGAGGTGGGCGAAAATACTCGGAGAGTTCGTACTCGTACTCAGAGAGTTCGTACTCGAAAAGCAGACGTAGAGACATTAGATATTGAGCGCTTGAGAGTATTTCATCATTAATCTTTTACTTTCGTTAGTTTGTTTTTTCATAGAATCTTCATCAAAACTTTGAGAACATTCTTGAAACACTAATTGGATTCGTGTAATTCTGAACTGTTCAAGAATACATTAGAATCTTTCGTATCTAATCTTTCACCCGGCATAGATAAATGCGCACACACTGTGTCATGTGATTGGATAAGTAATGGCAGCACCATCACAATGAAAAATCAAAGTCGTCGAAACGACAAAAGTATACACATAGATTGACAGTGTTTATGTGAATATTTTTTATTCGGAACGGTGTGAACAAAAAGAGAAGTTCATTTGTATTTCGATTTCTTATTGTGAAGTCGATGTTTTTGTCATTTTCTTTCGCATAATTGTACTTCAATCGGCAATGTTTATCTAAATTTAAAAGAACATTCTAAAAAAAGTGCAGGTTAAAGCCACTTTTTCGATCGAACAGAATAGAAAGAAAAAAAAATCCGATTTCATTAACTAAGTCCAGAATCTGTTTTCGTATGAGAACTTTTATTAGAAGAGAGCAAAAAGAGAAAAAGAAAGTGAATGCTTTCTTGATTAAATGCATATATATGAAAATTCTAGATTAAATGAAATGAAAGTCAATGTGTAAAGTAAAGCTTTTATTTGAATCCAACGCCACCTTTACCACTGAGTTTTCCTCCAATGAATACCAATCCAACACTTCCAAATAAAGTTCCAGATACTCCGTATTGAACACTAATCACAGCAATATCTCCTGTTCCACCTTCACTAATGGCATTTCCTGCACTACCAACTAAACTTGTCACTTGATCTCGAGTCCATCCAAATTGAAGTTGATTGTATTGTTGTTGAGTCATTTGATACACTGTCGTATCTAATCCATTCTGAGTTTTACCTGAAAGTTTTCCTCCTTGAAAAGTAAACATTACTAATGAAAACGATGATTGTGATCCTTTATATTGAATAACTGCCCATTCATTTGGTGAACCTTTTGTTCCTGACTGTGAAAGAACAGTGCCAGAATCACCAAGAAGTTGTGTAACTTGTTGTTGAGTCCATCCAATTTGAATTGTTCTGTATTGTTGAAGACTAATTGTATTCGAAATTACAAAGTAACCAACTCCAGTTTTTTGAGATAATTTTCCATTAACAAAAATGAGATTAGCAGTACCATACGTTGTTCCAGCTGCAGAATATTGAACGGAAATGACATTTGGAAAGCCAGTTCCAGTTTCCGAAGTCGTACTTCCTTGACTTCCAACAAAATTTGTAATTTGATCTCGAGTCCATCCAATTTCAATTAAGTTAAACTGCTGTTGAGTCATCGTGTAAATTCCCGTATCCAATTCATTTTGAGCTTTACTATAAAGTACTCCTCCTTTGAAAGTAAATAATGCTACCGAAACAGATGATTTTGATGCCATATATTGAACGGTAATTGTTTCATATGGTGAACCTTGTGTTCCAGTTTGTGAGATGATTGTTCCTGAACCACCAAGAAGTTGTGTAACTTGTTGTTGAGTCCATCCAATTTGAATGGTTGTGTATTGAAAAAGATTGATTTTGTTGTTAACAGCTGAAGCAAAACCAATTTCAGATTTCGAAACGATTTTTCCATTATAAAATCGGAGAGTGACAACACCATAAGAAGTTCCAGCTCCTTTGTATTCAACAAAAACAACAGTTATAGCATCGCTTCGAGTTTCTGAAACATTATTTCCTGAACTGTTAACTAATTTTGTCACTTGATCTCGTGTCCATCCAATTTGAATTGAATTGTATTGTTGTTCATTCATCAGATAATTTCCATTATCCAATCCTCTTTGAGATTTACCACAAAGAATTGAATCTTGAAAAATAAATGTGACATCAGATGATGATGATCCGGTATATCCAACAATTGTTCTATTTAGATTTCCGAAACTACTTTCTGCCATTGTCTTTCCTTCATTACCAATGAGTTTTGTTATTTGATCACGAGTCCATCCGAGTTGAATTGATGAATATTGTTGAAGATTGATCGAATTGATAATCGGAGCACCTTCCCAATGAAACACAATAGTCGAACAAACGACTAAAGCCAAAACATAGAACGACAATGTTCGTACGAACATTTTTCAATTGGAAATTGTTTGTTTTGATTCTTTCATTAAATGAAAATCTTGTTCGTTTAAATACACATTAACACCTCGTTATTTTCTCATGATTTTCTTCTTTATCACATACTGTGAATCATTTTAATATTATGTTTTGTTGGCACATTCTCAATAATTTCCTTTTCTCATAAATAGATTTTTATTTTTAATGTTGACTTGGAATGAAAAATCATTTAAAGAATGACGAAAATCATATTCATATCAAATTAACATAAAATGATCAATATGAATAATACTCAAATAATCACATCTGTACTTGTCATTCGTCATTTCGATTCATTTATTCATTTGTGTAAATAAATCAAAGAGAAAGATGCATTTTNCATTTCGGCGAATATTTTCATTGATCGTCGTTGGTGGTCTTCTCGTTCTTTGTTCATTTTCATGAAAAAGTTCGTCATTTGGTGAATATTGTTTTAAAAATTCGACATAATTAATTCTAATTGATAAAATCTCAATTTGTTGAAACAGAGAAAAGAGATTTACCTTGAATCATTTGTATTTTGAAAATGTTTTTTAATGAAATCTAAATCTTGTTGAATAATATTCGGATAAAGTTCTTGAAAGATTTCATCAAATTCTTCGGAATGAATAAAACCTGTTCGATAAGGATCAATTTGAGTAAATTCTCTTTGAAATTGGTTCCAATTGTTTTTAATAAATTGTTTTGTTGTTTGATGAACGAGAATTGTATCTGCGTATAATTTATTTGATGTTAAAAGATAATCTCTGTCGCCTTTTTGCGGAGGATTTTGTTTTGCATTTGGATAATGTGCTGAACGTTTCGAATAACCAAATTGACGAAGAAATTCATCGAAATCCAATGTTCCATTTTCTTTTAAATGACATTGACACCAGAGAAGTTCCACTTCTTTCTTTGTGATTTCTGGTTTGATTGGAAAACTTCGAGAAAAGAAAAGAAAAATTGTCAAAGATACAAAGTGTCAAAATGGATTTACCGTTTTAATAAACGATAAAGATAATCGTGTGTCAACTCTCGATATGATCCATAATCAATTTGATCGAATTCTTGTTCAATATCTTTGATTCGTGTTTGAATTAATGTTTTGAGAATTTGATTTAATTCAGAAATTGTTCGTGGATTTGTATTTTCATGAGTTTCATTTGAACAACTTTCTTTTGCGATTTGTTTCTCATTGATATGTTGTTGTTTGAGACTTTCACGAATATTTGTTGATCTCATATAATCCCATTGAGGAATTTGTTCACTAAAATATTGGCAATGTGAGAAGGAGAGAAAGAGAAGAAAGAGGAAAGACCTTCGATGAGAAGATTCGTTTTCTTCTGGAATTGTTTGAAGAGAATTTGTTCGTTCTTTGATTTGTTTGAGATAAATTAAATAATTGATTTTTCCCAATGGATTTTTTGGAAAATGTTTATTCAATTGATCAAATTCATCGGGTCTGATGGGAAATTCGAGTAAATCTTCAATAATTGTTTTCATCTCATTATTTTCAATTGTTCCACTTTGTTTTTTATCGAAACTTTTCATTTTCTCTTGAATTCGTTCGTAATTCAACGAAATTAAATATTCAACTTGTTTTTCCATTGACGATTGAACAAAATCTTCTTTTGGTCTAAAAAGAAATTTGATGAAAAACCTAAATTTGAAAGAAGAAAACGAACAAAGGATTTTCTTCTTTGCTTTTCTTCTTATTTGAACCAACAAGTTGTTTAAAAGCATTGAGAACCTCTTCATATTTGATCAATTGATCATTCAATGCCGACGAAACATTTAAACGTTTGAGAAAATATTCCAAAAGCGTTTCTTCTAATTTCAATCCAAATGATTTCAATTGTTCGAGAAATATTTGTGAAGAAACCTAAATGAAACTCGGTTTTGAGAGAAATTTCCAAAATTGAAATGTAACTTGGCCAGTTTTGAATGGATCGAGATCGTTGAATCGATTTTCTAATTGATCGAAACATTGAGGAAGTTTTTCTTTGAACCATTTTTGAATTTGATTTTCATCGAAATGTTCATCTGGAAGAGAAAGAAAAGCAAAGATATTTGAGAGAAAATCGATGAAATTTACTTGGATTTGAAGAAGAAGATTTCATAAATGACGCTTTTAAAATAGCTGATTGTTGTTCTTGAGTTTCACTTCGTGATGTGGAACAACTTTCAACAAGAAAATGTTCATTGGTTAATTTTTTAAGAAATTTTTCGGAATTAATCACGTGAAAACCATCGGGATCAAATCTAAAAGATTTTTTCGAAAAATCATTTTTCCTTTTCGAAATTCTTCTTTTCACTTGTTCCATAATTTATCGAATTCTTTGTCAACCATTCGATAACCCATGTCGATGAGACCATTTTGAAGTTGACTTTTGAAGATTTTTCTCGGTTGTCCATCGTTCAATGAAGGACAAAAGCGAACTAAATCTTCACTCCTACGAGAAAAGAAATCAAAATCTTCGACGAAACGAACCCAAAAACGATGAACTTTGTTCGAGCTTTGTCTTTGAGAATAAGAAACATTTGTCCAGCTGTTCGTTTACTCAAATAGGATTGAGACGAAGATTTTACTGTTGAACGGTCCAATGATAATGAACGATGAAAATCATCAAAACTGATTTTTGTTAAATTGCTCAAATGAAGTTTTTCGATTAATTTCTCAATTTGATTTGGCGAAATTTGTCTTTGAATTCCAAAGATTGACGCGAGAATATGTTTAAATGCTTGAAGAGAGATTTTTCCATTCGAATCAAAATCGATCGAATGACGAAATTTAATTCGAATATCATTTTCTTGAGAACGAACTTTTTCTCTCAAAATCGACAGAAGTTCATCGAGTCCAACGATTCTTTCTCTGTCCGTCGATTTCTCGCTCATCGTCGACGGTCGACGACCTTGAAAAGATATCGAAGAAGATAAATGAGAAAGATTCGTTGGAAATTACCAAAAACGGGCAAACGAATTTGATTTCGATCTTCTCCAACAGTAAACGAAACATTTTCGGGAATTTGTTCACAATTTGATCGTTGAGAAAGTTTCGATTGAGTTCGAAGATCCAAAGATGATGACGAAATCGGTTCATTTGACGTGGGATTGATTTTAGGTAAAGTTGTGACTTTGGAATAATAGGATAACGAAGAATTCGATGGATTTTTTCCAAAGAAAAATGGCGAAGAGATCAATGCCATTGATCGACAAGTTGAGAAACAAGAATATCAATACACTTTTCTTTCTTTTCAAATCAAATCGAGAAAAAGTAAAACGTTGACAACGCATTTTGTTTTCTTTACATTTTTTTATTCAAACATTTTGAAAAAGTTCTTTGACGACAAGAAACATTTAGATTCTTTTTCTCGTTTCTTTTCTTTTCTCAAAGATCAATTTCTCTGTTCGATTTCTTTCGCTGAATATTCTTTTGTTAAATGATCATATTGAATGGAATTAAATTTGGAATAATCAACGACGTAATGATCTTTTTCAAAACGAATCATTCGTGAAAATCTTCCCGCCCAAATAATTTCATTTGGCATATAAGATGTTCTTATTTGTGTCATCATTCCCGTCGGTTCAATTGTTCCTTCTAATATTAATAAAATTTCAAATTTTTGTTCGGATAGATTGACTTTGTTCATTTCATATAAAGGACTTTTCGAATCGATTTTATGCTCAATAATAATTGGCCAATTGAGAAAAAAACGATCTTTTCCTTCATCATAACCAATGTTCATGTCGAGTAATGTTAAAGGAATGATTTCATTTTCACTCGTTGTTCTTTTCGTTATAAAATACATTCGAATATGAGCTTCAATTAATGTTGATCGAGAACGCATATCACCTAAACGACATTGAAATGTTAAAATCCCATCTCTTAAAGAAATAACAGCATTTCGTGACCAAATAAATGTTTTTCGACGTCGTTTTGGACGTGATAATTTTGTATAAATAAGACCAACCCATAATGATTGAATAATTAAACTGAAAATACTTTGAATAATTAATAAAATAATTCCACCTGTACATTGTTCATTAATTGCTCGTGTTCCATAACCAATGGTTTGTTGAGTTTCAATTGAATAAAGAAGAACACCAGAAAATGTTTTAACACCAGAAATACACGGAATATGTTCATTAGAAGTTTCATTCGATAAATTTATTGAAAAATCATTATGAATATACATAATAATATACCAAATAACAGCGAATATTAACCAAGATATAACAAATGAGAAAGAAAAGAAAATTAAAATAAATCTCCATTTTAAATCCAATAAACTTGTAAAAATATCACGAAAATAAAGAATTCGATTTTCAACACGTAATTTTTCGATATTTATATTTCCATCTTTTGTTATTAATCGTTTTCGACCTAAAATAAATTTCGAAAAATGTCTTTTCTTTATTAAAAATGAAAGAATTACTTTGATGAATTGTTTCCAATGAAGGTACTCTGAACAAACGAAAACAAAAGAAATTTATAGAGAATTAATGGAATACATTACATGTTAATTAGAGTATTTAGAGTTGAAGTTGGAATCTCATTTGATGTCTTTTTCGAAAAACGAAATTTGACCATTTGTTTTTGTGAAGAAAGATGAGACTGATGTGACTTTTTTTTCCTCCGATTACTATTGTGATAAGAGAGTAAAACATCGCCTTTTTTTTTCTTCATAATGAAACGTTCCACATGAGTTATTTTTTTCAAAAGAATATCACTATTTATTCATCTCTTGTCGTATTTTATGAAAAATATTTCAATGAGCTGTGTTTTTCAATTAATTCAACAAGAAAAGATCAGTTTTTTTTTTTGAAAAATTCATTGGACTCAAAGAAAATTTGATGTTGAGTGACATCTGTTCTTCTCATAAATCATACAAAATG